TCTGTGTTGCGCATTTCCATACACGGTGTTTCTCTGTCGTGTAAGTTCCAAGCGTTGCTGCCAAGATGGATGTTATTCACACTGCCAATCGGTCCCCCTCCCAAGTATCGCTCGCTGAGCCATGACATGACATGGCCCCGATAGGGAGCCAGGCCTCATCCCTTTTCGCGGAGCATTACGGGCCGTACAATCACAATCAAGCACACACTCCCGCGTCCCTTGATAGGGCTTGACACCAACAGGGGAACGAACGAACTGGGAAACATGTTGCAGGTACTTTCGCGTTATCAGTTGCTGGCATGTAAAGGCATTGTATGTATCTCACCGTGGCAGAGAAAGGTAGCAACACAAAGTGACAATAACAGCCCACTCGAGCGAGTTCCCCCCTGGCTGCTGAGTTGGCCGGTACGGAGCACATTGGACGAGGACGTGCCTGTTGGTGTCAGCGCCCCCGTTGAAGGAACCTGGATGGGCGCTCAAGGGGACGTTATCCGGTACCTGCGCCTCCATCAGACGGATGGAATTCGATTGCTCCGCTCAGTTTTCAAAGCGAATTGGTCCCTTGAACTGGACACGTCGGCCTGCACCAAAGAGAGACACAACAGGCGCCAATAAAGACTCGTTCGGAATTGCGATGCGACTGTAGGCGATACTGGCACTGTCATAGCAGTGACCGACCCTTTTCCATTAGCGTTCCAGGTGTGCACTTGTTTCTGCGTCGTCTTGCTCGTCTTCTCGCCACACACCCCCCGGCCAGCGCCAGAAACCTCCAATTGCTCCTTCGCATGCCTCCAGCATCCCCCTTTACGGCCTCTCCATTCGACCTGGTGATCAACCCGGGTCAGCGGGCCCCAACTGGCCCCAGGTCAGACTTGGCCAAGCAAACCAAGGTACACCCCCACCTACGCCGTACAGTGCTCTACCTCTGGGCGACGCGCGACTTGCGGAGAGACGAAGTGAAGATGGAGAGAGAATTCTCTCAGTGTCTCTCCTGATTCCGCTGTGCAGGTGCACACAGGCAGCCTTTGGAAGCCGCTGGAAGGGAAATGGAACGGCCTGCCTGCCAGGGAGGGCCTCTGCGCTGGAAAAGCGCCTGCCTGGAGGCCCTGCCCTGCGTCTTTTGTCTCTCGTCAGTCTCCCGTTACTGTGGGCTCAAGTCCTTTCTCACCAGCCCGTCCGATTGATTGCTGCGCCCCACAGGCTGAACGTTCGGGTCGTCCTAGGAATACTAACCGCTGCTTTGCCTTGCCTTGCCTTGCTTTCTTGGTGCTTCTTTTTCTGGGTCCGATCCGTTGGAGGTACAGGCGGTGCTCATGCGGCCGTTTTCTCCTGATTGTCGTGCTGTCGTTACTGGCACGGTGTACCTGCGCAGGACGGTGTGCCCGGTTTGCTGGAAGCTTCCGTCCCTGACACGGAGTACGGCGAGGTACATGCGGAATACGGAGGGTGTTCCGTGCCCTGTTTTTGTGCTGGCTTTGACGCAATTTCGATCCCAATTTCGACAAAGAATACGAGTGAGGGTAGAGTCAAGTTGAGAGACAGGACAGGACAAGAGAGGTGCTGTTTTGGGGGACAAACATGTGCGCTGCCTTCCTTTGTTGCCATTTGCGCGTGTACTCTGCACAAGCAATTCAAGTACGAGTACACGACAATTGCTAGACCAACCGCCGGAGAGTGCTTGTACTCCGTAAAGGCAGCATCCAGTCTACAGCGCTGCGAGAGCCAAAGCGGGACACAGTACGGTACCTCCAGGAGTCGTCGTGTACTCAGACAAGGTACGACGGGAGTCTACACGCCTCCCTCCTCCGTGCTTTGTAGCTAATACACGCGCCCCCGCCGTGCGGCATCTACATGTGTACACACTCACCCTCACAACTCACACACACACTCCCTTGCTGTTGCTCCTCCTAAAATAATTATTTCTCGTTCTCACTACTTGCTCAGCGATCCTGGCTTTTTTTTTTCTGACTTGGAACTTTTTTTTGGTCTCTCCCTCACAACATCTGCCCGCGCTGAAGAACTTCATACAGTAGCGAAGCATCGTGATCGAAGCCGCCGACCATTTTGTTGCTGGACATCCTCTTACATCGAAAGCGTTGCTGCTGCAGCCCCCGAGCCTGCGACGGTCCAGCGTCTGTGTCGATACATCGCCGAACGACTCCCCTCTCTCCCCCCCTTGGGCAATGGCCTCCTCCAAAGTATGGCAATGATCGCGTCGGGCCCGGAGCGGCTGCTCTGCCTCGTGCTCGTCCCTGCGCTCGCGAGGCCTCGTCTTTTGCTGACGTCTTTGTCCACCCGCAGGAGATGCATCCTTCTACGAGGCCATTGACGCACCAGCGGTCGCCCATGTCGAGCTCCGCAACCTCGGCCCTCGCCGGCCGGCAGTCCCACGCCCGAACCAACTCGCACTCGCACTCGCTGCTCGCCGGTGCCCTCAATCCCACACACCGAATCACCCGCCGAAAGTCCGTCACCACTTCCGGCGCCAACGTCGCGGCCCTGGCGGCGGCGCTGCGGGAGAGCGAGCAGAGCGGCGCCGTTCCGATTGCAAGCGGGGGAAGGCGGAACACGAGCAACGCCATGACGGCCAAGCAGGCCTCGGCCCAGCGGACGGGCCTCGTCGACAGCCTGCCCTCACCGCCGGCCAGCCTGCCCAACAAGTCGGTGCTCGAGGCCAAGCGGGAGGTGACGGACAGCGCCATCGACGACGATTCGAACGAGCTCTCGGCCGACGAGGCGGCGGCCCACCAGGACCAAAGCCGGATAAGACGAGCCAGCGACGGACAGCCTCTGACCAAGGATGGCAAGAAGAGCAGCCGCGTAGAAGTTCGCTGCGAGACGTGCGGCAAGGGCTACAAGCACAGCAGCTGTTTGACGAAGCACCTGTTGGTCTCCCTCCCCTCTTGTGCCTTTGCTACCTGCGCTTGCCTAGGTTTGGGTGCAGCCACATCCTGCCTCTGGTTCCTCGACACTCTCTCCCTTTCCCCCCCCTTCCTCTCCCCTTACATCCTTTACATTGGCAAAGCATGCGTGATTTTGTTTGAGTGTCATTTGTTGACTCGTTTGGCTAGATGGGAGCACACTCCTGAGTGGTCCTTTACCTCCAAATTGCTCATCTCTAAGCACCAACAAGTACAGCTGCTTGAAGCGGCCTCTGTCCTGGTGGCCATGAACGGCAACCCCAGGGAGAGATCAGTCACCCCTCCGGACTCTGCCAGGGACTTTGCGAGCGAGCCAGAAACGGCTTCCTCGCCCGCCGTCTCTGGTTACTCGGACCAGGCTGATGGCCAGAGTTCCGCTGACACGACCCCACCCCCGATCTCCGAGCAGGGCATGGCATTTGATACCTCTGCATACCGCGACAAGCGCTACAGCATGGGCAGCGTCTTCTCTCGTAGCTTCCAATCGCCGCAGCCGTCGAACCCTCTGGTTTTCGGCAGCATCCCCCATGCGCGAGGACTTGACTATGGTCGCAGCCCCAGCATGGATCATCGGCCGTCATCATCCGGCATCAATGCCAACGGCGAGGACGACCACGAGCTGGCCGCGGCTGTTGAGCTGCTGAGCTGCAGCTTTGGCAGCGCCAACCCCGTAATAACGCACGTCGAGGACGCACCGCCCGTTCCTCCGGTCCCGACGCAGTTCCTAGATCAAGCCGCCTCATACGTCAGCGCCGGCTTCATCAACAGCTTCCCCAGCAGACAACCCGAGAGCTTCACCCGCGGTGAGATGCGACGTGGGAGCGAGGATGTCAAGATGGAGGAGAGCGAAGACGACTTTGACATGCAATTTCGCGCTCGCAGCGGCGACGAAGACGACGATGGAGTTTTTGGCCGTATGGAAGAATAATTATTGGGTATGGGGCCGGAGCAACTTCTGTTGGGAACTCGAATCGTGACGTCTGTTTTTCTTGTTTTCTTTTCGCTTTGCCTTTTATAATATGACACCGGGAGTCGGAATTGCTCTGGAATGAATTATGGATATCACCAACTGGGAGGAAATCGGCGCGGTGTCTCTTTTGTACAACGAATATACTCGAAGGAACTGCATTGGGGGATGGTTCTGCTCCGCGGTCGAATCTTCAGCACCGAAGAGTGGAGGGCCTGTCTGGGCTCGTCGAGGTCTGGGCGAGATTGCTCCTCCACGAGGTTAAAGTGAGGGTCCGGCGAGGCGTCGAGCGTACGCCCGAATCAAATTCTGAATAAATTATAAAAAACAGGAAGTTGAAAGAAGAATTAAGAAGAAACTTCACACCATCACTACAACATGCAGCCATGTCGATGCCATTGTATGAGAGCACGCGCGCACAGTGACGGTTGTCTTATGCATCATGAAGCCAGTCAACGAATAACATATGCAACCAGCAAAACACAGCGGAATGGTGAATGAAGCGCAGTCAACATGAAACTCTTGAAGCAGCCACGGCGAGAATGAAGAGACAATGGAAGTTTTTTTCCCTCGATATTCAATGGTGCGAGGTTGTGGAAAGAGTTGTGGAAGAGAAAAAAATTTGTACGAGAACCCTTACCTTTACTAGCAGCACGAGAAGGAAATTGAGCTCCAGCTGTACTAAGCAGCTAAGGTAAGCAGATGCTGCTAAAACTGCACTGCACGCACATTCAGCTCCATGAGGAAATTGCGGGGACCACCAGCACCTTTGTCAGTTTCCCCGGCGACCTAAACGTCACGTTTCTCCACCCGCAAAAGCTCTGGATCGGATCAGAGCAACTCTCGACAAACACCGTCGATTGAAAGCGCAAAATTCTCGCATTCTGGACGAAGTTCCGAGGCGAATCCCGTTGTGAATACAGTCTCTGCTGCTAATGATAGTAGCCCTGGCAGTCTTTTAACTTGAATCAAGTTGATACCGGTTCAATTCGCATCGACCGCGTAGGAGACGCGCATCATCGCTTGCGGGGGGACAAAGACACGACGCCAGTCTGTTGCTGCCATTGCGACAGCTCAAACAACCACGCGCTCACAAGCAGAGAAAACCAAAGATGCCGACGTTAAGGCGAGGGCAGAGGGGCGAGGCTGCGCGGGGACATGTCGACGCGGGCGCGGATGAGGTGAATGGGGTGACCACGCCAGAGAAATCGAGAGACAACAACAACAAGGCGGTCGAAAAGGCGACGCCCAAGCGCCGTGGTGGCGACGATGCGGCTCTTGTTGCCAGTTCTCCCCGTGGCGCAAAGTCAGACGGGGAAGCAGCTTCGACGGCCAGGATCCCGACACTGGTGCAGTTCCCGCTGGTCGCGGCCATCAGCTTCGCCACGGCGAGCCTCGGATACAGCGTGGTGGCCGAGCTGACCCAGGGGGAGCTGGCGGGCGTGAGCCGGAGCCCGGGGACGAGGGAGGAGATTGCGATCCTTGCCGGCTGGAGGATGTGAGTGGGCTTTTGCTTGGGTCTTTGTTCTTGTCGCTTTGCTAACGAGGTGGCGTAGATTTGAGCTTGCGCTGAGCTGGTTTGGTGGGTTAGACGGGCTAGATGTTGCCATGATGGATTTCCTGTCCCACGGGCCGGCGGTAAGTTGTCGTAACACTCTCCTGCTGTTACCGTCACCGTTGTGGAGACTTTGAGACATGTGGCGGTTGAAGCTGACTTTCTTGTCCTAGATGTACCTCCTGTTCGCCTTTTACAAACTCAGCGCGAAGACGACGATTGCTGCCCTCGCCGTTGACGTCGTCTCTGCGTCGGTGCCTTTCTCGCTGCTGCGGCCCCTTTCGGCCGTCCACAAGCCGTCCTCGGCGCTGCCCAACCGCGAGCTCATCGGTCTGCCGCTGCAGCTGCTCACGGCGGGGCTCTCGACGAGCATATACTCCGTCATCCTCGTCCTGTCGCTGCGATATCTGCTGCCGGGCATCTTTGTTGTCCACTTCGAGGGCATCCGCAGCCTCGAGCCGGCGTACTCGGCGTCGTACCTCGCCGTGCTGCCTGTGACGCTGCTCTTTGGCGTCGCCGCGAGCACCTTCATCTTCCCGCCGTTTGCCACCACTGGCAAGACCAAGGAGGACGAGCGCGTCGCCAACTTTGACCCCGCCGAGGCCAGCCTGGGCGAGACGGTGTGGTGGAACTTTTGGGGCTATACCACCAAGGCCAAGGTGGCCATTTGGCGCACGGCGGTGACTTTGCTGGTCACGGGCGTCAACACGTACTTGGCCTGCGCCATGACCATCCCGGGAGTTGAGCCTGAGGGTGCTGCCGCATATGCGGGTGTGTGGGTGTTTGCGGCTCTCTGCACGGGCCTGGGGTTGGGCCTCGTGGGACGCGACTGAGAGACGCGGTTACGTTTGCCGTTGGGCGGTTCCGAGGGTGTGGGCGGCGGCGTCGTCGTCTCGGGTGTGGCTTGAGGACAGGCAGGGAGGGGAAACATCTATGCAGGTGCTTTGCTTTTCACCGTGTTCATGTAATCATGTATTCTAGCACCTCGTCATGTCGGATCATTGAGATTGGCTCGGAAGGTGTGTTTTGGCGTTTGTTTACTCTTTTCTTTCTTCTCTCGCTATCTAGGTATGGGGGGGATGGACAAGGTGAAACTCGCTATTGGCTTGGCTTACATGTGTTTGTTCTTCGTTTCTCGTTATTGCTTTTGTGTATGGGATGGGTATATGGAATGAGCTGAGGATCCATGATGAGAATAAATAAAAAAACAGAACAAACACACTCTGAGGCATCTGCTCGATATTTCTGCGTGTATGAAGTTGTGAGTCTGACAGTGAGGGGGGGCATGAAGAGGGCGACGCAAATAGAAACCCGGAAAGGGAAAAAAGGAAGAGATAACAAGGCATCTATTGTATCTAGGCAGGCATTTCAAGAATGCCAATCATGCCCTTGTTTGGGCGCTTTGCGTGCTGGGTTTGTTCAGCTCGTCATGGAAGAACTTGGCCGGTGACTGGGACATACTCGTATGGACTCACTCATAAAGGCACGTGCGAAGCCGAATGACTGATCCTTTGGGGGGTTCGGGTTTATGTTTGCATGCATGTTCATCAAGGTACGGAGCAAATCACCTCATTGCTACTACTAGTATTCGCTTTTGTGCCTTGTAATATAGTATATCGTAGGATCTGGAAGGGCTAAGACGCTTGCGGTATAATTTTTCGAGACAAGGTGGGCAAAATTTCGAGATTATATATACGTCAATGAGGAACCTGGGCTGGGTTGGGGGCGGCTGAAGTTGTTTGGGCAGGCCGAATCGAGATGCCAACTTTAGATTGATGAGTTGCTGGGGAGTCCGATTCAGCCTCTGGCTGGGCTGTCATCAACTCGGAAATAGACTGTGTTACAGAATGTATGTACCTTGCTTTGTGTGTAAGGGATGGAGTAGGTAAGAGCTGGAGGTGTATTGGGCCGTTATAACCGCTGGGTTTTTGCGGGTGAGGGTCACGCAGAGCGCAGAAAGGAGCCCTGAGGATGGGGAACCTTGTCGTTTAACTAGAGAGAGAAAAAGGGTAGGTAGCAGCATTTGCTCCGAAGATGACCTTACATTTTTGAGAGGAAAGATAACCAGGTACTCAGTTTCCACCGACGTACATGTTGACAGTATGAGAGAAAGCGAAGGTGAGAAAAGGAAAGAAAAAAACAGCCCCCAAATTCCGGTTGTCCCCCAATGCATTGAAGTTCTATATTGGGAGTTCATCTACACACAGCTGCATGGGGGAGCTGAAGACTAGAGGGGGGAAGGCTTGCATGGGGGTGGACATGAGCGACACGTGCGAAGAGGGCTGAAAGAAGGAAACAGCCTGTTCGGAGTTTGACTGGGGGATGGAAGCTGTATCCTGGGATGGGGCTGAAAAGGGCGAACCTGAGCTTCGGGTCATTTTTCTTGTGTAGATGTGGTGTGGTGGTGGTGTAGGATTCGGACAGGGATGGTAATTCGATAGAGGGGGGGGCTTGCATTTGGGGGCTTGTCGGATGGCTGTCGTAGTTTATCTTGATTATTGTGATTGTATACTGCAGATCTGAGGTTAAGAAGAGGTCGTGGCTCGTCTTTGAATCTCACATTTTGCTTCGCATATCTCATCGTGTTTGCCCTTTCTATGACTTAGAGAGGGGGGAATCTCGTAATAAACTGATTTGAGGGGTAAAGGAAAAACAAGCTTGAAGCTAAAGAGAAACAAACAAAAAGAGGAAGAGCTAAAAATGACCATGACGAACTACTGCTGGCAACTGCGTCAAGCCCGTATACCCGGTAAGGATAGAGAGGCGGCTCCATAAAACAGAACAGAGATGGAGAAAAAGAGAGGCTCTAGCAAGTTGGCCATCTCCGTCCTGGCCAGCACATCATTTTTATTTTTAGTTTATGTTCTTTTTCCTCCTCTCTTCTTTTTGTATTTCCCTTTTTTATTTTTTTATTTTATCTCCGCGCCAGCAATCAAGTTGGCACTTACACCGGAAGTGAACCCCAGGCCTAATTTTTCCCCTGGTCTCTCTTCTTCTGATTCCTTCGTCTTCTCTTTCTCCACCGTCTGCCACACACCTTCGTGCGGAGTCCGGCTTCTCCTGAGGATTTTCCAATATTTGCTGGCCAAAGAGCCAATATTACCACGTTGCTACTGGGCTCAACAAGAACAAAGAAGAAGAAAAAAACAACCAGGTCAAGAGCCGAGACACGACACACACGGAAACTGGGAAACCTGCCTCAGGGGGGGTGGGCAAGCAGTCACACACAGCCCACGCAGCTTGGGCGCCATATCGAGCTCTCTTGTCTCTCCCTCTCCCTTTGTCTCTTTTGCGTGTGTGAGTGTGTGCGTGTGTGAGTCTGTGTGTGCCTGACTGCTGTTTTCTCATGACAAGGGGAGAGAGCCGGCAAGGCGGAGAGAGACAAGAAAAAGCAAAATAAGGATATTTCGACGAGACACCGGGCAAAGGAACAGAAACAGGGCAGGAATCGTCGTCACTCGGCCGGGTTCAGCTCCTACTGTCCGAATCGGTGTCGAGCTGAGGTAGACAATGACCGGTGTGCTGGCAGGGGTGCATCAGGCGACGGCGGAGACTCATCACCAACGGTCTTGCACCTTCTGACTTGCCCTCGTTTTCTTCCTACGAGCTGATCCCCGGGGTTGTTTGCTGCCCTTCTCGCCCTCTCCATCTTTCGTCCAGCTGCCCGGGGAGAGGACGAGGCGAAGACGACTCGGGCCCCACGTCATCCGGCCTCGACGGCGAGAGCAGGTCGTTACACGCCATCCCCCCGACCTATGAGTATAAGATGCCCCTCGCCCGGGCCCTTGAACATATAAGAGACAGAAGAAGAAGCATCAAGTTGCCATTTTTGTTGTCCAGACAAGCTCGTCCATGACAGATACTTCTCGGCTATCGCGCAGACAAGGGGTGTGAGCACTAACAAGCCGATACCCTAAACTCCCCAAGACTTACAAGTAACGATTCCCTTCGGTGTTGCCCTTGACCCCAGACGAGGGAGCCTCTTCCTGCCCGAACTAGATATAGATATATATATACGTATATATATATCTGCCACCGCGGTTCCCCCATCATCCCTCTTCCTGTGGCCATGTCCGAGCACTATGCTACCGCATCGGCGTCGGGAAACAGGACGAAAAAGGGCGTCAAGGTGATCAGGAACATTTCCAGCGACAAGGAGATTGATGTCCAGGGGCCGCTTGAGGTGGCCGGCTCGGTCGAGTGCGTGGGTAGCATCAACTTCCAGGGTAACGTCTCTGTGAGGGGAGCCATTGAAGCCTACGGCATGATCACCACAAAGGGGCACATGGTTTGCCAGTAAGTTGACATCACTCCCAAACCTGAAAGGGGTCACAGAAGAAGGTGACATGTGGGGGAGGGTGAGGTGGCTGGGGGAGCAAGCCAAAGGCATATTACTGACTCGTGGGCAAAAAGGGGACAAGTCAAGGCGCACGGCAATATTATGGTCAATGGCTACCTAGCCTCCAGGTGAGCTCGCCGTACTGAGTGAGGGAGAAATCGGGGAGCCAGACATGTTGTCGATGTATATAGATCAGGCTGTTGCTAACACGAATCTGATGTAGGGACAAGATCATCGCCTCTGGAAAGCTGAGAGTCGAAGGCGTCCTGGAGGGCAACGACCTCGAGATATACGGAAACGTCATCATCATTGGCTCTCTGTAAGTCTGACTCTCAAGCATCCGGCAAGGTTGTCGTCGCCATCGAAACATACATGACCGGCTGACTTGTATCACCCAACTAGGACATGCAGGCGCCTGCTTGTGTACGGCTCGTTGACACTCATCGGGCCGCATTCCAGCTGCTTCGCGGCAGAATCGACAGAACTTCTAGGGCCCTACCTGACGCGGGACTCGGAAGCGGACTGGGATTTCTGAGGAGGGCGGAGGAGGATCCTGGCGAATTGGTGTGCCTTGATACGAGATCATGAAAGGACGAAAGGATGTAGAGGCTCTCTGAGCCCACCGAGGAGAGCTGAGGTGTAAAAGTCGGTGGTGTGGCACCTCATGTGGTACAATAATAGATACTAGAACTGCGAGACAAGCCCAATGGGACAAGGATAACTGCACAAACCAGGATCTCTTCCATGTTGCCGCGTCACGATGTATATTAAGGTTGATGCCCCGTGCCTCGTACCGCTTGGGATCTATGCAGGGTTGGCTGCAAGATGGGAAGGATTGGCAGAATCACCGGGACGATTATTCTAGTACTACCAGCATGTGAGTGTAAGCCTCGTGAAGAGCAGCGAGTTTCCCAGTGCCATCGTCTTCGAAGCGTTGTGCGATGTACACTTTCAGCTGAAGCTTCTTGAAGATGGGCTTCACGAGAGGTACAAGCTTCAGGTACAAGCTTCAGGTACAACGTCGACGATGAGTCAGCACATCTGGCCATCACGGCGCACGGGCCAACTCGTCTCGTCGGCGCCGCAGCAACCCCAGCCGAAGCGACCAAATAAAGTCGCCTCGAACGCGGGTTGCCAGAAGTTCCCACGCCAGCGAGTCACCGGCTTGTGTCACGCACAGCCGCATATTGATATTGAGTGTCGCCGCCAAATGGACGACGTCGGGCGCGAATATTCGATATCAGTCTGCCTTTGCCCTTGATTTCGCTACGGCGCCTAGCGGCCACTTGGAATCTGCAGCGCGCGCCAGGAGAGAGAGAGAGAGCCCTGCCGAATAAGGGATCCAGATGCTGCGAATCGAGCCCCCAACCGTCAACATGGCCGCCTCGACCGATTCCGCACTCGCTCCAGATGCCATGGACCACGAAGAGGTCGTTTCCCCCAAGACGAAGACGGCGACGTTTGAGCTCGCCGAAGGCCCGGCCATGGGCCCCATGAGCAGCGTCCTCACGGCGCGCGCAGACCCGGATGCGCAGACGACGGTCACCGACTTCCTCGACTTCACCGAGTACCTCCCCGCCGACATGATTCGCTCCCTCACGCTCGTTGGCAAGCTCGACCAAAGATACGCTGATGCGTCGCACAAGGTCGACGACTTGACGACGCTCTGGGGTCAGCTGCCCGCCCTGCCGGCCCGCGAGCGTCCCTCGCCGGTGCAGCTGCGCGCTGAGATTTCGGACAACTTGAAGCAGGCGTTGGACGCGAGGATGTTCGCCCACGCGGAGGCAGTCAGGATGGCCGACAACGTCAACCGCCACTACAACAAGGCGACGGCGCTGCTGTCCAAGCTGCAGGCCATGATGGACAATTACCCGACAGAGGAGCAGGCCCCTGCCGAGCCGAGGTCTCCTCAGATGACGAGGGCGAAGCTGACGGTCAGAGCTACGGGCGAGGATGGGCAGAAAGTGCGGCGGTCTCGGGTCCCGCGCATCACGGTCCCCGGCGAGGTTCTCGCGCCGTACGAGATTGAATACGACACGTTTAGCGACGATAGCGACATCAGCTCCGACGAAGAGTCTGAGCCGCCCACCAACAACCGCAGGATACCAGTTTCTACCCCCAGGATTAAGCTGGTGAGCAACAAGAGTCAAAAGTCCAGTGGCCGCTCTTCGCGTGGACAATATGCTACGCCTGCCTTGAGCGCTGCTGCTGCTGCGAATGCGGCGGCGCTGCTCAACCCGCCGCCCGAGAACGCGGTCATTGGTAGCCCTGATGCGCCATGGCTGCAGTTGACGCAGTACGAGCTGGCTAAACTGAGGAAGAGGATGAAGAAGAATGCTACGTGGACGCCCAGCGAGACCATGATCGCCAGGGAGCTCAAGGCCCTGTGTCGAGGACCAGATGCCTACAGAGAGGCCAAGAAGAAGGCGGAGGAGGAAGGTCGAGTGTTTGAGGCCACGGTGCCGACGCCCGTTGTCGACAACGAGTCGGGCCGCCCGGAGTTACCCCCTGGCGCCATCAGCGTCGACTCCTTGGCTGCCACCGAGGTGCCGACCAGCAACCGGGGGATGAAGCTCAACGAGGCCAAGAAGCTCAAGAGAGAGCAGCTGGCCAAGCTTGCGGCCGAAGAAGCCGAGGAGTCTGCGAGGAAGATGCAGCAGGCGGCAAAGCTGTTCCTGGGCAGCAGCACGACTTCCAGCATGACCCCCGACAACGCAAAGAGCCCTGGGCCACAGCCCAAGCCGCGGACCAATTCCAGATCGAAGCGGAAGAGGGACGTCGAGGAAGAGGCCAACGGCGATGCAGCAGCGGTAGCAGCAACAGCAGCAGCAGCACCACCAGCAGCGCTAGAAGGCGGTGAAGCATCGTCATCATCGCGGCCGATAACGAAGCGCACCAAGACATCTGAGACACCAGTCCCACCGCCAGTGCCCGGTCTGATTGTGCAGGGCGGCTCGGTGTCCTCCGACAACCACGCGCCCCCAGCTGCCGCGTCGTCTGGGGTTCCCCAGTCGGAGACTCCCGTCCCGATCCCCATACCTCCACAGTCCTCCATCACGACGAGGTCAGCAACGTCTCCAGCGCCAGGCTCTACCCTCGCCGTCACGGCCAGTGCTGGCAATGGCACCGTCACTGTGTCAACCGGTGCGCCTGTCAAGACTCCATACGAAACCCCTGTCCCTCTTCCCAAAACGGAGCCGAGGATGTCTACCACGCCGATCCCTCCGCCAACGATTAGAGAACTGCCCGGGCGAGAGGCTAGTAAGCGCGAAACGCGGGGAGAGGCGGCAAAGCGATCACAGCAGCAGCAGCAGCAGCAGCAGCAGTCTGCGTCCACGTCACCTCAGCTGCCACAGGGACAATCAGGAGCTCCCGAGGCATCTGTCAAGCAGTCAACATCACGCGGTGGCACGCCCAGGTCGACGCCGGTTCCAGACTCGCTGCCTTCTCGCCGGCCTGGCTCGCGAGGCAAGGCCGCAAGCCAGGAGCCGCAGCCGTCGCTGGCGGTCGATAGATCTCGCCGCGCCAGCACGGCACGCAACACTCCCGTCCCAGAACTCAAGCAGCCGGGCAAACGGACTAAGCGTCCGGCTCCCGGGGTCGTGACTACAACGAACAGCGGCGGTAACAGCGCCGTTGGCAAGCGGAAAGCGGCACCCAAGAGAAAGCCTCGTGCAACCAAGAGGGACAAGGGCCAGGTGACGGAGGAGATGGTGGAGGTGGACGATGAGGGCAACCCCATTGATCCTGACGAGCCACGGTACTGCCTCTGCAATAGAGTGAGCTTCGGGACCATGATTCAGTGTGATAACGTCGATGTAAGTCCAAGCAGCGACAACCTTGCTTCTACGCATAAAAGAACCGCGGCGCTGACAAGGCAGCAGAATTGCAAGCAGGAATGGTTCCACCTCGAATGCGTGGGCCTCTCTGATATCCCTGCGCGGACGACAAAGTGGTATTGCCCCGACTGTCGTAAGCTCCTCAACATCGGAGAGAAGGGAGAGATTAGTGCTCGAGGAGTTAAGAAGTAGGCCTTTTCTCCTATTTCTTACGCATATTGTGCGTGTGTCTTTTTGTTTCTCGTGTGTTAATTCTTTTTTTGTGAAGCCTGGAGTCAGGGGGGCTGGGAATCCGGGTGCTGGGACGGGTTACGCGGTAAGGTGATTCTACCTGCCTTGTCTTTGTTATATATCACCGAAGAGCCATCGGGCTCATGAGTTATCAAGGAAGCAATGATATAAAGAACGGCTTAAAGCCGAAACTTTTTTTTCTCCTGTCGGGAACACATCCGACGCTCTTGGGGAACTTTGCCGCAACGGACAACAGACATGGCGCCGGAAGAGGGACCGGGAGGCGGGGTTTATTAACTGCGAACCGGCAATTATTGCCAGCAATGGATTAACCAAAAAAGAAAAAAAAGGTGAATTAGTAACTGTGAGGGTTAATGACGGGAAGAGCCGATGGAGATGGATCCGATTACATGGTTTTGCGGGTGAAGGGCGCAAGCACATATATATATGTGTATGAATTATATACATCAACTCTCCTTCTCTCTGATCTTACTACCAGACCAACCAATTCCACCATTGCTTCCACAACCTGAACCTTTCTAACCGATGCACATTCCCCCTCTCTGAAAACAGAAAAAAACAAAAGGGGAAAAAAAAAAAAGGAAGAGAGAGACGTAATGGCCGGATCTTCCGTCGACGAAGCAGGATACTCTCCTCAGTACCCGGCGGACAGCAGCCTCCCCAACGGGCTCCAGGCATTCATCAGCGAGTTCTACAGGATATCGGACAGGCCGGAGGACAACGAGCGCTGGGTCGGGCAGTTTACGGAGGATGCGAGGGTCGTTATCGGGCCGGGGAAGGCTACTGGGACAGAGGGTGAGTTTGTTATATCTAACTCTTATTTCTACCTTTCTGCAATTCATTTGCTTCCGCGAATTTGGCGTTGGAGCGGTTTTTGTTTTCAAAGTTTTTTTACTTAGAAGTTTCAACTAGAGCTGCGGACCATGCGCCAGGGAATGTGGGCCGCCGTGGCAGAGCGCAAGCACACCATCCACAAAGTGTTCCCCGGCCGCTTCGACGACGAGGAGGAGGAGGAGGGACTGTCTGCGGAAGAGGGCAACGGCAACAACAAGCGATGCGAGCTGATGCTGTACGGGGACGTGGCGTATAGGACCAAGGACGGGAGTTCGAGCACGGTTCCGTGGGCGGGACATGGGGTTTTGGAAAAGGTGCGGGATGGGGAGAAGGGGGAGGAGGAGGTGTGGAAGTTTGCAGAGTATCGGGTTTATTTGTTGAGGTGAGAGGAGGTGTACTCCGATTGAGCGTCCAATGAAGGGTTGATAGAAAGTCTCGATGGATGTGTGTCAATTGGACGTTTGTCTAATGGGAAGCGAGATGAGATGTGATCGATCCCTTTGACGGTGAAGCATGATTTTTTGATAGATGTATGTCGTGGACGCTGCTTGCTGTGTTCAATGCTTCCCCGCTATGAGGTGCTTGGAGAACTCCGTGGCATAAGGTAGTTGGGCAGAGTAATTCACGCCATTGACGACGTTTCACATGAACAAGCCGACTTGTTACAGATGACAAACTATGGACAAAAGAGACGAATCACAGGCCTTGCATATTCATGCGTGCTCAGCATTCTACTCAACGGGGGGTCGTCTCAAGAGGATTCAACACCCAAATCGAGAGCATACATTTAGCAAAGCCACACTGCAAGCCCTCCCCGCCCTTGTCTAGGAGATAAGGAGCCGCTGCTTTGGTTCATTGCCCATCTGGGCTTTTTATCACAAGGTCCGGTGTAGGCAATGCAAGGTAATGTAATGTAGGGTGAGGTACCTTGCATGTAGACAGATATAGTACCAAGGTAAGGGGTGCGCGATACCGGAAATTGGAAGCTAAATGGGGGACTTTTTGGGATGTCTGGTTTTCTCTCTCTGAGTTGAGTTGAATGCATGACGATGACGACGATTGACGATGATGGAGGGGAGGGTGTTGACCTTGTCTGTTGTCCGAGGACTGGAACTAGTACATACTGCTTGATGCTAGTAGCAGTTGTACTTGTAGTGTTAGCAGAAGAGCTTCCCCGGAAATCCCAGTGGCGATCCCGCGGCAGCGTCACCGTCCCTTGCATTACTGGAGGGACAAAGTAGCAGTGTGGCTTCGTCCTGAACCCGAACTAGAAGACGCTATGAAGTAAATAGAGCAAAGGGCCTTGGTTTTGCCACGGGGGGGAACCCTTGATGGCTTTGTCTCTCTCGTCCCCCACTCGTGTCCATGGCGTAGGAGGCACCCATCACCTGACGCCCTGTCACGCCTCCGTTTGGGGGGAGCAACAGCTGGAGTTTCCTACTAATCGACTGTGTACTGCATGTATGTACTAGGGGCCTGAGCGCCGTTATGTAAATGAAATCATCGTAATGGACCGGGTTATTATGGGAATACGTAAGGATGCCAGATTGATCAGGTTCTTCTGTGCGCTTCCACCGACGCCCATTCCTGGGGTTCGTGCGTTGTTCCGGTGATGCGATGTGTGTATCGTATGTACTTGGATCAAGGGAAGGGAAGGGAAGGGGGTGTGAGAAGCGAGGGAGGGCGAGGAGAGAGAAGAGAGAGAGAGAGAGAGCAAAGTGTGGCGCAATAGGATCAGTTATTGCATGCTGTAAACGGGCGAGGAGCTTATCGGTGTCGACGCCCTCTTTGGATCTGACTGCTTGCTTCCTATCAGCACCTGCTCGTACGCCTGATTGAGACTGGCTCCGTATCGGAACCGGGCATCTTCTTATGTAAAGCGAGAGCAGAGACAGAGGGAGAGAGATAAGGAGCTGGAAAGGAGGCCGTCGCGATAATGATGGTCCATAGCAAGTCATTTGCCGGGGGCAGGCCCTTGATCCCTATTCGGCGGGGGAACGTCATTTTGGCAGCGGCTGATGGGTGATGACGCGCCGGAGCCGGTCAACTGCGCTGGTCTGGTGAGGGTGGCTGAGGCGTGCTAGTGCTTTGGAATTGCCGTTTTGTGCTCTGTCTTCTATTGTAATGTGATGACGGGGCTTTTGTTTTGAGATGTGTTCTGTTCGGGCAAGGTGAGGCACCGTATCGGGGTCCATGGGCGTACTCGGTACTTGTGAGGCTTTCAAGAGACATCTCGGTCCAGAAGTACCTTACATACATGGCGCTCCCATCTCTTGTGTCCTCCAGAAGCTGGTTTCCCCATCTGATCCTCATCCCTTCTCCTCGGCACCGCCCGGGACGGACGGAATCGTCGTTACCTAGGTACCGTATGGGGGAGCGCCGACTCTGCCCAGGTCACCTGTACATAGGGGCGCCATCGCGATCACCGCCAAGCGGGCAGCGAGCCGAGATAACGGCGTGCCTTGTGCTCGCGGTATCCTGTACTTTTGGGACCCGTGGCTTTTCCACTCGTTCGGGGAAAAGTGGCTGGCGGCCATCGTGCTTCGACTGCAGACGCGCCGCCAGCACCCGAGAAGCCGCAGGGCCACTCAGCGATGGCCGCTGTCACGCGTGGCAGCCGCTCGATGCGATTGGCGGCGGCTCGGGGGCCGTACAGGTACGAGAGCTGTACATGCACATGTGCGTCTAGGTAGGTACGTCGACGTGTTGCCTTGTGATTACATTGCATCGTGTTGAATTCCTGTTATGTAGACATGCTTTGTCTGCTTTCCATGCTCCCATCTCCGAGTCGCGATAAGGTACAGTACCTTGCATTAACCCAGATGTAAGGTACACCACCTGAAGGCGCCGAAGCAGCAGCGCAGGTGATGCTCGAGGTACTCTGTACTTGCATCGTGGAAGCGCTGGAACTTGAACAGCTCGAAAAGAGGCACCGGGACTCCAGGCTCGCCCAGCTGAGATTAGCGCTGCGGCTGCCCCTGTGGCCGCTGACCACAGCACAGGACCAGGAATCAATCACGACTTGCTCTGCTCTGAGGCGCTCTGAGGTGCGCTGCTCCCGATCAGCCAGCGTGTCTCCGTACCTCGCCGTACCGGTACGCCGCACACCCCTCCCCCTCTGTGCCCAGACCCCCCCTTCGGCCCCCCCCTGGCGCAATCACGCACCCCCCAACGGCTCTCACTGCAGCGCCGGCCAGCGGACCTGGAACCCCCCGCGTTATCAAGTCACTGACAGCAGCCATGGGCGTCGCGGTACCGGGTGGTACATGCAGCTCCAGGCATTTCATGTGCAGTTGATGCTGTAATTGGCGGGCGGCGACTCATCAAAGCTGCCGCCCCGAAACGTCTTCCTGGAGCAACGGCCTGGCTTGACTGACTCTTCTCTCCATCATCCAACTGCGTCTGTTACAACTCGAACCTCAACTTGAACTTGAACCTGCTACTACTATCATTATCACCTGTCTGCCTATTTATCTTGCGTACAAACCTAAACGTTGAAACGATACCAGCTGTCACGGCTCTTGTCTCTCTCCTTAATAAACCGGCCCTGCTTTGATTAATACCTACTATACCTTGCCTATCTTTGCATCTTTCGACGAACTCTTCTTCCTTACTTTCTCTTTGTCTTTTGCCCGTTCTCTGCCGTGTCATACATCTTTGTTATCTTATATTGACGATAGACTTTCGCCTCTTCTCACGAACAAACGAAACCAAACGATCCCCCGTGGCTGCGCCATTCTCCTGCCTCCATATACCACCACCTTTTAGAGAGCGCCTGTTTCCCTTTTGTTGCACGAACCAGCGTACCACTGCACCTCTTTTCCCTTCTTCGTATTGACCTGCCGCCGATAATCTCTCCGTACGACGATTCCCGCCTGCCTGCCTACCTTACCTTACCTCAACCCAGACGTGACTGGGTCGCAGGCGGTACCTTGGACGCGAGCCCCTCGTCACCGTCGATACCCCTCTGTTGCTCCCGCGCGCAAACCCCTTATCGGGCGGTACCTCTAATCTCGTCTACGCCGACTGCCTGCCTGCCTGGCCTGGCCGAAGCTCTGCGAGAACCTCTCTGTCCACCGGCTCCTGCTCCGTCATCGAGGGGTTCGGGATCAACAGACGTCGTCCGATCCCTTGGACTCTGGCTTTCGATACCTATTCGCTTCTTGCTTCTTTTTCTCAACTTCCAAGTCTAGCAGCAAAGCTTCTCAGAACCTCGTCTCGTTCTGCGGAAGCAACAAGCAGCTGGAGCGGGACCACTGCTCCAATCCCCTTACACAGGTTGAATGCCGGGTGAGTGACCTTTCGCGCCCGTCTTAACCCTGTGCCACGGCTGTGACGACACTGCGATAAGCCGTGTTCCTCTCCATCCATCCCCTTGACCAGCACCAGGCGCATCACGCACGTCGACCGGCACGCACGCAGACCGACCGAGCGGACGGACGCAGAGCACACACAAACGCATAAAAGGGCACCTTGACTGACTGATGCATTCCCGACAGCCAAGAAGGAACGGAAACATGCAAAGCACAGCGGCGGCATTGCCGCGGCGGTGACCAAACAGACGGCCGGCAAGTTCGCGTGAGTCCTCAGCTCCCACTTGACGTCCACCCATGGCCTGGCACGGCTTCGCATCGCATGGCCCTCCTCGGCCTCGTGACTCACGCCGGTTCAGCTGCGCGCCTCTTCCGCCTCCTCCTCCTCCTCCTCCCCTCCCCTCTCCTCCCCTCTCCTCTCCTCTCCTCGCCTCTCTGCCCTCTCCGCTCGCTGCCTGGTCTCTAGGCACGCTACCATGTCAAGAACTGCCCTGGTTTGCTGACCCTGCGCCTGTCGATAAATAGGAGACCTGTCATCGACGGCGACGAAAGTGGAAACGACTCTGCAAAGAGCATCCCTACTTCCAACGCCTCCTCTCCTCCGATCAACACCCCCGAGATCAGACCTACGGCTGCTCCTGACAATGACAATCCTGAGCCGTCGCCTTCCCTGGATGTCTTGTCCACCACGTCCGTCTCCGCAAGCACAGCGCCGAGTGTGATACACGACTGGGCAAGGAGCGGAATGGCAGCCTCCCCGAGCAACCTCATCGCCCTGGCCGGTGAATCGCCGCCCACGCAGCCCTCTTCCTACGAAGACTCGGGCCGCCTTCACCATGGCTGGACCGCCCAGAGAGCCTTCATGACGCCGTCGCCGGCATCGCCCTCTCCGCCCACCAGTCACCCGAGGCGTCCTCTCAGCTACCAGATGGATCCCCATTTCGTCTCGCCAGACAACATGCCCCGGCCCTCTTCGACTGCCGCCCACCACCGCCGGAGCTCCCTCCACTCTCCGGTCCCGTACTCCCACACGCACTCCCGCATCGGCTCGCATCCCCCTCCGCTCCCCCACCAGCCCCAGGCTCACTTCTACGGCGTCTCAGACCTCGACCTCACCCTCAAGCCGCAGTCCGGTATGAAGCCCGGCGACCACGGACTTTATTTCGGCTTCGACAAGCTCCCGAGCCCTTACAGCACCGCTGGTTCTACAAGTGTCGTCTTGGCCGGCTACCAGGGCGGGTTGGAGGTTTATGGCGTCAGCAAGAGGGGGTTGGAGCACATCGCCAGCCTCAAGGGCCTGCGGGGTGGTGTCCATTACGCCAAAATCCTTCCGTGGACGGTGGGCGGGGACAAGGACTCTGTGTTCCCCTTGGTCGCCCTGGTGGTGCATGGGCCTGTGCTCCCCCAGCGTCCAGCTTCGGCGGCAAGCCCGGACGATGATGAAGACGCCGCGACCAAGGCCGACGGTGCGACGAGCCCCCGGTCTGCTTATGCTCACCACGACGCCTTCTCGGGTCGCGGTGGCCAGAGCGGCCAAGTGATTGAAGCCTACCAGACAGCCGTCGAAATTTACTCGCTCAAGACAAATAAGCTCGTCGACGTCCTGCTACAGGCTCCAACCATTCCCATCAGCGCAGAGGTGTCTCTGACGAGCCCAATCTTCCAGCCTCCGCCTCCCACTGGGGCGTTTGCTATCAAGGCAGACGCAGGTACCGTCGCGGTATGCTCAGGGGCCACCGGCGAATGCTGGATATACACGCAGCTCTTGCAGCCGCAGAATGGTCATGTCTTTGCCTGCACGGCCAAGCTGTGGACCTGCGTTCAACAGGGCCAGCGAGGAGGGAACGATGTAGCCGAGGAGAGCGATAAGATGAACCCTCTCGGCACGATCCGCCGACCGAACCCTCCCACGGCTATCATCGCTCTCAACGGCCGCAGGATTGCGTACTGCCCGGCGGCCCCGTCGTCGAGCATCGCCATCCGAGCCCATTTGCCGGTGCCCATCCTGGGGAGAGGGGCCGGCGTTACCTCTCACACGCCGCCTCACCTTCCTTCGCCCACCGCTGCCGTGGATCTCCCCATTTCCGACAGCGTCGTCAACAAGGTGATGCGCGAGGCTACGCAGGAGCTCATCCAAGGCGCGAAATGGGTCGGCCAGCAGGGCCTGCAGGCTTGGAACTCGTACTGGAATCGATCATCCAGCCCGCAGGCGCAACAGTCCCAGCAGGCGCAACAGCAGCAGCCCCGGTCACCGCCTCAGCAGTGGGCTGCTCGCAACGATGGCGCCGCGTTTCCACCGACTCATGGAACGTCTGGACAGGCGGCGCCGACCAAGGACCCGGGACTCGTCTCCATCGTGGATGTCGACTCGCTGGTGACGTCCCCTTCCGTCCACCCTATCTGCACCTTCGCTACGCCTCTGGGCTGCAGTTTCCTGTCCTTTTCGCCATCCGCCTTGGCTCTCTTCACGGCGAGCAGCAAGGGAGACGTGCAGACAGTGTGGGATTTGCTCCGTGTTCAACACACCCATTCCTCGCCCCTGCAGGCGTCATTGCCTTCTCATGAGAGCGTCGGCCCTCTTGTTCGCCAGATTGCCCAGTTCTCGCGCATGACCGTCGCGCGCATCATCGAAGTAGTCTGGACGGAACCGCAAGGCGACCGACTGGCCATGGTGACCGAAAGGGGCACCGTCCATCTCTTGGAGATGCCGTTTAGCGCGTTCATGTGGCCACCACCGCGCAGGCGCAAGGTGACGAACCAAAAGCCTGCCGTCGAACCGCCCGAGCCTTCGAGCTCCGCCGTTTCCCTTGCCTCTGGCGCCTTTGGTGCAGCGTACCAGGCGGCCATGCCGTTTGTCACCCGCTCGCGCCAGGGCAGCAGCAACAGCTCAAACACTGCGGGCAGCATCCTGAAGGATTCGGCAGCCCAGGGAGGGCGTGCGATTGCTGCGAGCATCACCAGCTCCCTGGGAAAGACGGGCTCCGCCATCAGCCAGCTGCGCAACACTGGTGAGAACCGAGTCTCCTTGCCTCCCGGCAGCGCACCTCCCTCGGCATCGTGTGTTGTCTGGATCAGGGGCAGGCGGAGCGCTGCGCTCTTCAATCTCGGTGGAGGACTTGTGCGAACGTATCCCAGCAAGTCTCGACGTCACGCAGGCCACGCCGGCGGCAGGCGTAATGCGCGCGCCAACCGGTACACGGATTATCGAGTGCCATTGCTTCCGGATGACACTGTTGCTCCGGCAGTCCGCCAGGTCCTGGAGCTGGGCACCCAAGAAGAGTATCTGGATCTTTCAGACGCCGAAATGGACGTTGGAACGACGCTGACACTCAAGGGTCGCCCACGCGTGGTTTCCAACACTCTCCATACCATGGGCGAGACTATTCCCCAGGCGGAGATTGAGTGCAGTGCGCCATATCAGCCTTTCCACACTGACAGGCGCGTCGTTCTTTGCGAATACACTCCTGGCTACGGCAGTCAGCTCGATGGGATGCCGGAGTCTCTCGCACACTCGACGTCGGATGCCACGGCGGCGTCGGTTTCCAAGAAGGCCAAGAAAGCCCAGAACTTGGCTGCAAACGCACCAAGCGGCACGCAAGGTGCGTCTGCCTGGGCGTTTGGGCAGGACATCTCCGTCGTCAAGCTGGACCTGGGGCTCCCCTCTGCTTTTGAGGACGAATACGACGACCCAGAGGACCACCGACCCCTGCCTGCATCTGCCATGGAGCGTGTCATGGAGTATGGTGATTCCGAGCAGATTGTCGTCACAACCAGGCGACGACGCGGAGCCCACCAAGGAGATCCCGATGGTGACGGATTCTTTGAGGACGACTGCGAGGTTCTCGACTTTGCCGACCAGAGAGTCTAAGCAGCTGTCATGCGGTCATGCAAGTTCGAGAACCAAGCTTTTACGATGGGATGTCTGGGACTCGAGATGTTTCTTTTCCTTCTCACTCTCTTGGGTATAAACTAGGTTCTACTAATTTGACAACTTCTGACATAGGGTTGCTTGTTTTGCTTGGCTTGCCCCCCCTTTCTTTTTCTCCTTAGGCAAAGTTGAGCAACACTGTTGAAGGATTGGTTTGACGAATGCTTATACTCTTCGAGTCCCCCCTCTGCGCCGCTTAGGATTTATTTAGATAGATGCGTGTGCCTGTATGGCTGCACATTCTGTTGCGTAGGCAGCATCTCTTCTGTTTAGCAGCTCCTGTTGCGCCTCAATATTGGAATAGACACCACTCGAGATACCCAACCAATGCGTCTCTTGCCTTGCATCATGATCGATCTCTTCTCCCACTGTACTTTGCACAATGCTTAAATAGCAATTGGCATCGTTCAGGATTGTGCAAATACTATCAAGTTGATTGCTATGGCCAATTCTAACACCTAGATTCCCCGTGCATACAGATGATTGACGGCAAGCCATTATCGTACATGAGCGCTTATACTGTAATTACATGTTGTTCATCTCGCCCCTTTTCTCTGTATTTCTTTCTGTCTCTTCTTTCCCGTCCGCTCTGCATTTCGTCCTTTGTGCTGTTTAAGCCTTCTTCTTGGCGGCGGCCTTTGCCTTGGCTGCCTTCTTCTGGTTGCTCCGGATCATGACCATGCCGACGAAGGAGCCGACGACGGCGGAGCCGAGGAGCAGGAGGATGACGGGGATGCGGATGGCCCAGACGCGGGGGAGGAAGAGATTCTGGAGGGGGTGGTCGTCGTCGACAAAGGGCTGCGTTTTGAGAGAAAGAATGTTAGTATGAGTCGTAATTCCCTTTGGGAGGGTTTAAGAGTGCTGGTTGGAGGAATGGATCTCGTACCATGAGGAGGGTCCAGATTGTGTAGTAGAGGAAGACGACGGACGCGGCCACGAGCATGGCGAAGCCGACGAGTTTATCGAGCTGCAAGGAGAGAGTAAATTAGCTGCTGTGTCCTCTTGCTGGGAACGGTGTAACTGGATGCAGATTGGATTTGGTGATGTCGCGACAAGGGGAGTAGAAGGTGGAAGGCGCACCATGGTTGAGAGGCTTTGTATTAGTAGAATGGAAGGGTCCGGAGTGTAGTTTAGCTTTGTGCGATCTCTGTAGAGAGAGTTGGTAGATCGAATCGGCCTTGGATCGGGGTTTGAAAGGAGCGTGAAGTTGGTGAGAGACGGAAGATGAGAAGCTTGAATTGGGTGAGGCGCGGATTGAGCCCACGCTGGCATGAAGTTCAGCAGGGAAACGCGCCAGAGCTGCCAGTGAGAGAGGCCCTGGGCTGGGGGACTTTAGGGGCTTGGATTGGGTGGTGGGTACGCTATGTGGCGCTGCGATATACTTGTGTCTGCGCACTGAATGTATGGCAGGACAAGGTAGAGTCTCTAGCTGCACGAAGTACCGATGCCTTGGAGCGAGCTGCTGTGGCGGATGTGACGTGGCCCGTGCACGCTTTTCCATCTTTTTCCTCGTCTTGCTCAGCCTTAGAACTCGGCAGCCTTGAATCAAACATCAACTCGATCCTGGGCGACGACAAGGCAGACGTTTTGTTTTTCGTGCAGAGCATCGCCTGTGTCTTTTTCTCATCCAGCCCAGTCACTCGCTTCCTGCATCCATCATCACCGGCCCCCCCTGATCGCTTCATCTTGACGACTCGGACGACAACCTCCGACCCATCGGATCAGATCGCGAAAACACGATGGCGGCCGTCGTCGACATGCCGCACCGCGAGCGCGGCAAGCAACAGCGAGATGGCGGCGACTCCTACCGCCCCTCCAGGGCTGCGCGCTCGCCCCCTCCCGCGCCCGCGCCCGTGCCCGTGCGGACGGAGGAGGAGAAGCAGGCGGCGGCAAAGGCCGAGTACGAGAAGCTGCTCAACATGCGGTCGGGCGGCACGTACATCCCGCCGGCGAGGCTGAGGGCGCTGCAGGCGCAGATCACGGACAAGAGCAGCAAGGAGTACCAGCGGATGGCGTGGGAGGCGCTCAAGAAGAGCATCAACGGCCTGATCAACAAGGTCAACACGGCCAACATCAAGCACATTGTGCCCGAGCTGTTTGGCGAGAACCTGGTGCGCGGCCGCGGCCTCTTCTGCCGCTCCATCATGAAGGCCCAGGCCGCGAGCTTGCCCTTTACGCCCATCTACGCGGCCATGGCGGCCATTGTCAACACCAAGCTGCCGCAGGTCGGCGAGCTGCTGGTCAAGCGCCTCATCATGCAGTTCCGCAAGGGCTTCAAGCGCAACGACAAGGCCGTGTGCCTGTCGTCGACCACCTTCCTCGCCCACCTCATCAACCAGCAGGTCCAGCACGAGATGCTGGCTGGCCAGATCCTGCTGCTGCTGCTGCACAAGCCGACGGACGACAGCGTCGAGATCGCCGTGGGCTTCTGCAAGGAGGTAGGGCAGTACCTGGAGGAGATGCAGCCTGCCATTTCCATGGCCGTGTTCGACCAGTTCCGCAATATCCTTCACGAGTCCGACATCGACAAGCGAACGCAGTACATGATTGAGGTGCTCTTCCAGATCAGGAAGGACAAGTTCAAGGATCACCCGGCCATCAAGGAGGAGCTGGATCTGGTGGAGGAGGAGGATCAGATCACGCACAAGGTGGAGCTTGACGGCGAGATTGACGTGCAGGACGGGCTCAACATCTTCAAGTATGACCCGGAGTGGGAGGAGCATGAGGAGGCCTACAAGAAGCTCAAGGCAGAGATTCTGGGCGAGGCCAGCGATGACGAGGAGGGCGACGACGACGATGAGGAGGATGAGAGTTCCGAGGACGAAGAAAACGAAGAGGCCAAGGCCATGGAGATCAAGGACCAGTCCAACGCCGACTTGGTCAATCTGCGAAGGACCATCTATCTCACCATCATGTCGAGTGCCGACCCAGAGGAAGCAGTCCACAAACTGATGAAGATCAACCTGCCCGTCGGCCAGGAACCCGAGCTGCCCTCAATGATCGTCGAGTGTTGTTCGCAGGAGAAGACGTACACCAAGTTCTTTGGCCTGATTGGCGAGCGCTTTTCCAAGATCAACCGCCTGTGGTGCGATCTCTTCGAACAGGCCTTTGTCAAGTATTACGAGACGATCCACCGATACGAGAACAACAAGCTACGGAACATTGCCATGCTGTTCGGCCACATGTTTGCTTCCGACGCTCTGGGCTGGCACTGCCTCTCCGTCATTCACCTCAACGAGGAAGAGACCACGTCGAGCAGCCGTATCTTCATCAAGATCCTCTTCCAGCACATTTCCGAGGAAATCGGCATAGCTAAGCTCCGGGCACGCATGACTGACGAGACGCTCCGGCCCAGCCTCGAAGGCCTCTTCCCCAGGGAAAACCCTCGCAACATCCGATTCTCCATCAACTACTTCACCAGCATCGGCATGGGTGTCTTGACCGAGGAGATGCGAGAGCACCTCATGAACATGCCCAAGCCTGCGCTGCCCGCCCCTCCTGCTCAGGACCGCTCGGATACGGACTCGGTCTCGAGCTATTCGTCTTACACTCGGTCCTCGTACTCTTCCCGTTCGCGCTCACGGTCTCGATCTGTGGGTCGTCGGAGCGGTGGTCGAGGCCGGTCTCTCTCCCGAACCCCACCCCGACGTGGCGCAAGGGGCCGATCCTACTCTGAAGACTCACGGTCACCGTCGCGATCAAGATCACGATCCCGCTCCGTTGACTCCGTCTCTACTCGTGGGCGAGGCCGAGGGTCTTCCTACTCGGCCAGTCCTCCCCGGCGCGGAGGAGGCCGTCGGGATGCCAGCAGAAGCCGAAGCTACTCGTCGCGCTCCTCACGGTCACCGCCACCGCGGACCCGTGGTCGCGCACGAAGCAACTCGTACAGCTCCCACAGCCGATCCCCCTCTTCGCCCCGACGCAGCAGAGCCGCAGACTCGGCCAGTCCGCCTCCTCGCAGGGGTCGACCGCGTCAAAGCCCAGGCGGTCCCGCAGGTCGGAGGAACAGCTCGTCTGTCAGCAGCGGAGGACCCCGGAAGAAGCTCCGGCGGGACAGTCGATCGCCATCCCGCGACTACTCGTCCCGGTCCCCGTCGGGGTCTCGCTCCCCTCCGCCGGCTGCTGCGCGTGGCCGAAGGGGCTCTTATACGCCGTCACGCAGCCGCAGTCCGCCTCCTCCGCGCAGGGCGAGAGACGGCTCGGCGGGTCGTCCGAGGGCGGCGAGGTCGCCTAGTCCTTTGCCGATGAAGAGGAGGCGGTATGATAGCGAGAGCGTGTCTCGGTCGCCGCCTCCTTTGAAGCGTGGGAGACGGGATAACTGAAACATCGTCATCTGACATGTGGACATACTACTTTTCTCTTGCTTTGAAAGATCCAGATTGAGACGGATAAGCGGAATGGAATGGGGTGGGATGGGGAACATGTGTAATAGACTGGTTGATGGAGTAGGGTTGGGAGAATTTACTTGGGTTATGTGTCACATAGTTGTACCCTTTTTACCCCTTTTTGATATCATTAGCGATTCAATACATTAATCATGGACAAATCAACTTTTTGCTTTTCGTCATACCATCTTTCTCAAAATCTACACTTGCTGGCAAATACACTGATGAAAATGATGCACAATATACATCAAAGCAGCGTCCTGCTACCCCTATCATGGCCATCCCATCTATCGACGAGCCAAGGAAGAAGCCGGCGACTGCCCAATCTTCAACGACGCATCCTCCGCCCCAACACACGTCCACAACAACTCGCCCGCCTTCAAGGCACCCCCGACCTTGACGACCTGCCTCTCCCCCGGCACGACGTCGAACCCGTTGTCGCTCAGCCTCAAGCCCTCCACCTCCTCAAAGACGAACCCCTTGACGGGCTTCTCCGCCTCGACGACGACCTCGTCCCCAGCGGGCGAGACCTCAAACGTGATGCCCCGGTTGGACAGGTCGAGGTACTTGATGGGCTCGGGCCACGCCGTGTCCGCGGCGATGACGACGCCGGTCGCGGCGTCGGCGACGGTGGCGTGCACGACGTACGGATCGTAGTCCGAGAGGGAAAATGGCTTGGTGGCGAGGTCTTCGGGGTGGGGGACGGACGGCGGGAGGGCCTTGCCTTGGAGGACGTCGGTCGTGGAGTTTGCGGCGGCGACGACGACGCCGGGGTTGACGATGGGCTCGACGACGTCCTTGCCCGTGCGGACGGAGATGAAGCGCACGACGAGGCGCAGCTCGACGGGCTCGGTGGCGCTGCTGACGACCCAGACGTCAAAGGTGCCCTTGCGGGCGGCGAGCGTGTGGTCGACCTGGCCGGTGACGAGGCCCGAGTTCTCGTCGACCCAGCTCCCCGTCTGGGTCCAATCGTGCACCGTCCGGCAGACGCCGACGTCGACGCGCCGCAGGGCCCGCGCGATGGCGTAGTACGCCGGCTTCTTGACGAGATGGTAGTCCACGACGGCCCACGAGACGGTCGGCCAGCAGTCGTTGAGCTGCCACACCAGCGCGCCGCCGCACCGCCTGGCTCCGGGACTCCCCCACTGCCGCCGCCAGGCCTTGTACGCGGCGCGCATCGTCTCCGACTGCACGACCTGCGTCAGGTGGGTGTACCCGCCGAGGTCGTGCCGCGGGCGGAAGTTGTCGACGACGTAGCTCATCATGCGGCGCTCGTGGCCGATGGCCTTGTTGTGGGCGTCGAGCACCATCGACCCCGGGTACAGCTGGCCCGGGTCCGTGGCCATGCGGCGCGTGGTGCTGAGATGGGGGTATGCTTCCATGCCGAACTCGCTGACGAAGCGGCCGCCCATGTTGGCGGCCTCTTGGTATTTGTTCATGGTCCCATGCCAGACTTGTGAGAAAGGAGGAGAATGTCAGTTGGCTGTTGTTGCGTGTGTGTGAGACTCGGGGAATAAAGGGGGGGAGAGAGAGCTTACTGTTCCACTGATGAATATCGCCAACAGTTGGGTCGGCCGTGGGCTTTCCGTCGCCCCAGGGGCTGCTCGGGTGATAGAGCTTGCCCGGATCTTCCTCCTCGACCAGCTTCGGCAGGAAATGCTCGTAAATGTACCGCGCCGGGAACGACGACTTGAGCCACGACTCCGGGTCCTTGTTCTCAAGGTCATAGTCCAGCTTATACCTCTCCTGGACCTGGTAGTCCTCGTTGTTGCCGGCCCAGATGACCACGGAGGGGTGCGTACGCAGGCGTCGAATCTGCTGCCGCGCTTCCACTTCCAATGTCTTCAGATAGGACGGATAGGCGGGATAAGACGCGCAAGCGAACTGAAAGTCGTGAAACACCAAGATGCCCAACTCGTCGCAAGCGTCAATGAGGGCATCCTCTTCGTAGACGCCTCCTCCCCAGACGCGCAGCATGACTTGGTTGCCCTCGGCGACCAGCTTGGCCCATTCGCGATACCGCTCCGGGGGAACATTGGCGAGGTAGCTGTCGGCGGGGATCCAGCATGAGCCACCGGCAAACACGTCGACGTTGTTGATGCGGAAGTAGAATGACTTGCCGTAGGCGTCTGGCTCTTGGACGAGTTCCGTGCGGCGGAATCCAATCAGCTTGACCAGGCTGTCGATCTCGCCGGCGTCGGACGCCTTGCGGTGGAGTTTGGCGTTGAGCTGGTAACGGCTTTGGCTACCATATCCTCTTGGATACCAAAGCTTGGGCTCCTCGAGCTTGAAGGGGACTTTGACTAGACCATCTTCGGCTGAGGCAACATCGACTGTCTGCTGGAACACAGTCTTGCCATCCATCGACAGGGTCAAGGAGACTTGGTCGTCAGGAGGGCTCAGCTCGCCACCCACACGAGCAAAGAGAAAGCCAGAAACAGTCTTCAGATCCTCACTGACGTTGCTCTGAGCCCAGACGTCGTCAACTCTCGCAACATACGTCTCGAGCGCGACGGGCTTCCAGGGCCCCGCCGTCATGAGAATAGGGCCCCAGTCCCAGCCCCAGTTGTACTGGGCTTTCCGCACCGGGACGCGGCTCCTCTCCGTCTGTCGGACCAGGAAGTTGTGCTCGCCGGCGTGCTCCTCGATGAGCTCCTCGCCTCGGACGATGGCCGAGCGGAAGACGATGCGGAGCGTGTTCTCCTCCGAGCCGGCCTTGATGCGGTCCGTGACGTTGACGCGGTAGGACACGAACATGTTGTCCGCTTCGAGGATCTTGTCTCCGTTGAGGTAGACGGTGGCAAAGGTGTCGAGGCCGCTGAACACCAGGTCTCTCGTGGCATTTTCGGCTTGAGAAGAGGCTTCTTCGTGGGTGAATGTCACTTGATACTCCCAGTCCTTGTAGCCGATCCACTGGACGGCGCGCTCATTCAGGTCCACGAAGGGGTCTGGGATTCTAGAGAGAAAGGGAAACGTCAGTTATGCAACTGCCATCCTCCAGGGGGGAAGCTGTTGTATTTTTTCGTCTTCATCATCATCATCACATGGGGGGGGGGGCTCATACTTTTTGTTGGCCAGCAGATCCACGTGAACCTGCGTCGGCACCTTTTCCACTGGCAACCATTCCGTGGAAGGGCCTTGATGCTGCCGAAAGGTCCAGCCTTGGTTTAACTGAGTGCTCTGGCGAGCCATGTTGAAAACAGAAGCAACGTTGATGGTGTGTACTGCTCTTGTCGTCTGGTACAAGATGTATCAAGTCAGAGCAAGTCGATACCAGGCACAGCTGAGCTCTTGTCAGTTCTTCTGCTTCTCCTTCTCTTCTCCTTACCGTCCGTGTCAAGCAGCAGAACCAGGGAATGCTTCCAAAGCACCGAGTACGGGGGCCGTGGGCTCTGTTATTATACAGGCTCCGACTCATCCAGATCCTACCAAGTCAAGCTCCAGCCTCTGGCTCCTCAGCCAAGCCTCTAGCCTTCATCACTTCGTCGCTTCTCCCCCCACGGTATATCATCAAGAGAGTGAGCCCCTCCCCCACTTTGCGGGGAACCCGGCCGAAAGAAATGACTGCCATTCACGGTCTCCGAAAAGCGGCTTCTCGAATGGAGCGGAAGGGCGCCGCAATCATTGAAAGGACGGGATTTTGTTTGGGGGAAAGCAGGAAAGAATTGGAGCTGGAATTCACGTTTCTGCGTTTAGCCGTCTTGTTGGTTTGTTGGGTAGGTAAGGTAGGGGCTTACCTTAACTCGGAGTACTTGTTCTGCTGGTGGTGGTGATGTTGCTTATCAGTACCTCGCGATGGCTCCCATTTGAGAAATACCCGCGCTTGAACTCTTGGCTCGGAGTCTTGGCCAAGAAGATGCTCTGGCTTCAACTGAGCTGAAAGCCCTTGGGAGGCATCTATCATTAGCCGTCGCCATAGCGGAGGGCATCCCGAGTTTGGGGGCTTTGGGGTGGCCCTGATAAACCCCCACGGTACGGTTAGTGCTGAGAGCCAACGTTCCATGGAGCTCAACGGTAATCAGTACGTATTGGAAGTGCATCTTCTCAACTCAAATCTCAGGGTTCGACATGAGGTACGTCGTTGTGGAGAAAGACTCGACAAAACATTAACTAGATAGTACTATCAGTTTCCCATTATTGCCGTTGAAGCAGGGCTGCCGGCCTCCCAATGAACCTCACGCATTCCGTTCATGAAAAGGCCGGACAGCCAGCCAGCCCAATCATCCATCCCTAGCATCCTTTCTTCCGTCCGTCCGTTCCAAACTCAACAGTTGTATAGGTTCGATACAAATTGCCAAATTGCCATCCAAGTTGCATTCAGATTCCCGCCTGAAGATGAAAAGAAATTATCAAGACCATCGTGGCATTTCAGTCAACTACTTGTGTGTCGACATTGTGCATCTCCTTGGGGAACCAGCAGTTATCCAGATGGCAAGGCTCCCGGGGACACCGGTGCCCGGCCACACAGTCTGTCTGGCTGCAGCTTAGTCCGTTCAGGCATGGAGACTGACGAGCAATGCCTCGCAAGGCTTCCAGCTGCTGGGCAGTCAACCTCTCCCCGTGTACGTGATGGCATTTTCCGTACTTCTCGAGAAAGTAGCACTTGCCCAAGAGGTGAAAGTTGTTGCAGAGTTTGCGGTCTTTCAGGATGGAAAAGTCGGACTGCGAGTATGAAAGGCGCGAGTCCACTCGCTGTCCAAGCCTGTTCCGCAATATGACTCCAGTCGCAGGCGGCTTCGGCTCATGACAGTACAACTGAGCTGGGACGCTTTGAGCTGGACTGGGCACTTTTGCAGCAGCTGCAAAGTTCAATGGGGAGGTCGACGGCATCGGAGTCCCCGGTGGTGTGATGTGGAACGACGTCCTGCGATTCGCATCGTTGGGAAGCTTTTGGCTCCTAAAGATATTGTCGAATGTCACGTTCTGAAACTTGTCTTTGATGGCCGCCAGCTCATATGCAAAGGGAGGACCCGCCAAGAGCGTGATCTGCCCCCGGATTGTCTGATCTTCGAGGAAGGAATCAAAAACGCGGGCATATCCGTTGTCTCCTGGTCCGCCGAAATATATCTGCTTGCAATGGCTGTCCTCAAGACCAAGCTTGAGGGCCGCTTTGTCGTGTTAGTCTCCAAAACTGTAAACTCAGAAGCGGCGTGAAGCTTGAGAGGGGAAGAGACAAAACTCCAATTCACGACGGCAGCTCACCTTTGATCTTCTCATCTGCACACTCTTTTCCGCATCCAGCGTCGATGAAATCGCACGTGGGGTGGACTGTGTTATACCCACGAACAAAATCTTCAAACGATCCCGAGTCTGGCAGAAGCTCTCTATATTTCTTGGATAGCCCTTTCAAATTCGCATACACACGAATCACCACCTGGGCGTTGGCAGGGAGGGTTGGAAATCTCGTCTTGATATCCTCGGCTATCGCTTTCCTCAGGAGGCTGGCTACCCTCTTGCCTCCAAGCAGGCCCTCTTTTACGAATTCATCATGAAACTGTATTGTTTGCAAGAGATTAGTACAGCTCTGGCCCTTCATCAAGCGTTTGGGAGGAGAGTGGGTGAACCTGTCCATACTCACAGGCATGTTGTCACCATCGATTATAACCATACTAAAACCGTGTTCATCCTGCCACCATGGTTAGCTCTCTGCCGTCTTCAGGAAATGTTGGCTCGGCTCTAACTGTTTTGCGTCGTAAATCTTCAAGCTGCTTCTCGGCGTGGTCAAGCTTGGTGCGTTTCAGCTCAAGCATATCCTTTCTGTCTCGGAGGTCCATATGCGCCTCGGCGAGCTGTGCCGTCAAGTCACTGATATGGCCGAATAGGTCCTAGAAAGAGTGTTTGTTAGTCTTCGCACCGCCGACACTTGCCCTGGACAGCAGAAATTCTGGGGGCTCACAGAAATCAAGGCATGTTTACGCTCATCCTCTGCCATGACTACACTCCACTGCTCCTCCAGCCTCCTCAGTTGCTCTTGGTTGTCCGTCATCATCTCCAATACTTGGCTGACGAAGAATGCTGAACATAGTACTCACACTCGCGGAGAGGGCGCGCGTGCTCAGTGAAGAGGAATAAAACAAGTAATAGATCGTCAGTTTATATGCATGGTGGAACGACTCTTCAATGTTCTTCTCATCTCGGAGCGCGTCGCCCGTGACTCTGATTCGGCCACCAGGTGGCGCTCGCACAGCATTGCGCTGGTCGAATAGCAGCACGACAGGTCGCAACGCAGGAACTGATAGAGCACCAGACGTCCAATCGAAGGGTCGGAAGCTGTAGGCCGGAAGACACGACACGACAACATGATTTCCATGTGAGGTGAAGCGCAGCCACCGCTTAAGCAAGGCGCTTCGGCCCATGCAGCGAACTTTGGCTGCATATGTAGCTCTCGATTATTGAATGGGAAATCAAGGACTGAGAACTCGCTTCCACCTCGCTGCGAGGGTCGCATATGCACCTTGCATATTACAGGTCTCGGAAAGCCCCCTTGTTCTGCGATGTTTGCTGCTTTTTGGCAACTTGGACGATCGACAGCCTGACACGGGGCATGCACGCGCATGCAACTCGTAACAAGTGCATGACGCTGGAGCATCGCTTCCCCGACGGCTTATTATATGCATGGGAATCTGCGATGCAGGCCGCCTTGGCGTTCACTAACAGGCCGGCGCAAGGCAACCATGAGCCAAACGATGCCGTGGAGGAGCAAAGAGTCCCCGCCCTTCCACTCATCTTGATGCGATTAAGCTCTTCGTAGGATCCAATATTGATCAGTCTTGCCGGAACCGGATCCCATTGGACGATGCACGCCCAAAACACCCATGAGTCTTGTTTCCCCTTTTTAATAGCAGCCGGCATCGAGCCTTCCGAGTTGTTGTCGCAATCACTAGATAGCATGCTGTCGGCGCAGTTCTGATCAACATGTGGTTTCGTCAAGGCCAACTTGGTGGCAATGCTTTTGTTTGAGCTTTATCTCCTCACTCCCTTCAAGTATACTGCTCTTGGTATTCTCAAAAGTCTTCGCACAGCAAAATGTTTGGCTTCAGGTTCAGGAGGGCTATCAGAACTGGTCAAGATGCGACAATCTGATTCATCCTGAGAGAAAGAGCCATTGGATATGACCAATGGCATCCAGGTGATATCCTGTGCCGCCAACAGTCTTCCTTGTGAGCAGAAAGCTGCAACGGCCAGATTCACGTTGCGCCAAGCAAAGTAGTTGAATGACGACAACTACCAGCAACAGCTCGACATCTCATGAAGGAAACCTATGGCAAATTGATCTCATAGGATATCGACAGCCCTCTCACTTGAGAGCCAGCCTCGACGCCTTTCCTCCAGTAAACCGACAGGGCGGCCCGAGACTCGAGGTCTCGGTCTCACGATGCCCAACGCTGCGAGGGTCGGAATGAGTGGAAGAATGCGGTGGCGATCTTGGTGGGGAAGTCGGGTTCGAGAACACCGTCAGACGCTGAAGCAGCCGGACGAGACGGGGGGAAAGCTCCTATCCTTGAAAGTAAGATTGCTGTCCAGTCTGTATGTAAATGGGCATGGCAGAAATCGGAGAGGCAAAACTGACCGCAGCTCAACTGGGGTTACCCAGATTCTGACGGCTGCAGACGATGGCGAAGCGAGACAAATGACTCGCTGTCATATCAAATACCGTTGCTGAAACTCGTCCCGTTGTCGATCGTCTGCATCTCTTAAGCGGATTTGCCTTTGAAGCTTGATCGGCACTCATATTCAGCCACTGCCGACCCTGCGAATTCGCGAGCGCGATATATATCTCCTCGGCGGAGTCATCGAACGAGACGCATAAATGGAGTTGAATGATGAAAATGATGAAAAAAAAATGAGGGAAAGTGAAGATTGGTGGTAGGAAGGCAAGAAGGTAGGGAAGGTGAGAGCAGGAAGGAACGGAATCGAATACCGATAATCCGGTGCCCGTTCGCGATGTCGTCACACACTCTTCTGCTCCGTTCGCCTCTCTACTAAAACTTTTCCTGCCAAACAACGAAATTGGGTGGAAGCAGCCTTGAATCAAGCTGCAGCCAAGCCAGTTCATTATGCTGCATCGTGGAAAGACCCATCAAGTGGGTGGCCATGTCAAGGCGGCCATTTGCTTGGCACTTTTGAGACCAGAGTTACCTGCCTCTCTCTTCATCACAGCTTCATACAGCTGGGAGAAATACCACAGTGAGTGGCCATTATCCGAATCGCTCCAGGGGGTCGGGAAATATGACATTGGTGCCTGTACCAGGTAGCTGACCTTGGTTTATGCAGTCTCCATCAACTGCGATGTCTTCCTACATTATCGTGTAGGCGTGCTCGTCACCATACTACGGATGCTCTGCCTTTGCTTGGGAAACCCCGGTGATTTGTGCAACTTATATCCGTTGTGTTCCAATCGAGGGGGTCGGGTTCAGAGTCTTTCCGCGTATTCCATGCATCTTCAAATCGTTCTTCAACGCCATTTTCGGGAGGAATACGTTCTCACTTTGCCATGATACGTTCTCCTTTACTCATTCATCAGTGCCCAAGGCACCATATCATCCGACATGCCGTCTTGAATGAAAGGCGACCAGCCATTTCTGGCTCTTTCTTTCCTCAAACGTCGGGCCGTCCTCATCTCAGGCCAACGTCGGCAGCATATTCCTTCACCAACAGAGGCCGGGCAACATGAAGCGGCCGACCTGCGCTGCCCGATGCTGGAGAACAATGCCTCATCAACTAAGGCGGATTACGGGGTGCATGCGACTGCACGTGCGTCTATGCAAGAGGTCCTCGGTGTGCTGGGATTAACAAGGCAACCTTGTAACGGGACATGTGAGAAGACAAGTCCTTGCTCTGCTCGACGTTTGCCTTGAGTGAATATTAGTTTCCGAAGACATCCTGCACCTTGCTAATCTCTTGCTCGACTCAAACAGAGATAACGCAGGAAACGACGAATCGAATAAGAAACTTGACGAACACGAGCTAGCAGGCGCAAGTTAAAGCAGGCTGCAGTAGTCTTGCTCCCAACCACCAGACCGACCGACCAGTCGCTCACCACGGCTGCATACACAGACGGGTGCGCGAATCAAATCAGTGAATCCGGTTCTAGAGGCGGGCCATCGAGTCAATTAGCTGCCGGGTGCATATTCACCACCTGCAGGCAAACCGAAATGCTCGTTTCACTGGCTGCCGCTCCCTGCGGTGACAGTTGGCAGAGTGTTATTGGAACAATCGTCCATTTGCGCGTCACTTAATTAATATACGCCCTGGCTTTTCTCGGCTCTGATCCTGATCCCCCTGCGGAGCAATCGACGGCAGCAGGAGAGAAAACGAAACTAGTCCGACAAGAACAGACTGAGAAAACAAGAGGAGCGAGGCACGCGCGCTGCAGCAGCTCGTATCGAGACCTTTGCATTCTCATCATGACCCCTCAAGAGTGTGTAAGTTATGACTTGCATATTCTGTGTCCCTGAAAGCCAGCCTTATGCAATAACCATATACTAACTAAGGTTTTCATACAACGACAATAATAGATTGAACACTTCGTGACCGAACATCCCGTCCAAGCTTGGGTTTTTTTCAGTGGAATAACCGTGGCTGCTGCTTCAGGGCCCTTGTTAGGCGCACTTGGTTGGGGTGCTGGTGGCGTAGGAGCTGGTATGTCGGGTTGACCCCCCTGATAACCGGTGGCAACGCAAAATTTGATCCATGGCTGACAAGGTTCGCAAGCAACTCTGGCTGCATTCATACACTCGCTGTTGCACCCTATTGCAGCAGGCAGCCTGTTTGCCATCCTCCAGAGCGCGGGAACTGGAAGCAGTCTACTGGCTGCTATCAGAGCTGCCGGGGTGGCGGCGACTGCAGGACCTGTGTACACCCTTGCGCAATGCATCGCCGGTAATGGTACGGCAACATGAGTCTCGAAAGCGAAGCTTTGTGAGGGGAGGAGTGAAAGGAAGGGGCAAAAGGTTGATATCAGCTCTGCGCCCATGCCATGAGGCTTGGGGATGCATTAGCTCGGCGTCTATTCTACCTACTACGGAGTAGGTAGCACTCATATGCAACGTTTGTTTGCTACCCAACTCCTGATGGGTCCTTGTGCCAGCTCTTTCAAACCCCCTTGCTTTCTCCCCACGGAGTCTCTCATCCGGAGACGAGCTCGTCTCTGGACGCAATTTCCTGCTTCGTCTGTTGCTGTGCTTCCGTCTCTTTCTTGTCTTCCGCCACAGCCACGGCTTTCTCACTCTTCGCTTTGCCGTCATCCTTCTCCTTAGCCTTGCCCTTTTCCTTCTTGAGCGAAATCGCCCCCTTGGCCAAGGCCTCGCTCGGCAGCGGCCGAATGATGGGCTGGGCCACCCACCAGGGCCTCTTGCACCGCTTGAGCGTCCCGACGGAGCTCTCCTCCTCGGGCACGCCCTCGATGGTGCGCTCAGCAATGGTCCTCTCCATCTCCTCATCGAAGCTCCGGCCGCCGGTGCGCTCATACTCGAGCAGGCCTTCGGCGACGCGCCTCTCCACGGCGTCGAGGACGCGCTCGTAGCCGGCCATGCCGTCTCTGCGCGCGCGGGCGAGCATGTCCCTGATGTCGGTGTGCCGGGTGACGAAGTGCCGGAGGACGTGGAACAGGTGGGGCTGCATTGCGGAGAGGTTGGGGGACTGCTGCTGCTCTGCGGTAAGCTTCTTCTTGGTGATGGGGGTGGTGGTGGTGTTGGCATCGCCTTCGCTGGTGTTGTCCGTCTTTCGCTTCTTCTTTGCGGGCTCGTCTGCGTCGTCGGGGGTTTCGCTCTCTGTTAACCACGCGGTGTCGTCGCCGGGGACGAACAACGGTCTCCTCAGCGGAGGCTCTTCGTCGAAGACGTATTTGTGTAGGATGTCTAGGTAGCGTCTCGTGATGGCGTCGACCCTCCAGCCGCCCTTTCCGTCCTTGCCCCTCCAGTATTCCCTGCTGTTTTCCTCCACCGGCGGCGGGTTGCCAAAGAGGCCTGGGTCGCTGAGGTTGCCCTCGGCCGACATGATGCCGTCTGCTCCCGTCGCTTCCAGGCACCTCTCTAGATCACCCGGTTGTAGGATATTTCCGTTGGCGAAGAGCACGGTCTCGGGGGGAAGGTTATCCCTAAGAAAGCGAATCATGTCCCAGTCCGCCACGCCAGTGAGATGTCCCTTTTGCTCGCGCCTCCGCCCGTGGACGGTCAGTATCGAGGCTCCGGCCCTGAGCACATTCTGTGCATACTCTAGAGTCTTCTCCTTCGTCTCCAGCACGCGTATCTTGGCCGTGACCGGAATGGGAAGCTCCCTGTGCAAGATGTTGACCAGCTTGAAGATGAGATCCTGATCCTCCTGCAGAAAGGCCCCGTAGTGGCCCTTGCGAGCTATCCCCTGCGGACACCCAAGGTTCAAATCGACAGCATCGCAGTACGGGACGACGTGCTTCGCGGCAGCGAGCAGCGCCTCGGGATCGTTTGCGCAAAACTGCACGAAGAGAGGCCGGTCGAGGTTTGGGTTGCCGTCCAGCCACGGCTCCTTCGAGTCGTCGGATGCCCCCGGCCGCACGGCCTGGAAATGCGCCCTCCTGTATTTCTCGTCCTGCGAAAAGAGCCGCGCGTGCAGCATGGGCGTGTAGGCTAGCAGCTTGGACTGCTCCGAGGGCAGCAAGAAGGATCGCGTGAGCATCCGCCAGGCCTAAAGGTAGGTTACACACATTGTACGTTAGTCGTCGAAGACATGGGACATTGGAAAGTTTGAAGATGGTGATGGTGCTAGACAAACAAACTCGGATTGGTCCACCATGGGAGCCACGATGTACCTGGGACTCCCGATGCTCTCGTAAAAAGCCCGCCCATGGAGCTTCGTCGCAGGAGGAGGCGAGCCTGCTGCTGCTGCTGCTGGCCTGGCGGCCGCCTCTGGCGCAGTCATTGTTGCGACGCCGCGAAAGGTGTTGGGAACAAACGCGGAGAATCGGGACTGGAGCAGCAGCAATCGATGTGATGTCACCGTCTTGGGGATCAAACTCTGCCACATAAAGAGAGAGGACTTTAGACAAGCATTGTCTGGCGCAATTGGTAGGAATCAAAAAAGAGAGAGACTGAGAATGGCTTCAAGTGTGAAGGAACGTTTGTTGTCCAAAGGTAACGGAAGGGTAAAAGGCAGAAAAAAAAATCCAAAGTCGGGAAATCGATAGCGAGATAGGCTTGAGGTTTAACTCAACTTGGCGGGGCGCCGTTTTTTTTCCTTTTCCTTCTTACAGCTTTTCCTCTTTTCGCATTGGTGGCTGATTAATGCGGTGACAACACCAACACGATTCGCAGAATATCAGAATGTCATAAACCAGATGTATATGACAAGCATCTACAAAAACAAGACAAATTTGACAAACAATACTGGATGGAGGTCTATTCATCCGAAATGAGACTACCTTTTTATGCCAGATCGACAGTCCCTTCCTGATAATGGGCCACAGATCTGTCCGATCCTTGGCAAAGTCATGGCGGTCACGAGGCCTTCAGACAAGGCAAGGCAAGACAGATTGAATAAAAAGTACTGAGAGGTTTTATTTGCTGAAAAAAGAGACACCCAGACGCATCACGCTCATAGACTGAATCCGGCTATAGAGACATGCTTGAAATGAAGCAGAGAAAAAAAGCACAAGTTGCCGGCCTATATGTCACCCTCCAATCGGCCGAGCTTGCCATATCTCAACGTGTTGGCCGCAGCGGCCAGCTCTGAAATGTTCGTCTTGCGCCAACGTGGCATTGCATCGTCATTTTTCCGGCATATTGCTGCTCTTCCATCGTGGGTTTCGTGGTTGAGCTGCAAGCTGCAACGACAGGTTTCCCATCTTTCAATGACAGCAGACAGAATCATCTGACAGCGGCTCATCCCGCTTCCCCTGGTGGCCCTTTCCCCGCCCTCGAGTCCAACTGAATATTAAGGAAATGTATGAGTCTTTGGGGGCTAAATACCATGACATGTTGTAGTGAGGTAGTGTGACAAAACGCCCGTGACACCTTACTATGCTGTCCCTAAACGCCGCAAATGGTAAATGTGAAGAAATACATGGCGAGGTCTTTATAAACCACAGTAGCAGAGGCGAAGAGAAAAAAAATGATGAGCTGACAAGATTCTCGTCCATCGGATAATATCATCAGAAGAAGTGCGTGTAAATCTTGGAATTCTCATGGACTTCCATCTCCTATCATCACAGAGTTCGTTAGCCACTGAGTCCGCAGAGAATTGACGGTTGCGTTTTGACGAACCATTTTGAAGCTGTTCAGCTCTTCCTTGATCTGCTGAGCAAGCATCGGGGTGAGGCGGTTGCAGGTGGCAATTTCACCTCGGCGATCGTACTCCTGGCTAGGCCATGTGTCGTAGAAGACGATGCGCGGCGAGAACGTGGCATTTCTCTTGGGACCAGCCTGGGGAGTTCCCGGTCGGCTCTTTCCAAGCCGAAGGGCCGACATGAAGTAGTCTTCATTGCCAATAGCAATCGAGTTGGCCCTCTTACCGTCGTCATTCGGCGTACTAGGCGCGCTTGAGTTGGGCGAGTCGGCGACATTCGGTATGTTTGGCAAGACGAGATCGGGAGACTCCGACGGGCGAATGGAAGGGCTTGACGAGCCTGGACCTATTGTCAGTTAATCATCCGCGCATGGGGGAAGATACAGGGACAGAGAGATTATACATACGCTTCAAGATGCCCTTGCGAACAGCCGCAAGTACCTCTGCGCGCTCCTTCTCACCGCCCACAATGCTCTTACGCGGCCCGTTGTCCGCTCCTGAGCTGCCCACACGCTCCGCTGCGCCTTCAGGGATCTGCGTAGCGTCGAGAGAATTGCGCTCGAGACGAGGGAACCCCGTGCCGCCCTTGCCGCCCTGAGGATCGGCAGTGACGTTGACACGTCGAGTCTCTGCTTCCACGGTAATCATGGATACGGCGGCCTGACCGGCCTCGCTAACAGGAGAATCGGCCGCCGGCGAGCCCACGGCGGACTTTGGCCGGAAGAGGCCAACCAGGGAGCGGGTACTCTTCTTCATGCCACGGCCCATCTTCCTGATCATAATAGAAGCAGACGAGGCGGTGGATGAGATGGAGAGGTTATCCGTCGATCCACCAAAAAAGCGACCGCCATAGATGTTGTTACCGATACCGGCAGCTTCCTGCGCTTCAGCGATCCGCGCTTGCTCGGCATCATAAGCCTCCTCCGCCGTTGGGTCTTTGCGGAGCTTGGATGCTTCTACCCTCTCCATGCCTTCGCCATCTGGCCCGGCAGCCTTGCGGAACTCGGCCGCGCTCCCGAAGGAGAAGGCTCGACGTAGCCTAGAGGTCTTGGTCTTTCCCTTGACATCCTTCTCATTGATGGCAGCGAGCTGCTTTGCCGCCGGTGATGCCACGGGCTTGCCCTGTGATGATGTGGCGGCGGTAGTGGCGGCGGCAGCGGGAGTGGCGTCTCCAGCTGGTTCATTAGCCATCGTGGCGGGTTTGGACAACGGAGAGGGACTGAGCGTCCGCTTGACTCCATCGGCAGACGAGCCTCTCGGCGGAATGTTGGCTGCCTTGAGCTGGTCGCTCTTGGTTGGTGTTTCGTCAGCGGACGGTGAAGAGGGGTTGCTGGTGGAGACCGTCGCATTACGGTTGGAAGACTGCACATCAATCCCTGGTTAGCATGCACAACCTATCAGGGGCCCCTAGCCCACTGTGTGATTGGGTGACAAAGCGGCAATGAAGTGTCGAACTTACCGAGGCGGACGGCGACTGAGCGCTTCGACCAGACGATGCGCTGTCAGAGCTTCCTTTGCGGGCGTGCAGCGGCATCCTTTGAGCAGCCTGGGGCGACTTGTCGCTCTTGACGACAGCGGTCTGCTCCAAGCGAGGGGAGCCCTCAGGCTTCAAAAGAGGACGGAATGAGTCCGTGGACTGAATGGTATGCACGCTTCGGCGGCGCATCTTCTTCGCCTCATCCGGAGACGGCCTGCGATGCAGGTGCGAGTCGTCCATGGATGCTCCTGGGCTCCGGGTGGGAGAGCCCGTAAGGTTCGGAACGGATCTCGAGCCAGTAGGCGCGTGGTACATCTGGGCTTGGCTGCCGGGACTGAGCGGTGGATTTGTGCTCTGGGATCGACTATGTTGAGAGCCTGAATTGCTAGGCCTCCTGTATCGATCAGGCGTGTACTTGGGCGTTCCACTTGTAGGTATCGTCGATGATGAGCCGGTAGAGACGTGAGCAAGCTGCGGGCGCGAGGTGGACGAAGAAGTAGCATTTCGGGCGGGGGATTTCACGGCGTCGTCGCGTGCGCTGCTGCTTCCATGGCTGCTCCCGTGGCTGCTGTGACCGCTGCTATGCCCACTGCTGTGACTGCTGCTGTGGCTGCTGCTATGGCTCGAGTAGGCGGGAACCAAGGCCATGTTCGTCACGGACGGGTTGGGGCGGTGAGAACGTTGAACCAGGGCAGGGTCGTAGGTCTGCGTGGGAATGCCGGAGGGGGATGAATTCGTCCGATAAGCCCCGTACTGCTGCCATTGCATGCTCTGATTCAGGTTCGGTGTGGGTGCAAAAGCATATGACTGAACAGGAACAGTGCTTCCCCGGTAGCCGCCTCCTCCTCTCGGTGCCGAAGTGGTGTATTGATGATGCCCGTTGGATGGGACGGCAGGCATCATGCCGCCGGAGGGCGTTGAGCGACCCTGAAGCATTGTCACCGTACCAGTCTGCTGCTGATACGTTTGAATCAAAGCAGCCATACTCCTCCCAGGCTGGGATTCAGGAACGACTGATTGGGACAGCGGGATCCTCCTCTTGACTGTATAGAGATTGGGCTACGCGGCTTCGAGTTGGAGCTTTGTTGGCGGTCCAAGGTTGAAGATGGCAGTGCTTTCACGATGAATTAGCAGTCGATATGCTATCGGATCACCAGGTATTAGCTACTGCTCCCAGAACGTTGAAGAAGGCGTCTGTCTAATCCAAGGGGATAGAGCTACGGCAGAAGAAGAAAGCAAAGCAGCGTATCAAAGATGGTCGAACCTTTTTCTCTTTTCTCTTTTCTTTCTTTTTTTATCGTTTTCAGGAGCTGGCAACGGATCAACAGCAAATAGTTGCGGTTGTTTTCGCTTTCGAGTCGTTTTTTTCTTCCAATAATTTCGCAAAACAAGAATGGCCGGTTCGACGATTGTATAAAAAGGACGCCAGCGGCCGAGGATGCTAAAGGATTTGCTCGCTTTGTCGAAATGAAGAGCTCACTATTACCACGATGCCACAACCGACTATTACAGGGCAGGCGTTTGACTGGTCGAGCAGGATCAAGTGTCACCCAAGACACGCTGAACCACGACTAGCTGCGAAAGAACATGGGGGTGTGTGCAGATATCGGCCGTTCGTATCGCGGTGACGGTCCTGGAAGTCGTCGGGTGGGCTCTGAGGTATCACGGGCTCCGAAGGGGATGGCGGGATAAGAAAAGAGGTAGCTTTCTAGCAGAGCCAGTCACCAGAACAGACGAGAAAGAAGAAGATGAGAAAAAGGAGAGGTAAATGCACAGGACAGAGACGATGGAGTCAAGAGATGCTGACGTATGTGCAACAAAGCGCAACGCCTCAAGGTGGTGGAAAAGAGAGAAGAGAAAAACAGGACGTGCTCGAAGACGAAGAAGGCTGGGAAAGGGGGCACGACAACGGTGCTGCGGACTGGAACAAGCGTGCTGTACAAAGTCGGACAGAACAGAGACAAGGGCGCGCTCGAGAAACGAACCAAGAAGCAGAAGGCGAAGGCGTTGAGGGGGGCTGGAGAAGAACGAAAGAAGGAAAAAGAAGAGAGTGAAGGTGGACGAGCCGCAATGGGTCGCTTGGGGGTTGAGGGTGATGGCGATGGGACGGGCTGAGGAGAAGAGCAGAGCAGAGCAGCCACCGGGTTGACGCTTGGGACGGGAGGCAGAAAAGTCGAGGAAGGCCAAGAGCGAGGGGGCATGGAGTGACCAGGCCAGGCCAGAGCATTGAGAGCCGGAGCACCAGCAGCACCAGCAGGTACGCACAGGGCACCTGGCACCTGGCAGTGGCGACGGCTGGGCGTGGGCTAGGGTCAGAATTAGCGGGCTGCCAGGGGTGGAGCACGCCCCTAACGTGCTATCTCGCGGGGCCTTGGAGGGCCTGCGTCTAATGGCGGCCGAGCCTGCACGCTCAGCACGCCGGAGGGCTGGCGGCGAGTGCGGGTGCGGGTGCTGGAGTAGGTACTCTTACAGGTACGGTACAGGTACAAGGGACATGGCCTGCTGGTGTCGACTCCGGCCCTGTTCTTGCGGCATGCAAGGTATAGGTACTCTGCAGAGGCGCGAGGGACGCACGCAGGCTGCTGGGAATGGCCTCCACTGTCTTCAATGTCCTCTACGGTCCCCATACTTGTACCTTGCCCGTACCAGGCAACCTGTTCTCGTACCGACAGCCAGTGGAGAGCTGGGGAGAAGAGACTGGAGAGAGAGGGAGAGAGAAAGCCGGAGCGGCGCCAATTGAGCCTGCAAGAGCGAGACCAGCGACAAGCGGCGAGAGGGGAGAGGCAGGGAGAGGCAGCAAATGGATTATTACATCAACGGATTGGATGGTAATAGGTAATATCTGGCATTAACTTTGCTGTTTGATTCTCATTACAAACTGGAGGGAGCGTTCAAAAGGTAGGTACAGCTACAACTACAGCATCAGCTCCTGGAACGGGCGGATCTCTCGTAAGAGATGCTCCGTCGTCCACGTCAAAATCCCGGGTCTCAACCTGAAAGGCCACCAGAACAGCTTCATGCAGAAAGTCGCCATCAAATCCATCTGCTGCTGCATGCTGTTTAGCATTACGAAGCGCAGGCGCACGTACCGGTACTTGCGGCGGCCGGGGCGGGCGCAACGACGGGGTTGCACTGGTTCCTGCACCAGGAACCAAACAAGACCTGTGCAGCAGCGCTGGGCACGCCGCTTCGTCAGACTCGGGGGATACGAAGCACTAAATCGGCGCCTCCCCCCTTCGCCGGCGACCCTTCGACCTAGCTCTGAAACCAGAGAAGGCTAAAAGGAGAGCGTGTTGCGGCCGGCTGCCAATGGGCTGTTTTGCAGTGTGCGGTGCGCGTTTCTGCGGGTGTCTGTAATTTTCCCCATGGATTGGATGGATGGAGGATGGATGGATGGATGGGCGGATGGATGTTTGACGGGGGACTCGTCACAGGTGCAGGTACTGGTACCGGTACTGGTACGCCAGAGCTCGAAATATCAACCGTCATTTCATGAAATGGACCTGTTGGACGTAATGTCCATACTCAATTGCACATGCCTTATTCGTACATACGATACACGAGGCAATGTCGCTCGTGGTAGGTATGCTCCCAGACATACAGACGTGTCAAGCTTGGGATTGCCTGCATTGCCGATTGATGATTTCAGCACCCAATGCCGCCGCGACTCCGTTCGAGTAGGATCCCGCCAGCTTCATTTTGCGATTGACTGATACCCGGTAGCCTGTCTGGGCACCCGTGATCGCTCGCTCGCGTTTGATGCCACATTTTCTTGATGCAATTTGCCTGCACATTGCGCTGCAGTCAGTCTTCCTCGGTACATGTACCGGGTACTGAGTTGCAGCCGCACGGATCGAGCAATTTGAGCGTCGGAGACAGCGTCCTGTGTGTACCGTAAGGTACATGTAATCACGTCGCCCGCAGCGGTCCCCTGCCCCCTCGTCCAATCTCTCCGTCAGCGTTGTGCGAGCACTATTTGCATCGAAATGAAGCACTTGCGAGCTCGAATAGAGTCGCCGAAGAGAGATCGCGGTGAGACTGAGAAGAGCCTGGAAGAAGAGAGAACGCCGTGTGTCTCCTCGTGATGGCATCCCATGCCCTGCCCGCAGTCGTTCATCCATCCTACCCCCTGAAAAAGAAGCATCATCGCGATCGAGGAACTTGTACTCGTACCTCTAGGTACTCACATGCCTTGCTGGGCTAGAGCGTGGTCGCGTCGATGCACAACGAACAAGCACCAGCTCGACGCGACTGATTGGGCCGCTCGCCGACTTGCTACCGCATATCCACAGCTGCTAAGGTGCGATAGCCAGGGGCCACCGACCAGGGCCGCAGGAGACGGACTGCAATGGAAGTGGACGACGTGCAGCCCAGCTCGTACGAGTGCCTGTACGAAGTCCAGGTACCTCTACTCGACGGTGGCGCGCCTCCGGGCTCGTACCTGTACCTGTGCGTTCATGCCGCATCCTCGTTCGTCTCCTCCGGCCGGATGCAGGACCGCCGTCAAGCGTGGAGGGGGGGGAAGAAGGCGTCTCTGTTCTTCCATCTTGCTTTCGACGCTGCTTCCGCCGGACACTTCGTCTGTTTCGGTCTTTCTCTGATTACTTTTGCATCTCGCCCCAAAAGCCACCAAATCTGCATCCGCATCTGCCTTGGTGGAATGGATATTCCACCCCCCACGGCGAGATCGACATCTACCTAGCAAACGCCAGATCCCCCAACAGTCCGCGCAACAGCATCCAGACGGCCAGGTTGAAGTACGGGCGGAGGTACAGTGACCACGGCCTGGCCACACGCTGCCCTCGGTACCGGTACAGTACAAGCTCATCGTACCCTCATGTCCTCTGGCCGGCATCTCCAGACGAGCCGGCCCCAATACGACAACTGCTGCATCGTGCCATCATGACCGTTGGCAACCCATGCAGCAGATTTCTGGCAAAGGCCCTTGGGCGCTCTTCAATTGGGTGGCCAGAGTCGCAGTGGCACCATCGATCCGGGCCCAAAAGTGACCTGCCTCTTCGTAATGGCCGGCCTACGGCTTGAGCGGTGCTGCCGTGCTGAGGCGAGGCGGCAACAGCTTCTGCCTGCCTTGCGCGCATGAGGTGTACATTGGATGCCATGTATGCAGAGTCCGGAGCACAACCAACGGCTACAAGCCCTGGAAACGTCGATATCTGATGAACAAGCGCTATTTGCCTGGGGGGTTTCCTCCGCAATCCCGCTTACGATTGCTATGTAACTGGCTAAGTACTTACCTTACTTGGACCCCGATTAGATGACTCTGGCTGATAGTCGTGCCAGACGTGACAGGAGCCCTGCGACTACCCCAAGCCTGTGCCCGTGAGATGAAGCCAAATCTCCACGAACAAGCACGGTGATCGACAAGCTCTAATCCCGGCTTCCCTATCGCTTCTCCATGTTTCTACTCTCGCGCCCATGGATCGTGGATGCTACGGCGAGTAGTGCTCGTACGAAAGTACGGCCAGAGCCACAGGTTGTCGTGGGTCGTTGACCCATGGAGACACCACCAAGCAGCCCACACGCCTTCTGGCGCTATTCATGCAGTAGCCCCAGGTGAGGCAATATACCCGGCGAAATGCGTCTGGTCTCTCGCTGTCTGGTAGGCAAATACTACACCACAGGTGTGCAAGCCGTTAGTTGTATGCATGAAATGCTCAAAGAGAGCGCAACGACGCGCCAGAGATCGGATCACAGAGGTGTGTCTCCTCCAACGCCAATGCAGTAATCCGCGGGGATGGTGAAGATTTTCACACGAGATTTGAAGGGTTGTCTCCTGGATAAGGTAAGATAAGTCCAATTTCTACGCGCTTATTGGGTGTCGAGGCAGAGCGACTGGAACTACCTGCTCCTAATAATGTGCACATCTGCCTCGGAGATTGCGAGTCATAAATGGCGAGGATATGTTCAAATTGCGCGAGTCCTCCTCATTTTACCGCGGCCAGGAGAAAATACAGTAGTCTATCGCTTGCGCCGATGAGAATGAACAAAGTTACTTTGGGTTGGTAGAGGAGGAAAATGGCAATGGTCAGCGCCGCGCGCAAAGGGTCCGTTCCTCGTAAGCTTGTTCTTCTCTCCCCTCTTTGTCTCGGAATTCGCGAGGGCCAGACATCGCGATGATAGTACAAGTAGAATCCTCCTGCGGGCAAAAGCACTGCCAGCCACGACAGTGACGTAACGACAGAACGAGGAACCCACATCGAAAGCTTAACGCAGTGCGCTATGGAGGAGCAGCAGCACTCCCATGCGACAATTGTCGTATTCGCAGAGAGGGGGGAAATGTGGTTGTCTCCAGAAGATTCTGGCCTGTACCTTGGCACCTACCTTACTGCTGTGAGATACATGCAGGAGGAGACGGAGTTGAGAGACGGAAGGGTTCGTGTGATGCTGCTGCTCCTCCAAAAGAGAATGTTGAAGAATCGAGACCCTCCACTGAGCACAGGACTGGAGGGTCCATGTCGGTTATTTTTAGGCCGTTCCCGGTGGCTCGGGAGCTCTTTGCAAGGACGAGGCAAAAGTGGCGCAAGGGAAATCGCTGTCTTGATCGAAAACAAAGCAAAGAGAGGCCCCCTCTGACCAATTACTACGACGGTTGTTGCGGAGCCGCTTCCGGCGAGATGCGGGCTGGTCGTGGGAGTGTCTGGTGTGTTACACGGAACGCCTCGCCCGCCTTCATGTTTTGTTGATACATATTATGCCAGGTTATTATACATGTAGTAATCGACGCACCTCGGTACCTCTACGAATCACACCCAACTGTCAACACGGACAACCAGGCTGCATACATGTAGGTATGTACGAATAGGATATGTATCGCGGACGACGCAGCCAACAGATGCTCTACATGATGCGGCCAGGGTCACAGAGACAGCCGGCCTGCGCGTACATATCCCCGGGGGGGTGGAGAGTACGAGTACGGTATCAGCAGGTGCTTCCTGTGGGAGAGGCTCCGAAGACGCCTTCATTACCTACATACTTACTCTTGGAGGTCTCATGCTCTTTAGCCAAAGTGGGTGCAGCTCAAGCGAAGGCAGGGGAGGAGCAAAACCACCGCCTCGCATTAATCCTACGAAGTAAAAGAGACTTGACTAACAGACGACGTGCACCCCGACAGAGGCGTTGTTTATCATCGTTGAAGAAAACGACAGCCGCCAGGGCATGACTCGATGTAACACCGAATGAACATGCGCCATATGTAAGTGATATATGACCAGCATCCAACACGGCCACGGCTATCCGTACATCTCCCTCCGTACCGACAAAGCAAGTTCCTTTCGCACACACCCGTCTTGAAGTCTGTTTCGACTCGAACGCGGGCCGCTGGTTGTTTGGCGCCACGCAGATCCCAAGGCCAACTTGCACATACTGTACAGTTACGTACATCAAATGTAAAGTTCAGGTCTAGAACCGCTGTCGATGTTGACCTGGTGGACTTGGCCCGACTTTGCCATGAGAGAGACAGAGAGGGAGAGAGAAGGCGTATGATGATTGCAACCGGTTAAGCGTGGCCCTGGCCCTGGCAACCGTCTGTTCGCGGCGAGGGCCCAATCTATTCGACACGGAACTAATGGAGAGGAGAAATCTTGCCAAGATCTGGCATAGATGGGTTAAAATGCTTTGCAGCAGTGATTGGCGGTTGCTTGGCTTAATACACGCATTTAGGGTGCATGAGATCAGCCGTGAGGCTATCACGATTGTTGGGTGTAGTATCTGTACATGTACTTTGCACATCAAAGCAAGTTTTAGATGAAGGCTGGAGTAGTATTTTGGCTTCTCAGACAGAGGAAAAACGGTGATGGCGTCTGTCAAAAGTTCACTCCATTGTCACCCTCCCTCACTTACTAGGTACTTGATCTCGCTACTTAAGCCAATGTCCTCTTCTAGTTGGTTCACGAAGAGAAGCGCCAACTCGATGAATCTCAACATCCATTTACCTGGATAAAAGAAGATCGGCTAATCCAGACTCCAAATCCCCTTGAGTAACCCAAACAGTACTAGCAGTCGAGAGGATCAACCTCACGCAACTCACTCAATGGCATTCTCGCACTAACGAAAGCCGCTGGCTGCTATTGAACAAACGGTGCCAAGTTCAGCTAGGATCCTTCGCGTCCAATATCAATGTTGCCAGGCAAACGTGCATCTTGTACCATTCGATATTGACCTTGAACATCTTCGTACCGAGTGGCATAATTCCTTTCTGTGAGACACCAGAGAAACATGTATGTCTACCCTGCACTTATACAACCACCTTCGACGTCTTTCTAACCACGAGATAACATTGCAGAGCGCCACGATTTCGACTTCGCGCATTTACCTCGCGATAGCATCAAAGCACATGGTGCTCCAGGCAGCGTAGCGCCTTTTGTCTCGCGCCCCCTCCCCCGTCCTGCCCTGCCTTGCCCTGCTTTCCCCGATGGCGCCTTTGCCTTGCCTTGCCAAGAAGCCGCCCCAAAAACGCCTGGATTTCTCCAAGTTCGTTCTCGATAGCTTCGAAGCGCGTGCGACAGGCCGGAAACGGGGGGCAGGGTGACGCGCGGATAGCCCGTCACCATGGTCGGAGTTCCGCGAAGCAGCGGCTGTCAGCTGTGCAGGCAGAGGAGAGTCAAGTGTGACGAGGCCAGGCCAGAGTGCGGCAACTGTCGCAAGTACGGCGTCCGGTGCCCCGGCTACGAGCGAGCCATCAAGTTCGTGTCTGGCAAGCACGCGGTCCGGAGTAAGGGCTCTCGAGGAGCGTCGAGGGCCGGCCGCCAGGGCAGTGCTGGTGCTGGTGCTGGTGGTGGTAGTGCGGCATCGGAGACGCTGTCATCTACAGCTTCGACTTGGCCTGCTGGCAGCACCACTACGCCTGATGATGGCAGAAGCAGAAGCAGAAGCAGCAGCAGCAGCAGCAGCACAATCGCGAGTCGCACTACTGCCGCTGTGGCCATGCCCCTGGTGGCCTCGCCTCAGCCCAGCCGGGCGCTCTTCGTTGGCACTCTGATGGACATGGCCCAGGCCAATCTAGCTTCCAAGGACGTGACTACGTTCCTGAGCTTCTTCAGCCAGCTCAGGTTTGAGGCGCTGGGCACGTCCGCCGCTCTGGATGGCGCCATCTGCTCGCTCTCTCTGCATCTCATGGGCAAAGAGCTGGGCGACGACAGCCTCGTGGCCCGAAGCAGAACTGTGTATGGGTGGTCTCTCGCAGCTCTTCAGACGGCATTGAGACACCCCGTCAAGTGGAAGGCGTCCGAGACCTTTTGCTCTGCTGTCCTGCTATGCTTCTTTGAGGTAAGCTCAGAATGAACGCAATGAAAAAGAAAACATGGCAGAAAGCAAACCATGCTCTTTCTCTTTCATCACTCTTGGAAACAGAACTTGACCGAGCCTTGCTGACCTTTGTCGGCGGGGAATTAGCTGTTTGCGGGTACGACTTCGCCGGACACCTGGTTGCATCACGCTCAAGGAATCGCCACTCTGATGGCGCAACGTGGTCCTGCAGCTCATGCGCAGGGCAACGATGCAGCCATACTGTTTTCCTTCCGAGGCATCTTGGTAGGCCACACTCCTGTTACCCACTCCCCCCGTTGCTGTTCTGACTGCTATTGGTGATTGTGACTGTCTTGTTCCCCCCTTCCCTCCCCTCCTTTTCTCCCGGGACGTGAGAGCTGTCTGTTCCTGCGTCTTCCGAGGGAGAGCGTTGAACAATAGACAGGATTCTCAAGGAGAAAGACAATGTGCTCATTTACTCCGACACCCTGCCCAGATACATACGCCCAAGTACCTGTAGCTGACACACCCTCTTCTTCTCTATCTTCTCCATGGCTTAGATTATGAGCTCGCTGTTCTTCCCAACTAGCGACAAATGCTTCCTAGCCCTGCCAGAATGGAGGGGAATGCTCACTTTCCCGTCGCGGTCAATCTACACTCCCGCAGCGCCAGACTTGACAAGGCCGGTGGTCAATTCATTTCTGCTATGCCTGGCAGACATGCCCGAGGTCATGTGGTATGGCTATCCCATCCGCGAGGCTCTCGTAGCCGGCAGACAGGTGAAGCCTAAGCGTATACAGCACCTGGCCGAACTGACGGCCGCAAACCACGAGCGCTTCACCGCGTGGTATTACGAGGACTTTCAGAAGCTCGGCGTCACGCCCAAGGAGGTTCCCTCCGAGGACCCCGACTCACCCTATCCGATCGTGTTGGAACACCCCGTCGGATGGCTTGGGACGATGCTCATGGGCTACTGGGCCAGCATGCTTATTCTGCAGGAGCTCTTGATTCGGTGCCAGTGGCCGGCGGTGGACTTTCGGGACTCCCAAGGGGAGCTTGTGCAGAACATTCTCCGGTCCGTCGAGACGATGGGGAGAGGCATCATGGGGCCCTTTCGGCTGGGCTACTCGATTCGCATCGTGTATGAGTTTGCCAATGCGGAGACGCAGCGATGGATCATTACCATGCTGGACAAGTTCTCCAAGAGATATGCGGCGACGGATAAGGGGAGCTATCCGAGTCCGCGCGTGGACGCGCAAGGGTACTCGTGAGAGCTTTTCTTTCCTTCGAGACGGTGAGGACTACACATGCCGGAGTCGACCGATTGGGGAGAGAAAAAGGGTGGAGGGGGAGGAGGAGAGGATCTAGAGTGTTTTGAGTATCAATTTTCTTTTCTTCGCATGTGTCAGGATGCAGGTACATGTGAAGGGGCAGCAGACTTGTGCTTTAACGATGGTGTGAAAGAATGACCCGAATGGGAGGCATGACTTTCGACTTACATGTAGCATGCGGTGGGCATACGAACAACAACAACAACGACAACAACAAACCTCTCGTATAAGAGGTTTATCTGGCATGCAAGCCATGCCTCCCCCCGTTTATTATGAGTCTTAGTCATCTCAAGACAGATGCCACCACCCTCTTTTGCGTTCTGTCTGATCATGGTGTGCACGGATCTGGTGATCGGGTTGAGATGGCTTCGCTTGATTGGCGATGGAAGGTCGTAGGCCGTAAGCAGCCACGTCGATTGATCCCGTGTGGCCCTTCGTAAAAGAGAGTGCAAGGAAAAAGGAGGTGGCATTCGTGGGAGGCTGGATTAGGATATAAATAGCAAGCCACATGAGACGTGTCTTTTTTTTTTGTTTGAATATTAGAATTCTTATTTCATTGTCTATTTCTGTTTATCTCAAGTTTCTCTCCTGCTTCCAAAATAATTATTGGTTAAGGTGGTGAGGTTATCATTAAGAACCAATATCATCCCGAGTCGTATAACATGTAATAAATCGTACTAGATGTTTTTGCACCGATCCAGCCAGCACTGTAAGTCGTGTGAATTGCGTGACGCGTGATGTGAAGGAAAAGAATAAAAAGAATAAAAAACAACAACGGGAAGATGGGTGATGAAAAAGATCCAGAGCTTGTTCTGAGGGAGTTTCCCCTGGTGTTTTCTTGCGACAAGCAATCTGTTTTCTTCCAAATTCCGGATGTTGTGTGAATGGATTGGGGAATTCAGTTGCTCGAAACCCGCCTCTGCTTCTTCTTCCACAAAAAGGTGCGTGCGAGGCCGGACAGGGAGGGACCCCCGAAGAGCAGCTGGTCGGTGTGGCGGCCGCAGGTGGTGTGGACGTTGACGGTGGGCGAGGACTTGATGAAGCCGAAGGAGGTCCTGCGCTGGGGGGAGGAGATGGACTGGGGGCTTGTGGCGGCGGTGGAGCTTGTCCCGACTCTCTGTTTGATTGCGTTTTGTTAGATATATATATACATGTAATATATAAGTGTAGTTGGTGGGGAGATTTTCTGCATGCATACCTTTGATGGGGAGAAGAGTGGTGAGTCGAGCGAGTCGCGGGACATGCCCTGGAAAGCGTCGAGCTCCAGCGGGGGAGGGCGAGCGGCGCGGGATGAGCGGAACATGGCGTAGGTAGGTATTAAAATGTTTTTGTTTTCGTTACAAAAGACGTTTGATTCTAGGTGGTATTTCTAATGTTTTCCAGACGAGGGCTCTCTTGCTCGGTCCGCCGTGAACGAAGAAAGGCTTGCTTTGCTTCTTTGGTGTGTGTGTGTGAGGAAACGATAGGACTGACCCGTGCCGTCAAGGCAGCTGAGGCTCTTGCACGCCGGGTGCGAAATAAAAGAAGGGGGGAAAAGGTTAACGGGTTCGAGAGGTGCAGATCATAGAAACGCAGGATGAACTACGAGGAAGAAGAAAGAGAAGAGAGGGAAGGGGGGGGAGAAGAGGAAGATAGGGCTGGGCTGGATACTAAATAGCCAGGAGGATGCTCTTTGTTAGGAATTTTACGACGAGTTACATGCACGGCTACGGGTGACTGATGACTGACTGGGCACAAAGCTAGGGAGAAATGTGCATGCTATTCATTTTTTATTTTATTTTTTATTCTGAATAAATCTGTGATGGGCATAACGTAAACTTGCAAAGGAAAAAGTAAACAAGAAACTGGGACTGATCTGGACCTTTGGACTGACTTGCTGTGTGGCGGCTGACCGAATCCGTGTCAGGCCGCAGATGCAGATGCAGCACGGCCAAGAAACGCAGCGGTGCGACCACCAGCCGGCCGGCATTCCAGTCATCAGGAGCCAGCGTGTCGGTAAAACATCAAATGAGAGCGGAAACCATCGAAGGGGGGTCCGCGTGGAACCAAGTCTGGGGGCATCCATCACATGATGGGAGAGGCAGCGATAAGGCCGCCAGGGAAGCAGAGGGAAATGGGTGCGAGGGGTGGAAGGCCGAGAGATCGGTGACGGGGGGACGAGGACAAAGGAGAGAAAGAGACTGAAGAAAAGCTGGGGACGGAGAGAGAGAGTGAGAGGCGACAAAGACAGACAAGCAAGGAAATGGGAGCGGGCTGGCGTCGTCATGGCGGGGATCCTCTGTGGCATCTTGGCTTCAAAAACCTGATGGTTTGGAGTGAGGGCGTTTCTGTCTGTCTCTGGTGACGATCACATTGACGAGCTACTAGTACTAGTAGTAGTAAGGTCGATAGACAAAGAGGAGTGAGCATTGGCCAGACAAGACCCTTTGCCGATATGGTCAGCTCGAGACAAGACGAGACAGGACATGGCAGCTTGTACGACGTCGAGACCGGGTGCTGCAAAGTCTGTAGTATACCAACAAGGGACAGAGGCCGACCACGGCACATTCCGACAGCCTGCAGGCAGCTGGCACCACTGACCCCGTATTGCCTTATGGAGCAGTAACTTTCGTGGCTCGTCGTCTTCATCGTATTGCCCAGCAAGGAAGCATCAAGCGCTCCTCCATCCCCATCAGGGGCCCGCATCGCATCGCGGAACGGCTGTGGGCTGGCCACTCCAGGCATCGGTAACCAGCTCCAGCCAACATTGAAATCCCTTGTCGTACCGCCTACTGCTTAGTCCCAACGGCCAAGTCAGCTCGGGGGCCAAAACAAGGGACAGACACCGAGCGATGGAATGGCCCTAGCTGGGCTGCCCCCTTTTTTGCTGCCGCTCTGGTCGTAGCACCGGCCGTATTATTGCGTGAGCTGAGCCGTCAAAGAGGAACACCCGAACCAATGGCCTCGCGGCACGGCAAACGCACATCTCGTCGGCTTCATTCTTGGCCGTCTGGTATTAGTGGTCGCGCCGCTGGGCTCTTTGAACCAACATGAGTCACGCCTTTGCGAGAGGAAAGAGAGACATTTTGACTACCTCGTCAGAACATGCAGAGACACAACTGGCGAATGACGGCGCAATGGTCCGTTTGCTGAAGCTGCTTGGTCGATGCAGGACGCAGACAAGAGGCTAAAGCGATGCAAATCTAGGACTGACGTGGGCTGCAGGTTGCTGACATGCGCCCAAAAGCTTGGCTTCGAGTCCTATGGTGGTTGGACGGTACTACTACTACTACCACTGGTTGACCAGGAAGACGATCCCTTCATTGTTTCTCTCTCGATGATAACATGGAAGTCCTACCCTGGAGCAGACGGTGCAATCCAAGTTCAAGCCTCAGGCACCAAGGCACCAACTCTGCGTTCCACGATGCGGCGCCTGGCCACCTGACTGTCCCTTTCTTAGGCGTGGGGTTCAGAGCTGGCCCGGAGTAGTGGCACTGGCAGCACTTCTTCATCAGCCCTACGGCAAGCCCAGAAACTGCTTGAGCCGCATCAGGGGGGATCGGTGCCGAGGACAGATCTGAGGAATCCGGGGAAGCTGGCAAATTAATTCGATGTCCATCGTGGCGGGCCGGGACGCAGTTGGCGATGGTGCATTGCGACTCGAGGGATTGGCAGCGTGGCTGTATGTTAGCAGAGCGTCCAGAAGCTGCATTCGTTGCATCGAGGCGGTCCCGTCCCATCAATTGTGCTCTTGTCCATTCACCGTCGATGCCGCAGCCTCAATTGCGTGTATGTGCCCTCGCCGCGGCTTTCAGGTCTTTGCCTGAAGCCCTGGTTGCACATCGTCATTCATGGGCCGCTTTTTGTGGCCGTGAATAGCGGGCCCTGCAATTGGGGGGGAAAGCAAGCAAGCAGGCAAGGCAAGGCTCAGAATTGGCTGACAAAGAGGCAGAGCAGAGCGGAAAAAAGCTGGAGCTCGGGCCACTCACTGTGCCTGTGTGGCTGCACGTGAGTGAGGAAACCTCCGTTTTTTTTTTTGGTGGCCTCAGCGCTAATAGCGCTGGACGCCTTTAGCTTCTCGCGACGCGCGAAGACTCGTTAACCTGCCTGGTCTGGTTCGATATGCGACCACTTTGCTGCGTTTCTTTCCCGTGCCCGCCAGGAAGCCCGACGCTGCGCGATCTCGACGCAAAGCCGCTGAGACGCTGATACCCTGACCATCACCGAGAGCGCAGCTTCGCCCCCGGCCAGCTGACGGCGCCGACCCTGTGCGGGATCCAGTGTGTCATTGCGCGGTTCCATGCACGCCGTATACTTCTCCCGTGCGGCGTCTTCCAGCTTCTAGGTCAGTTCAGGATCAGCACGCAACCGCCGGAGACGTGAACGGCGGGAGCTCAGTATCAAGTCAGTTACTGACTCACGCCTGACAGCTCTGGGGCTGCATTTCGTGACAGCGTCGTCCCCCCGCATACGCAATCTGTCGCATCGTTCATCCCCCCGTCGGTCCAGCATCTTCACGTCCCTTGATCACCACATCACACCGCACCACACCACACCAACACGCCGCAAAGTTCGACAAAATGGTCAGCAACAAAAGGAAGAGGCACGAGGAGGTGTTCGACCCCAATGTGTCGGATCCCGAGGACGAAAACTTCGACCCGCGGGAGGCAAGACCTACTCGAGGTTCCAAGAAGACTCGCCAGTCGAAAGGCGCCAAGGGCGGCTCGAAAAGAACCAATAGATATCGCGGCTCTGACATTGATGACGATGACGACGAACTGTCTGATGAAGAATCTTTTGCCGAGGCCACCGAAGAATCTGATGACGAGGCGCCCCTGACTGCGGCCGGACGGCCTGCTAGAAAGGCGGCAACCAAGCCGCAAATCTACAAGGAGAGCAGCGAGGACGACGACGAAGATGACCTTGATGAAGAACAGGTCGACTGGAAAGCAAAAGAAGAAGAGCAAGAGAAGCCCGATGAAATAGCCGACGTTCCTCCAAAGCCCACTAGGCGGGATGCGACAAAGGTGGTCAAGCTCAAGGTCTCCAAGACGGCGTTGGCGCAGACACGCAGTACCCGGTCGCGTACTGAAGATGCCCCAGTGTTTGTCGAGCTGTCCGCTTCTGGTCGACACGCCGTCGCACCCCGGGGAGAGTCGCGAAGCAAAAGCCCCGAGGCACTTGCTCGCAGCGGCAGGCCGTCCCGCGCCGCCAAGGGGCTCAAGAAAGCACCCGAACCAATCCAGGAGGCCGCCCACGAGGGCAGTAATCGAGATGCCGACGAGCCCGATGAGCTCTCGCAAGATACGCCAACCAACGAGATCACTGAAGTACTCGACTCTGATATGCCGGATGCTGCCAAGGACGCCGACGAAGAGGAAGCAGGGGAAGAGGCACCGGCTGAGAATCCTGTCGCCGCAGAACAGGACGATGATGACGAGGACGACGATGTCGAACCCACGGCGCGAAGACTCCGAAGTCGCGCCAACGCCGCTGCTTCTACGGACGATGCCGTCGAGACCACCGAAGGCGCCGAAGCCGAAGAGGCGGACGACGGTGGTAAGCGTCGGTCTCGTCGACTGAAGAGAGGCTCCAGAAAACCCGCGAATGAGCAAAGTAGCGACTTCGAGCCGGATGATGATGCCGACGACGATGCGGAAGCCTCTGACCCAGGACGCAATGGGAACAAGAATGATGCCATAGATAGCCCGACGCCTCGTGGGAGACAGACCCGATCCCGAGGCCGCTCCGGCCGCAGCTCGCGCCGTCGAAACTCCTCGGCCGACGACCTGCCCGTCGACATAGATGAGCTCGAAGAAGAAGCTCGCGAGCTGAGAAAGTCGTCGAGAAATCACCGAAAGACTCGAACAGAGTCTCCCATACAGTACCAGGAGAGCAGCCGCCGACCCAGGCCCAGGATCAACTACTACATGCCTCCATTGGGTGCCGTCAACATCGAGGAGGAAGCGGAGGACCCCGCCCCTACTCCGGCCCGCAATCGCCGGCGAGGCGGCGCCAGTGCTGGCTGGGACCGGAACCTGAACACTACATACGGTCCCTTTGGCGGCGGCGGCGCCGTCGGGTCGCTACTGGGCGGTCCATGGGGCACCGGTGCCACCGGCGGAGTCGACTCTGACAGCAGCGACGACGAGATGGTGCACAGGTCCACCGCCGCAGGAAACGTGGGCATGACGCCGACGTCTGCGGCCCCGGCCGGTGGCCTCGTCTTTGGCGGCGGCCAGGGCCATGGCGGCGTGGACGGCGTCGGTGCCACGCCCAACGTCGGCAAGATCAAGGACCGCAAGGCGCTTGCAGATGCCGACCCTCTGGGCGTGGATCTGAACGTCGACTTCAGCAAGGTTGGTGGCTTGCAGGGCCACATCGACCAGCTCAAGGAAATGGTCCAGCTTCCTCTGCTGTATCCGGAGCTCTTTACGAGATTCCATGTTACGCCACCCCGCGGTGTATTGTTCCATGGTCCCCCGGGCACCGGTAAAACGCTACTTGCTCGTGCCTTGGCCAATTCTGTTGGCTCCGGTGGCAAGAAGATTTCATTCTACATGCGCAAGGGTGCCGATGCGCTCAGCAAGTGGGTGGGCGAGGCTGAAAAGCAGCTTCGCTTGCTCTTTGAGGAAGCAAGGAAGAACCAGCCGAGCATCATCTTCTTTGATGAGATTGATGGATTGGCACCGGTCAGGTCGAGCAAGCAGGAGCAGATCCATGCCTCCATTGTCTCGACCCTGCTTGCCCTCATGGACGGCATGGACGGGCGTGGACAAGTCATTGTCATTGGCGCCACCAACCGGCCGGACAACATCGACCCTGCTCTTCGACGACCGGGGCGGTTCGACCGAGAGTTCTACTTCCCCTTGCCCGACCTCGAGGGCCGCAGGTCCATTCTCAACATCCACACGCAAGACTGGGGCCTGTCGGATGAGTTCCTGCAGTCGCTGGCGGAAAACACCAAGGGCTACGGCGGTGCTGATCTGAGGGCTCTCTGTACCGAGGCGTCCCTGAATGCTATTCAGAGAACCTATCCGCAAATCTACTCGTCCAAGGAGAAGCTGCTCGTCGATCCCGCCAAAATCTCGGTTCATGCCTCGGACTTTATGATCTCCATCAAGAAGATGATCCCTTCGTCGGAGCGTTCTGCGACGTCTGGAGCACGCCCGCTGCCCGCCTCTATCGCGCCTCTACTCCGCGACCAGTTTGAAGAGGCCAAGCAGGCGCTTGACCTGATCTTGCCGCGGAAGAAGAAGACGACTGCACTGGAAGAGGCCATGTATGAGCAGTATGAAGATAAGGATCACGGGTTTGGCCGTGAGACGCTGAACCAGGAGTTTGAGCGCTCTCGCGTCTTCCGGCCTCGGTTTCTCATCTCTGGTGCCCATGGCATGGGCCAGGGGTATCTCTCCTCTGCAATCCTTCATCACTTTGAAGGAATCCACGTACAGAATTTCGATCTCCCCAGCCTGCTCAATGATGGACGGGTAAGCCTGCTTTTGACTTTTGTTTTACACCGAGCCCTGTTGACATCTGAACTGTTGCTGACTGGATAAATAGCCTATGGAACAAGTCATTGTTGCCCTGTTCACGGAAGTGAGGCGCCACAAGCCGAGTGTCATCTTCATCCCCAACATTGATGCTTGGTACGCGGTGCTGAACAACACGCTGGCCCTTGTCACCTTTCGCACCATGTTAAAGTCCATCCCCCCGACGGACCCAGTGCTTCTGTTTGCCACCGCCGACTGCGAGAAGAAGGATCTTCCGCAAGAGTTGGTTCGCGACTTCTTCGGCTACTCTAGCAAAAACCTGATGGAGATTCAGAAACCAGAGCGGGTAAGTGAAAAAGGAGAACAAAGGCTGTGCCTGCAACAATGTGGCCGAGATCGCTAACAACCGGCAGATCAATCGCATCCAGTATTTCGGGAAAACGCTGGACTACGCCAGGCTGGCGCCTCACCAGTTTCCGGATCTCGAGAACCGCAAGAAGAGAGTGCTCGAAGAGCTGCCGGTCGCTCCTCCGCCACCCGTCAAGCCGCCTACCAAGGAAGAGGTCAAGGCGCTCAAGAAGAGAGATCACCAGCTCCTCAACGCGCTCAAGATTCAGCTGCAGCCCATCATGGACCAGATCAATCGCAGGTATAAGAAGTTCAGACAGCCAGTCATTCCGCAAAGCCAGATTGAGTACCTGTTCATGGAGGCAGACCCAAACTATGTACGGCCCGACCTGGAAGAGGGAGAGAACAGGCCGTTTGAGATTGTCAAGGACAAGTACGGCAATGACGTGCTTATGCATAAGGAGACTGGCAAGTACTACTACAACCTCGAGACCACGACCATCGAGGAGCGCCTGTCGAACGGGTTCTATGCTCGGCCCAAGGACTTTCTGTTCGACATCAAGGCCCTCGCAAGGGACGCCAAGAACATTGGCGACAAGGAGCGCACACTCAAGGCCAACGAGCTGCTCAGCAACGTCGAGGTGGATGTCGCGAGCATCGAGAGCAGCACGGCCCACATCGACTGGGAGGCGCTCTACCAGCGCCAGCAGCAGCGCGCCAAGGAAGCGGCCGAGAAGGAGCGGAAGCGCAAGGCCATGCAGTCCGTCCTGGACCGAGTCCAGTCGGACCTCGGCGGAGGCAACGACAGCGACTCGCAGGGGCCCCTTACCCTTGGGGAACCGGTGCCGGGTGCTCGCACCATGGCCCGCTTCCAGATACGCAGCCCCCTGTCGAATGGGCATGGCGAGTCCGGCCACGACGAGCATTCGCTGAGCAACGGCGTCCCCGATTTATCAAAGGAGGGCGATGTGCAGATGAGCGGAACTGACGACAGCACTCAGGTGGCGCTGAGTCAAACCCAGTCATCTCCCATGGGCCCGCCGCCCAGGTCGTCGGAGGGATCTTCCTCGAGGAACCTGGCGGCCATGGGGACGCAGGTATCTCAGCGATCTGCCGTTACTACTCTGCCTGCTGGCGTGTCACCGTCTGCTGTGATCAACGAGGCATCTACGACGAAGACGTCGGATCTGTCAACCTATCGATCGAACAACTGGAGCTCGGAACGACGGAGCTCGCAGAACACCAATGGAAATCACGAGCACGAGGAGCAGCTGCCGGACACCTTGGTAGTCGGGCAATCCCAAGCGCGACTGTCTTTGAGCGATGACAGCTGGATCCACTCCCAGGCCCCGGGACGGGCCGTTGACGACCTCAACTCATCGGGTTCGCTCCTGGACCGAAGCTCCTTCCAATCACAACCTAATCAGGGCTCGGCAGCCGTCAAGTCTCTGGTTAGCTCATCCCCTCAAGAGTCAAACGCTGAGGCTCGCTCGAAATCGACACGCGGCTCAGGTAGTTCCCAGCCGCTGGAGATTGACAAGGAGCTGGAAAAGGCTTTGATGTTGGTGACGGATCTCACTGCGGGCTGCACAATTGAGCAGCTCGAACAGGTCAACCGGGAGATGATGGATGAAATCTGGCGAGGCCGACATGAGTGGAACCGGGTCAAGGTGGTGCTCGACGTGTCGGGCGTGTTTAACCGGACGATTGAGGAGATTGTTGGTCTCCAGGGCGTGGTTCCGCTGAGCCAGCTGCAGGACAGGGACGACTAGAGGACTACGCCCAGGCAACCGACGTGATGTGTTTTCGTTCGCTTCGGGGTGAAGAGTTTGAGAGTTTGAGAGTGGGAGAAAGACATGTTTTGTTTTTATTTTGTAAGATTGATTATGGATAAAGGATTGGGTTGGCACAGCGCTTGTTTCTTCCTTTCCCCCTTCCATCTTTTCCTTTTGTGTATGACGAAGAGGAGAACCAAAAATAAAAAAAAAGCCACGAGAGAAACATCCTGAAGGTAGTGTCGCTTGAGATGGATGGCACTAATGGAAGAGGAAAAAGGAGTGGCCATATGTGAATGTGCCTGATACTTGGAGAGTCTCAAGGGAAACTTTGTGTGTTTTATTATATTTTTTTTTCCTTTTGAGATTAGGTAGATGATATACACCTTGAGTAACTAGATGTATGGAATATGCGCTCTATACGATGCGGATAGCATGCCATGAGACGAGTGTGATGTATTGTATTCTTGTTTTCCCCATTCTTCACATCGAGTCCCGCTACTCCAAATAATGCAGCTCTGTTATATCCAACGCAAAACACATGCTCAAAAGCCCAATCACGGCAAAGGAAAAAAAAAAAAAAAAACCTGTCTTATTCTCTCCCCTTCAGTGTGATTTTACAGCCTCGACTTGGCAGTACTATCCACCCTCTTCCCCTCATCGTCCTGCTCGGCGACGGTCAGATCGGGCAGCCGGGCGGGCATGATCCTGCGCGGCGCGGACCCCGGCACGACGCTGTACTTGCCAAAGTCGGTGACGCCGCACTCGTCGCGGAGGAAGTCCTCGTCGAGGAGCAGCTGGCCGTTGACCTTGGCGGGGGCGCTGCGCAGGATGGCGAGGATGGCGTCGGAGAAGATGGTGGGCTTGCGGAGGTCTGCCTGTTCGGAGGGGTTGAGCTTTGTGAATTGCTCGGTGGCGGCTGATTCGATGGCCTTGGTTTCCTCCATTAGAACAATGTATGACTATATATATGTGTGTGTGATGTGTGCGCCTGCGTAAGGGTATGTATAGGGGGAAAGGGGGAGGGGAAAAGGAAAGAGGTTAGACTCACCACCGCAGGCCATATCCTTCCTGCCCTCGCGCTCAAGGTCCATGGCCAGCCCCTTGGTCAGCACGCTCATGCCGACCTTGCCCATGGCGTAGGCGGCCTTGCCGCGGAAGAAGCGGCTGTAGATGGGCGGGCTGACGACGACGACGCGGCCGCCGAGGGGGCTCTTGCGGAGGTGCGGCAGGGCGGCCTGGACGACGGCGTAGAGGCCCTCTGGGTTGACGCGCTGCATGAGCTGGAAGCGCTTGAGGGGGGTGTCTGCTACGGAGGCCCACCAGATGGCGCCGGAGTTGTAGACGACGACGTCGAGGCGGTTGTATTTCTTTTATCAAGAGAGAGAGAGAGAGAGAGAGAGACTCAGCATCACTTTTTTTTTTCTTTCGTGTCATCGAGGGGGATGTGTGTGTGTTTGAATGTAGTAGAACACTTACAGCAATCGTCTTGGCGACGAGGGCATTCACGCTCTCCTCGGACCGGACGTCGACCTGGACGGGCGTGGCCTCGCCGCCGGCGGAAGCAATCTCGCGGGCGACGGTCGTGACGGTCGAGGCGGCGGATTTGGGGCCTGGCGTCTTGTGAGGGAGCTTGGAGGGGTCTGTGACGGACTTTGCGGCGACGACGACTGTTTCCCATTTACAACACGGATGTCGTGAGTGATGTTATTGATTGGTAAAGAGTGGGACAGGAAATGTGTTGTATAGGAGAGGCATGTTGTTGAGGGAAACGACTCACCTGCGTAGCCGTTTTTGGCGAGGTCGATGGCGACTTGGCGGCCGATGCCGCGGGAGGCGCCTACGACGAGGGCGACGGGCTTTTGGGAGGGCATTTTGTGTGGTGTTTTATGTGATGGTGGCGGTGGTGATGATGATGATGATGATGATGGAGATGGAGGCTGGTGTGAATGGTGTCTGGAGGAGAGGTGGTTGATTATATCAATCAATGCTTCCAATTGCCGCCCCCTTGGAGAATGTCTTGAGTTCACAGAGAGGAGAGACGAATGTGAACTGGAATAAAGTGACAAGGTCAACAGTTATATAAGTGCATCTATCCAATCCAAGCACATGTCATCATCAGCCACGACCTATAAATCGATGCAATAGGTTCGCAGAGTTGGAAGCTGAAGCTGCCGAGCGTTGTGGAGCCGGTGCAGCATCATTTTGGTGATTAGTGAACATTTGGCAGCTGGATTCCAGTGGATGTCGATGCCTCGGCTCGTTAGTTTCAGCGTCCAGCTATAGCGCTTGATCCCACTCTCCCCCGGCAAGGTTCTAGGCGGAGGGAGTAATAAGCCGGGGAAGTTTGGATGAATTAATGTGAGATCTGGCTGCGGACATGTAACAACAAGCTGCTGGACACACTTTGTTGATTTTCTGATATTGTCATCATCTTCCATCACGCCATCTACGCCTTTGCTAGCTGCGGGAACCCGAAGCTGAGATTCTCCTGCTACTAGTACTACCCGAATTGGATCTTGGTGAAAAGCGGAAAACCCGGGGTAACAGTGGGAATTTGAGGAGTTGAGGAAAAGGGGGAAAAAGCCAAGTCATGGGAGGCAAGATTGAGTGCTTCCTGGATCTCGGTGAGTAGCCTCTTTGCTTCAGGGATTCGGGTCTGGTGTGCCGGTTAGGGGTGGTGGCTGTTCCCTTGATTTGATGTCGTGTCTTCCATTTCTTTTGCTTTATCCATCCTACCGTCACTGACGAACATGAACATGATGGCCAGCATCCTTCTTCAGCTACGTCGCCTTTGTCGACTTGGCGCAGAACCGCGATAAGCTGGCGGCCAACGGAGTGGAAATAGAGTAAGCCGTCATCACCACCGCCTCCTACATATCATCGTATAGCCGCTATATCGGATCATCTAAGTACTCATGACGTCGACCTGTTTAGATTCCATCCCGTGCTGCTGGGCGGCATCAACCACCTCTCAGGCAACAGCCCTCCATGGACAAACAAGGTCAAGGCCAAATACCTGCAGCATGACTCCCGCCGCGCCGCCAACCGCGTCGGCCTCTCCAGCATCCGCAGCCCGCCAGACCTCATGGCCGTTTCCCACACCATCTCGCCACTGCGCGCCCTGCACTACATCAAGGCCAACCACCCGCGGGCCACCTTCCTGGCCGTCTTGGAGGCGTGCTTCATCGCCTTCTGGACGCCTCCCAACGTCAACCTCATCCCGGAGGAGAACCTGCGTGCCGTGCTGCAAGGGGCGACGGAGAAGCCCGGCAACAACAGTAGTGACGGTAACAGCGAGGAGAAGAAGAAGCTTTTCACAGAGGACGAGGTGGACAGGATTATGCAGAGCCGGGGGAGCATGAAGGAGGTGCTTCTGGCTACGACCAAGAGGGCTGTTGATCTGGGGGCCTTTGGCGCGCCGTGGTTCTGGGTGACGAATGACAAGGGCGAGCAGGAGCCGTTCTTTGGCAGCGATCGGTGAGTCTTACATGATGCATGCTTTTATAAACGAGATTAGGAACGGTCTTATGCTAACGACGGATTGTAGGTTCAATCACATTTACAAGTTTCTGGACGTTCCTTTTCAAGATATTGCTGTGCTGACCCCGTCCAAGTTGTAGCAAGGGGCGTTTAGCAGCAGTCTAGGCAGTGCAAGTTGAATCAATGACACAGCATGCAGAAATATCCTCCCTATCCTCAAGCAGATGTTGATTCTCAAACTGAGGCTTTTATACAAAAAAAAAACCATCCACTGTAGCTGTTTCCAGGTAGGTAGTAGTTTCGTCACACCCGTGTCCTGCAACCCCCATCTCTCAACCCAGTGAACCGCGATCGCTGCGCTAAAACCACCGACGTAACGCGCACTTACACATTTATGTCCCACCAACTCACTCACTCACTCACTCAACCACACACATACATACAACACAGAACACGCAGACACCAACCATGACAGCCCCCGAACTCACCCTCATCGTAGCCGCAACCCGCAGCATGGGGATAGGCTTCCAGGGGACCATGCCCTGGAAGGGCCTCAAGCGGGAGATGCAGTATTTTGCTCGCGTCACGACGCGGGTTCCCGCCTCATCGCAGGTAAAAAAAAAAAAATGAAAATTTCCATCCCTCAAACCTCACAATTCGCCCCAGACATGAACCCTACGATATCAGAATCAACTTTGCCGCGAACAATACATGTTATTCTTATGTAACAGGGAATAAAAATTGCTGATTCCTTTTCTACAGGCCCCCCAAAACGCAGTCATCATGGGCCGCAAAACATGGAATTCCATCCCCCCCAAATTCCGACCCTTGAAGAACCGCCTCAACATCGTCATCAGCCGCTCCGCCGCCGCTGCCGCGAAAGCCCCCTCCTCATCACCATCATCGCCACCATCAGCCAGCGCCGAAGAGATCCGCGTCCCCTCCGTCGAGGCGGCCCTGCAGTACGCCCACGAAGCCGCCAGCGCGGGGACCGGCGCCCGCGTCTTCGTCATGGGCGGCGCGCAGATCTACGAGGCTGCGCTGCGGCACCCGGCCGCCAGGAGGGTGCTGCTGACGAGGATCGATGCCGACTTTGAGTGCGACGTGTTTTTCCCGCTGGACCTGAGGGCGGATGGAGGAGGAGGAGGAGGGGGAGGGCCCGAGGGGTGGAGGAGGAGGTCGAGGGAGGAGCTGCAGCGGTGGACGGGGGAGGAGGTCGAGGAGGGGGGGCAGGAGGAGGCGGGCGTCAGGTATGAGTTTGAGATGTGGGAGAGGGATTGAGTTGGGATGATGAGCGTGGATATAGACGTGATTGCATCTGCGTGTTGCTGTATGTATATACGATAAATGGTCAGATGGGGGCTACCAGGAGGTGGGATGTTCGAGCCCATCATTATTGCGTCTCCCTTGTACACATACAACTGCGTTACTACATGTAATAGATCCATTCAACGCCTCTGTTTGTTTCCTCTGATCCCCGCCCGTATACCATGTTTTCACCCAGACACTTTACATAGTTTGTACAGATCCCAGAGTCGCCACTTTGAAGTTCCCTTTTCTTTGACTGTCATCATCATCATCCCCCCTTCTTTCAAGCAGCCTGAGCCGTCTCAGCAATAGGCTTCGCCTCCTTGACCTCCTTGACGTCCTTTGCGTCCTGCACCGCAGCCTTGCCGTCCTCCCTCTTGAACGGCTCCTCCAGCCTCGTCCAGAACACGTCCACCGGCCTCGCCAGCACCTCGAGCGCCCGATTGGACATGGCCATGTCCGACGCGCCCTCGAGCGCCGCGAGCCCCGAGCGCATCCACCCGACAATGGCGACGAGCGCGCGCGGGTCGACCTCGGGGTCGCCCTTGAACAGGTTCCTCCACACGGCGCTGGCCAGCACGGCGTCGCCCTTGATGAGCCCCTCGTCGTAGGCCAGCAGCAGGCCGCGCCACTGGACAAAGATGTCCTTGAGGTAGCGCTGGCGCAGGGCGCTCGAGGTGATGTTGTGGTCAATGTGCATCTTCTTCTCGCACTCGAAGAAGAAGTGGTCGATGAGCTGCTGCTGCCAGTTGCGGTAGGCGTCGCGCTCGAGGCAGCGTATGCGGGCGTTGACGAGGTAGAGGTGCAGCATGGTGACGTGCGACCAGGTGCTGAACGTTGGCGGGAGCTTGAAGGCTGTTTTTTGTATTCGTGAGCGAGTCAGCTTGGTAGCCCTATACACACATATAGATCTGTATATATATGATGAATTGGGGGGGCTTTTTGAGGCAAAAGCGACGTACCGTTGTGCCAGATGTTGCCGTCTTCCAGAGACTTGCCAATCTCTTCGCCGTCCTCTAACCTCTCGACCTGGTCATTCTTGCGCTCCTCCTCGGTGATGCGATAGTCGGCCGCCTTGGAGCACGCCTTGAATATCCTCTCGGAGGCACCCAGGACGCGGTACGACTCCCCAATCGAGCTTCCGAGGCCTCCCAGGATCCTTCTCGAGCTTGTGCTGCCGAAGCTGCGTGATGACGAGGGCGTCCGGACGGGCGGAGCGTGTGCGCTGAGAAGAGGAACGAGGACTGATGTGGCGGCTGCCCGAGAAGAAGAGGATCGGGATACGGTCGAGGTGCGGGATGCGACTCGGAGGAGCGTCCGGGCCTGGGACCTGCAGCTCTCGCAGGCCATTGTGGGTGAAGTGGATGGATGATTTGGATGGAAAAGTATGGAGAGAAAGAGAGAGAGAGAGGGCAAAGTCGAGGAATTGGGGGGGCTATCGAGGCGAGGCGAGGTGCGTCTGTGGAGTTGGAGTGGCCATGGAAGCAGGAGGAGAGGCAGATTTCCGTAGGCTGGGCGGAAAGCTGTAGTGTGGATTTTTTTCTCTCTCTCTTCTCTTTGATAAGGTAGCCGATACTAGATTCTAGTAGCTCTTCCATGACGCGGTGGATTTGGGGCAGATGTTAGTGGCTTGCTGGGAGCGGCTAAACCGCGGCTGCCCCGCGCCATTGGACGGATCTTGGAGTGGTTGATGCAGGGTCCAGATGCGTTTGGAGGGGCAGATTGACGGCAATGGAGGAATCATGGATGCTTTGATGTAAGCATGACCGCTGTTCACATGTAAAGGACCGAAAAGCATATAGTAGGTATAGAGATAACATGATCATGTACACATTGTTACACTATTGTTACACTATTGTTACATATGTAGGTATTCAACAACAACACCTTACTCAAGCTTGGAAAACACCAGCGTGCTGTTGGTCCCGCCAAACCCAAAGCTGTTGCTCAGCGCGACCCTCACCTCCTTCTCCTGGCTCTTCAGGGGAACAAAGTTGAAGTCGACGCCGACATCTGGCCGCTCCAGGTTGAGAGTTGCTGGTACGGTTCCCTGCAGAGTCATACAAGTCAGTTTCTGGGCCAGTTCCCGTATCAGATGATTAGATAAAGCTCGGATCTCACCTCGTGAATGGCCAGGATGCAAAAGAGAGACTCGATGGCTCCCGCTGCACCCAGCAAGTGCCCTATCGCTCCCTTGGTGCTGCTCACAGTGACTCGAGCCTCGGCCGAAACACCTTCTTCACCCAGCATGATCCTCTTGATAGCCGCCGCCTCCGCCGAGTCTCCTACCTGCGTGCTCGTGGCATGAGCATTCACGTAGTCCACTTGCGAGGGCTTGATGCCCGCGCTCTTCAACGCCTTCTTCATGGCAAGATAGGCTCCGTGACCGTCTTCGCGCGGTGCCGTCATGTGGTGAGCGTCGCCGCTGCATCCGTATCCGCGGACTTCAGCGTAGATCCTTGCCCCCCTGGCCTTTGCATGCTCAAGCTCCTCAAGCACGCACACTGCTGCCCCCTCGGCAATGACAAAGCCGTCTCGGTCGGCGTCAAACGGGCGGCATGCTGACTGCGGTCTATCGTTGTAGGCTGTGGTTAGGGACCTGGCTCTGCCGAAGCCGGCAAAGGTGAGAGGATGGATGCATGATTCTGCTCCTCCGGCGACCATGACGTCGGCATCTCCATGGGCGATGAACCGGGCTGCGTCTCCGATGGAGTGCGCTCCCGTCGTGCAAGCTGTTGTTGCAGCGTGGTTCGGGCCCTGGAACCCGTGCCGCATGGCAATGTGCCCAGAGGCCATGTTGATGAGGAGCTTCGGCACGAAGAGCGGTGACACTTTTCTGTAACCCTAAGGTATGTTCAAACTTCGTGTTAGTTGCTACTAAAAACCAGATGTCGGCAGAGGCAGAAGCTCACGTCTTTGCCGTGAGAGAGGCTCGTCTCATACATCTCCTCCAGGTTCCCAATCCCGCTCCCCAAACACACCCCCGTAGCCTCTTGATCCTCCAGCCGCGATGCCTTCCACCCGGCATCCTCCAGGGCCATGTCGCTCGCCGCAATGGCGTACTGCGTGAACAGAGACATGCGCCGCTGCTCGGCGGCACTGAGCCAGTCGTCAGCCCTCCATAAGCCGTGAGCCCTGCCGCCCGCCCCCTGAGGCACGACGCCGGCAACGGTACACGTCAGCTCCCGCCATCGCTGTCTCGGCTCCCGCTCGGCCACGCTGACGATGCCGGACTCGCCTGCTATCAGACGAGCCCAGGTGCGCTGGATGCCGAGCCCGAGAGGCGTGATGGCACCGAGGCCAGTCACGACAACTCGTCGCATTGTTTTTCTATGATTCCATATCAGGGACCGTAGTGCGGCTTTGCTTGAGGCTGCTCAGCCGGTGCTCGTGAGTAGCCTTTTGGTGGCGTTTTGGTGTTGTTGAACTGAGATGAGAAATACAAGATGCCGAATATGAATTCTTCGAGCGGATATAATTGATCAATTGGGCGTGGAAATGGCCCGTTGTGGTCTAACAGCTTATTGTCAGCTAGCGCCGGAGGAAGCACACTAAGCCCCTTTCCGTAGTGACGCAAGTGCTCACCGTTAGGGGTCGCTGCGTCTTGTCTCGTCTCGTCTCCTTCCTTGTCTCTGTTCTGTCTTGAATTTCATCCTCCTTCAACATGCGAAAATAATCGCCTCAGATCACTCATTCGAGAGCTGCTTTACTAGCAATTGCCTGTGTCAGCCCCTTCAACCCTTATCGGCCATCGGGATCGTACCGAAATCTCCGGAATCTGCTTGCGATAGTTGCCGGCGCTTGCTCTATTGTCGCGTGGCCACTATCCAAGCCATCTTAGCGGTTGAGTGCCGTTGACCAACCTCTCAATATATAGAATCAATCGTCTTTCATTCAATATGGATTCTTCAAACTGAGGCGAGGAAGAGGAAGAGAGCGTGAGAAAGAGCGAGAAAGCGAGGAAGGGAAAGGTCTCCCGTGCCCACGGCCTCACCTCATCATCCGGCTTACTCTTACAAACTGTCCTTGGTCCACCAAAACTCTCCCGCTGATATCGGCCCCTATATCGCTATTGTCCAGCCAGCGTGTGGCATTGGAACATACCATGGACAACATGGCGGAAGCCAGCGGGCGCGAGAGTGAATCCGGGCCTCATCCTCGCCATTCTCTTTCGAGTCCAACAACCGGCCTCATGGAGAATCTACGCGAGACCATCTCCAAATGGCCGGATTCAGGCGCACGGAACGACCTGGACGACGACGACCAAGGGTCTGAGTATGAGCTTCTCATGGACCCAAACCTGCCAGAGGACCATGAGTCTCGCCATCGCACCCGGGCTGAAGACGGTTTATCCGATGACGAGTCTAAAGGGGGCGAGGAGGAGGAGGACGAGCAGGAAAACTCTCCATATCCCGAAGTTCGCGCGGCCGTTCACAACTTTGACGAAGACGTGCCGTGCAGCACGGTTCGTGCTTGGACAATCGGATTGTCTCTCGTCATAATCGGTGCCTCGATGAACACCATCTTCTCTCTGCGCCGGCCAACCATCTCCATTGGCCCCCTTGTGGCTCAAATCATCGCGTGGCCCATCGGTCACGGCTGGGCACGATTCGTCCCGGAACGGGAGTTTAGCTTCTTCGGCATCAAGTGGAGTCTGAATCCGGGCCCCTTCAACATGAAGGAGCATGCCATTATCGGAGTCATGGCGTCTGTGTCCTTTTCTGTTGCCTACTCGACAGACATTATCTTGGCGCAAATGATCTTTTACAAGCAGAATTTCGGATTGCTCTTCCAGATTCTGCTTACTATTTCTACCCAATCCTTAGGCTACGGCATTGCCGGCGTGATGCGAAAATATCTTGGTTTGAATACCCCCCCTTACCTTTGGATCGACGCCCCTGACGCTGGCATCTAACCGCCTGCTTGACTATAGTGTATCCTGCGTCCATGATATGGCCCGGGAATCTAGCTTCCGTGACCATGATGAATGCCATGTATGAGTCGGGTGATGGACTGGATCCCACCGTCTTTGGGGGCCGCTTCCCTAGATATACGTGGTTCGGCCTTGTCACGGCGGCATCTTTCGTCTATTACTTCATCCCGGGCTTCTTTGCCCAGTTTCTGAGCGTTTTTGCTTTTCCAACATGGATGGCGCCCCAGAGCCCAACAATCAACCAACTTTTTGGTGGATACACTGGCCTGTCCCTTATTCCCATCACCTTTGACTGGAGCCAAGTGTCGGGTTACATCGGATCCCCCCTGGTCTCGCCTTGGTGAGTTACACAGGCCTGCAAACCTTGCTGCGGTAGTCCTGACGAGAACAAATCTAGGCACGCCATTGCCAACACCTTGATCAGCGTTGTCGTGTTCTACCTGGGACTGTCAATCCTCCTTCAATTCGCCGGGACGTGGTACGGCTCGTTCCTACCCATCAACGATGCCAGCATCTACGACAATACCGGAGCAAGGTACAACATCACCCGGGTTGTAAACTCCGACATGACTCTCAACGAGGAAGCATACAAAAGCTACTCGCCATTGTTCATCAGGTAAATGGCCCGACTGTCCCTAGAGTGGCCTCATTCCGTGGCCCAAGACTCATCCGTTCAATAGCACCACTTTTGCCATATCGTATGGCCTGTCCTTCGCAGCCATCTCCTCTCTCGTGGTGTACACTTATCTTCACCACGGCAAGTACATCTGGAGGCAGTACATGAACAGCACTACCGAAAAGCCGGACATCCATATGAAGCTGATGAGAAAGTACAAAGAGGCACCTACGTGGTGGTACCTCTCCCTCTTCGCCATTGTCAGTATCCTCCTTGCCCCCTCCCCCCTTTCCGGTCAATCTTTGCCCAGCACAGGCAACCATCACCTTCGGCACCCGCTGACATCATCGTACCTTGACTTAGATGCTGGCATTGGGCTTCTATACAGTGCTTGCGTACCCAACCAATCTCACCTGGTGGGCCTTTTTGCTGGCCGTCATGATCTCGTTTGGCTTCTCCTTGCCAATCGGCATCATTCAAGCAGTCACGAACAACCAGATTGGCCTCAATGTGCTTACGGAGTTTGTCTACGGCTACATCCAGCCGGGACGGCCTCTTGCACTCATGCTGTATGTTTATCCCGCATGTTTATGCCGCAAGGCGAAAGGGGGAGAGGGATCTTGTCACTAACCATGCAAACGTGCATAATTAGCTTCAAAACTTTTGGCTACATTACCATGTAAGTGAACAAACTACACAATATTCTCTTCATAGGTTCAATCGTTCAACCCACTCACCCCCCCCCTTCAACAGGTCTCAAGCACTCAATTTCGTCTCCGATCTCAAGTTTGGCCATTACATGAAGATCCCTCCCAGAACCATGTTCCTAGCGCAGGTTGTTGCCACGACATATTCATGCATAATCCAAGTTCTCGTCCTTAACATGGCTCTCAACAACATCGACAACGTGTGCGATGACCAGCAGGAAGATCACTTCACGTGTCCGGGAGGAAGGGTCTTTTACTCTGGTGAGAATCATAACCAAACACCAGCATCTCATCCTCCCTTTGTTACATGTAGATTCCCAATACTAATCCATTCTCCCTCACCGTTTCAGCCTCCGTCATATGGGGCCTCATCGGCCCAGGCCGCATGTTCTCACCCGGCCAAATCTACTCGGGCCTCTTCATCTTCTTCATCATCGGCGCCGTCACCCCCGTCGCCATCTACCTCGCCATCAAAAAGTACCCCAAGTCCCCCGTCCGATACCTCATCGCGCCGCTCCTCTTCGGCGGCCCGGGCGCCATCCCGCCCGCCACCCCGCTCAATTACTTCTCCTGGGGCATCGTCGGCTTCGTCTTCCAGTTCTGGATCAAGAAGCGGCACTTCCGGTGGTGGAGCCGGTCCAACTTCTTGACGTCGTCCGGCTTGGATCTGGGCCTGGCGCTGGCTACGCTCTTCGTCTTCTTTGCGTTTACGTTGCACGGGATCGATCCACCGAGGTGGTGGGGCAACGACGTCGTGACCACGACGATGGACTACCAGGGGACGGCTGTGAGGAAGCACGTTGCGCAGGGAGAGCATTTTGGCCCCAGTTCGTGGTAGAGAGGCCCCATGTTTGGCCAATACCTTGATATATAATATAGAGAGAGGTGTACCAGTCAGGTTTGCGAGATGATGGGCGTTTTGCTTGGTTATAGATACTTTGAATATATGAGTGTCGTCATGGCTATATAAACAAATGAAATAAAAACCTAAAAACTGCATCAAATATGGACAAAGAAAAGAATACTCTTAAAAGAAAAAACATGAAAAGTAAAACATAAAAAAATCTTTACTACCTTTTCATATGCCTTCAAGCGGGATAGTCCTTCATAGCCTGGCTGGTATCCGAGACAGGGGAAACACACATACACACACACACACACACACACATACGCAAACACAATACCCTTCCCTTTCAAACAACAAGCCCCGCCGACAAACCCCCCACTCATTTGTCATCGACATACAGATAGTGCCCTCCTCCAAAATGAGTCCTCTCGTTCTCCCGACCCCTATTCGACGACGACACCCCAGGAGCAGCGGCGGTGGGATACCCCCTGAAGCCGCCGCCGCCGGCGCCACCTCCATGATGATGATGGTGCTGTTGTTGAGCCTGGAAAGCCGACTGCTCCGCGTGAGACATCATTGTCGGGCTGTTGAAGTCGTGATGAGTGTATATCTTGGTCTCCTCCGAATCCATGGACGACGACTGGAAATCAGCTGGGCTGCTGTGGGGACCCAGGTCCTCAAACTCTTGCTGCTGCTGCTGTTCATCCGGCTTCGAAAAGGCGAGGTCTGTCCTCCGGTATAGCGAGCGAGGGGCAGCATTCGCGCGCGTCGACATGGTCGGGCTCGTAGTCGACGACGCCATGGCACGCTCTCCCCGCATCACGAGGGGGCCCATGTCCTGAACGTGAACGGTCGATGGGCGGGCGTCCGTCTCCATGTGAGGATAGTACTCCATGGCGTCAGACGAAGATCCTCCACCAATGGGCGACGACGGCTGCTGCTGTGGTTGTTGTTGCTGCTGCTGCTGCTGATGGTGGTGGCTGTTGGTTCGCCGAGCGGTGAGACTCTGCCTTCTCGTGTGCAGAACCTCCTCCGGGTCGCCGATATGGCACTCGGGCAGGGCCACACCCGTCACAGAAGACTTGAGGTGCTTCTCCACGTCGGCGAGGAAGGACTTTAGGATGTAGAGCATGCGCTGAGCCTGAACGTCTTCAGCCGCGCAGTAGTCCATGATTTTGATGGCGCTCGTCATGGACACTGCGTAATGCTCGTTTTCGTATAAACCAGCAAACTCATTACTCAAGATAATCAAGGCCGCCGCAAAAAGAAAATATCTGCCCAGACGGGATCTGCGTTAGCAGCCTGCTCGTAGACGATGCTTCAACGTGTGTGTGGGCGGGAGACTTACAAGATAAAAGGGTTACGTCGCGGCAAATACTTTGCTTCAAACGCCGCCTGGATGAGCGTGACCGAATGAGTCGATGCGGCCACGCACGCTTGAGAAAACTTTTCCGATCTCGAAAACGTTCGGTGAAACGGTTCGACGTCGCCCGAGATGGTTGGCCGCGTCTTGACCAAAAGGTCGATGAAAAAGGGCCTGCTCAGGAGAAGGATGGAATGGTAATGAAGCAAGTGCACGTGCAGAATGGGAATGCCCATTTCCACCGGAGCCTTTCCATGGAGGAGGTCGTTTGCTGCCAACGACGGATGACCGTTGAAAGCCCATAGCTGACAGTCATCGACAATCTCCTGAGCCAGCTTGGTCGAAATCTTGCGCTCCGAGTAGACCTTCTTCAGCATGGTGCCAATGGACCTGGAGATCCGGACGGATGCGTCGAGGCTGACGGTCCTGACCATGTCTTCTCCTTGCTGGGCGGTGTCAAGCAAGAGGTCTGCTGGCGAATCCAACGAGTCGCTCGAACAGTCCTCTTCGCTTATTGCGGCGGGACGCCCGAGAGCCGTGGCGAGGAACGTGTCAAGAACAAACAGGCTTCTCCAAAGGTTACGCCTTGCGATCTCGTTGTTAAACTTCATCATCGTGTCCCGGATTCGATGCAAACCGAGGGAATACGCAGAGCGGACAGCCATTCCTATAAAAGCAGATCCATGTCAGTACAAAAGGAGGAAAGGGGAAGGGGTATTAGCCAGAAAGCGTTAGTTCCGGGGCGCATGTACTCACCACAATATGCGTATGCCGCGTTGCGCTTCGATATGATCAACATGTAAAACGCCATCAAAGTCCAAGCCTGAATCATCCACAAGTCTGCGTGCTCAACCCCGTTAAGGGGATCACTCAGACACTTAGCAGCCCGGAAAAGGGCTTCCGCCCTCTCCCCTGGCCCCTCTTGGAAACTCTTCATCATCAGCTCCTCCGGGCTGTTTGGAGCCGGCGATGCCAGAACAAAACCAATTGCCAAAGTCAGATAAACTAAACAAAGTGTCGATGGATTGACCTCCAAGGGGCCCGAATAACATGCATCTAGATACTGGTAAAACGTTGCTCGGTCAAACAGTTCTATTAGACCGTTGGTCTGTAGCGGGATTGTTAGCCATTGGTGTCGTACGGCATTGTGATAGGGGGTAAGGGGGGATGGGATCATCAGCCATACGTTAACAAAAAATGATTGAACCAAGAAATTCGTTACATCTCTATTTGGCAGCATATAAGGTATCATGGAGCTCTGGGCGGCCGCCGTGATAGGCTCCAAGATGTGGTGTCGGCTTGGATCATCCGTAAACGCAGACGAACCGGTCGTGTTGAAAACAATCATACGAATTAACTGCAGATACGAGAGGGTGGACGAGTCTCCGATATACACTACCCTCATTGATTAGCCTTTGACTTGGGAGTCTCCTTTATGTCTTCTTCGAGGGGAAAAGGCACTTACGAAGCCGCTTCATGGGATCTTGCAGCATTCTGATCTGGCCAATAACTTCGGCCTCCTCGTCCGTCTCGGACGCCGTGCTGTTGCGGAAGCTCTCATCGCCCTCGCTGACGGAGGAGACATCATAGACGTGGCGGGAGTACTTTTCCTTGCCTTGGCTCCTGCGCTTCGCCTGTCGCGCGAGTTTGGCCTGCTTGGACGATCGCTTCGGGGACGCATCGAGGGTCGCCTCGTGTACGGGAGGAGTTGCGCCGATGGTGTCGACAGAGTCAGAAGCGAGGCTCTGTCCCGTAGGAGACGTCGTATGGACGGCCATGAGTTTGGCAGGGCCTCGGCCGTCCGTGTAGTCGCATATCAAGTTCCTCTTGATACACGTGTTGCACGGGTGAAGGCCATTGCACTTGGAAGCAAAATGTCAGCCCATGCAGCGTACATAACCGAGACGGACGAGAGTAGCATGCGAGAATCTTAGCGAGGGCATTTCGCATTGCTTCCCATGCAGCTTGCTTTTTGTATTGAGACGCCATGGACGGCACGGCTTGTCCAAAGGGGCAATGCGTCCGCTTGCCAACACACTTATGCCGGGTCAAGCCATGTTATAGCCGGGCGCTGGGATGAATGTAGAGGATCTGTCACATTGCACAGACATGATACGGACCGTACATATGCTGTGCAATCGGACCAACACCACCGGCTCACTCGCATATTGTTTTCGCCTCGCTCGGAATAGTTCGCTGCAGCTGAAGTGGGAGGAGATCACTTTTTTTTGTCTCTCTCCGCACGAACTGCCAATATTCCGGTCACCGAAAACGCATGTTGGGGGTGACATGCATATTGCGACATTCGATAGTCAGGAATTGATGTGTGGGAAACGTGTTGTAATAGCGCAAATGAACGTTGCGATGACCAGCTTTGGTTCTTTTGTTCATCCGTCTTGTCCTTTTCATCCATTCCGTCCCCCTTTCGGGATGCGTGTGCGTGTGCGTATGCGGATGTGATGTGTATGTATGCGAGTGCGTGTCCGTCCCTTGGAGCGTTACGGGAAGGGGAAAGAAGACGAGCCCAAACGGCCCAATTCCTTTGGGGCCAACGGAATGAAAATTTGTCTGATGACTCGTAGACTCACCTTCTGCTTCCGACGCTTGCAAGAATCGCAGGCCCGCGCAGTCCTCTGTCGCTTGTCGTCTGGAACTCTGGGCCGGGTCATGAGGGGCGAGAGGTGTGTTGTGCGTCCGACAGCCAGATGGGCAGACTGACTGACAGACAGACAGAGGCGGGCGCGGAGGCTGACGGAAACCTCTGCGAAACCCGGGGTAGTCTCCCTCTCTTGTAGTAGTTACCAGAGGCGGAGACGCCAGCTACCGTAGAAGCGATCCACGGAGCCTCCACGACAGCTTGTCCGCCGTCATCATGCACTTATAGGGCCTTGAAGCTTGGTAACCCCCGCGTCGTGTGAGCTCTCTGTCAGAAAAGAAAGAGAGTCGGGGAGTAAGTAAGAAGTGCCCACGTGGCGGTAAGGCACAAACTTTCCCCCAATGCTGTGATGGGAGGTTATCGCGGCCCCGTCACCTCTCCCTCTGCTTCAAGGGTCTGGTCTACCCGGTGTTGGTGCTAGCCAGCTAGCGAGGGACCTCTTCTGGGGTGGGAGGAAACCGATGGCCGTGAGATTGGATCGGGAGTATGCAGATGGGAAGGACACCTGAGCAGGATGGATGAGACAGTCCCCTATTCATGGGGCATTGAGGTTAACACGACCCCCCCTGATGCAGAAGCAAGCCCGACGGCCTCGATTGACTGGGTAGCTTGGATGTAATGTCAGACTGGCAGTGCCAAACCCTTTTGATAGATGGTGACACCTGGGGGGGAATATCAAGCCAGCAGAGAAGGGAACCGGTGTGCGATTTTCCTGACGTGTGGGTGGGACAGGAGCAAATACACACCCCCGAGCTGTTCGGCCTCAAGCATATGCCGTTTGGTGGTCTGTGGCAAGTCTTCATTGGGCTACTGAGGAGATTAATGACTCCGAGTGATTGGTAAAGATGTACTAGGCCCGAACCCGCCTGATCGTTCCAACGCTGCTTGCTTGTTGTCCCAAAGGTCCTCTTGGCGTCGGGCTTTGAATTCATGCCTGCTGCCCATCGGTGACGTAGTGGAGGTCTTTCTCTTTCCATGTCTCTCTCTCTCTCTGTGTGTGTGTGTGTGTGTGTCTTCTTGTCCTCGACTCCGGCAGCCGCGGTATATACCGGGCAACAAATGAGGGCTGGTGGAGGGTTCTGCAAAGGACCTGAATCTGGCAATTCGTGGCGTCAAGGATAGACTCAGCTCTGTATGTAGTACCTGGCATCTGCGTTGGCATGTTCTCTGGCAGAGCCTCGCCGTAAGTAGCACTGATGAGCAAACGTAACTCTCGTTGGCATCAGGCGAGCCAGCCGCCTCCGTCCTGCCGCGTTAGGAGCTTGACGCCCAGTTGGGCTTGCACCCAGCGCGCGTCGAGGTGGAGACTGGCTCCTTCACCATCTCAGACCGCTCTGCAGCTGTATGTGTATGTATAGCATCAGTTCGATCTATCCCCGTTCAGCATGGGCCTATGGAACAGTGCGACTCTGCTGCCGCGCATGTCATTTAAACATCCTGGGCAAAAGCAACCCTTCGGCGAAGCTTTATTGGCAGCTGAAACATCGCGAACGATAAGAGTATTCGAGCTGCCGTCGGCCTTGTTAGCGTTGGTCATAGTCCGTAATACATACATACAGAAACAGACCTGGGATTGGCCGTCGTCGTCCCCTCGAGCCAAGAGAAAGAACGAGAAGAATTCATGCACAAAGCTCGCCTATCGAAAGACACAGAATACAGCCTTCATCGTCTGGACATGAAAGCGAAATACTCGGCCGCACTTTTTATGTCTTGGGTCGCAAATTTCATATCCCCTTATAGCATTTTCCCGGGGATCAATGAAAAGGATCTTGAGGCCTCGCCACTAAATGACGATCATTGGGGTAGCAAGGACCAACAATGCTGATAGATTCAGCTTGGATGGGGGTCAATGATCGCTGAATAGTGTACGTCCCCAGAAGGAGTAAGGAGAGACAGAGAGAGACAGGGACAGAATGGGGGTTGGATAGGGACCAGGACAGGGAGAGGTAAGGGATGTAGTAGCACTGTCTCTCCTTGTCCACGGCCACGGGTTAACACACGGAATCTCTGTGAAAACCACCCGAATTCAACGTTGGCCTTCACAGTATCTGCCTCGAAACAATACTGGGAGGCCTCGTGTAAGCGCAAGTGTGGACGGGCCATAGAGAAGTGGAGCGCTTGCTGTCAGTCTAAGAAGCCAAACGACGATTGTGCATAGTTGGGCATCGCAGCCTTGTGCATATTTTTTTTTCTTTTCTTTCTTCTCCCTCCTTGTCCGGGATGTGCGTGTTGGAACTGGCGGGTGTGGACGTTGGTTTGAAAGAGCGAGGAGAAATGAATCCCGGGGGGGCAGAGGCTCGGGGTACACAACATATCCTCCGTCCTCTCATGACTATTCTGGAGCCACAGGTGAAATTACCAGGATATTCGAGTAAGACAAGATCCGCCGACGATTCGACGTGCCAGAGCGTCACAATGACGAAAAGAGTTCATGGTCGACAAGCCCCGGGTAAGTAACTGGTAACGTTCCGTATACTCGCCCTCGATGTTGATGTCCTGCAGTACGAATAACCGTGTCGATGCTATTCACAGCTTTGTGTACTGAGCATCGTGAAATAGAGTGACCGGAGCCAGGGTCTTCCGCTCGGCGAACTGGGATCAGCGACGTCTGAGCTTCGCGTACATCCAGGCGATACACCCGAGTGCCGTGGAGGGTTCGCGCCCACTTGGCGAGCATAATGAGACAACAGCTCATGCTTCGGTGCCCCCGGCCATTGTGGCCCAGCTCCTTGACGTCGGATTCGTCGCGTAGATGCTTCTTTGAGCAGGGTCACATGCTTCTGGATGAGCCTGCGTCGACACGTCTGAATGCAAATGACGCCCCCTCGCATACCGTCTGGAGAGCAGGCCCCGGCAGCTTGCAAATCGATGGCCACCAAGGCTGTCGAGGGTCCAAGATCGATGTCGGCGCAAGTCTAGACCAAGGACTAGCGCCCGCATAAACGTTGAGAGCCTGACGGCTTAGAGAAACCCTTGCGCCACGTACTTCGTACCTGATGCATATCATCCATGCTACATTCACCGAGCGACCCCGCCGGCCCCCTATATCCAATGACGGAGCAGTAAGCGACAGCCGGTGTAGATACTCGGGGTCTGGCTGCCGCGCCATGGGATGATTGCAAATGGACAAGCACGGCCTCGAGCGTGCTATTCGACGTCTCCAAGATGCGGCCATCGCCGCGAGTGTCCACGTGCCTGATCACCCTTGCATCGAACCAAGCAGTGGTGTGGTGGTAGGCTCGAGGGGGGGATCGAGTCCCAGCGTCCAGGCTTGCCGTTGCTGCAGCCATTTTGCGGTTAGCACGCGAGGCGTTAGCGCCATGGGAAGCAAATCCTACCTTACGGCTGGCTTGGAAGACGTTGGAAACATCTCGGGCTGAAGGTGGCCGGCCAATCTCCCCGCTGCGGAACGACGTCAAGGATCATGGGACAATGCAGTGAGTTGTTCTCAATCGCACTTGGGAAAAGCAGGAGGAGGAGCAGTGATGGTGGCAAGGCGGACACTAAAAATCTCAGACAATGGGATATTGGCCCATGAAAGGGAGCGAATTGGGGGCAGAAAAGAGTAGATGCATGAGACAAGTCATCCCTGTTCCGTACAAGCAATGGTCTTTTGGCGTGTGACTTTGACTCCCGAAACCGAGCCAGTCGGACAACCGCCGCTCACACGTAGCACCAAGAACTGATAGCAGAGACAGTCATGAGAGAGAGAGTAGCGGTATCCTTGCTTACCGAACATTGGCAAGTATGCCCAAGTCTCACCCGTCAGTGTTTGCTTTCGACCCCGAGACGCAGCTATCCTCCGATGCCACACAGCGTACCGGGTCTTGCCACTGATATCTGTCTTCATTTGGTCAGAAAAGTCGCCGGCGATGATCTCATATTCACCCCTTGCCGAATACTGATCGACCAGGCATCACCTTGTCTCCGTCCACCTTCAGGCCAGTCTGCGTGTGCATAGGAGCAGAGTCCAGCCCCCTTGAACTTCAGCCGCATCTCGTTCCGCCCTCCCCGAGGTCAAGCTAGATCCATGAAACAAGCAGGAATAACATGGTGATAGAGATGGTGTTCAGATATAGTAATTGAAGGTCTAGTTTTTGGGGGGAAATGATTATAATTACAATTCAGCTGACAAGAAGGGTTCTCAAATTCATATCAAAGTCTCAGGCACCTCCTCCAGGGCGAGCTTGAAGCGCTCTAAAAACAGCTCGGCCCTGGCCTTTTCTTCCTTGGGGACCAGCAGACCGAACGAGTGAACTCCACCAGGGACGAGTTCAGGATCGATCCTAGGGGCGGGCCGTTTGGCCAACGAAGAGCTGGAATTTTTGGCAGGGGCGGCCAAGAGGTCAATAATGTCAGTCTTTGGGGCAGATGTTCTCCGGGGGCCGGCGAAGCCATCGGTTATTGTAGGGACATAGGATCCGTGGGAGAATTTGGTAGCTTTGGCCTTGTTCAGACCAAGAACCTCATCGAAGAGTTCACTCGTGGTCGGAGCGCGAGGGACGGCAGGTAGGCGGCTGTTTGCAAATGCGGTGGCCTTGGAGACGAACTTGGCTATGGGGACGGAGACGTCGGCGGCGCTCTGGAGCCGTCGTTGCAGCTCCACGACGTGTTCCAGCGAGACGGGCAGTTGGACGAGGACCTTTTCTGGCTTTGGCGCGGCTTCAGGGGCCTTGGAGGCGGCTTCGGACGCCTTGGGGGAGGGGGCAGGCTTCTTCTCGGCCACCTTGATATTGCTCAGGTCCAGGTGGGCCAGCTTGTTAAGGCGGGAAGACACCGCGGCGGGCTGATCGGCGTTGATGGCGCCAACGTAGGCCAGCACATCACCCTTCAGCAGTCGTCCGTTGGGTCCGGTACCCTTGATCTTGCTCAGGTCCTCCTTGCTGATGCCATGCTCGTGTACGAGAAGGCCGACTGAGGGAAGCAGTGGGTAGTTGTGTTCGTAGGTTCCGCTCGCAGCGGCTTCTGATTTGGCAGCAGGCTTCGAAGTAGCCTTTGGCTCATCTCGTGGTGCCGGAGCGGCGGGTTCTGACGTGCTCTGGGCTGCCTGCTTGGGCTGCTCGTCCGGGGGAAGCTCGAGGGTGCTGATATCATCTCCGGCTTCGGCCAAGACGGCAATTCGGGTGCCAACCTGGACGCCCTTGCTGCCATCCTGGGAGAAGATCTTCATCACGACGCCGTCTTCCTGGGCCTCGACGTCCATGGTGGCCTTGTCGGTTTCGATCTCGAGCAGGACGTCGCCGGCGCTGAAGGAGTCGCCCTCTTTAACCTTCCAATTGGCGATGTTGCCCTCCGTCATTGTGGGGGAGAGGGCGGGCATGACGAAGTTCTGGGCTGCGAGGCATCGTGAAGACGTGGTAAAGCCTGTGAAAGTCGTCGCATCAGATTAGCTGTTTCTTCACGATCATCCGTCTCTGCGCCTCGCTGGTCCATCCCATCTCTATCTCTCTTTCTTCCTCTATCTCTCTGTGTCGTAACGGCTTCTTGGTGTGAGTTTGCGCGCTGGAGCACACGGGAGACCTACCGCGAGCAGCTCTTCCGCTTGCAAGGCGGGCCGAGATGCGGCACGCCGCCGCAAATGAAGCCATTGGAGCTCAATTGAGGCAAAGGCGGGATTCGGGTGGTGATGCTCGGGCAAAAGAGGCTCAAATGGCTGGCAAGATGAGAGCTTTCTTTGCTTTGCTGTTGGGAATATCGGCCCTGGCAAAGGCGCGCACAGACCACGTAACTTTTTTTGGTGGGGTGAAAATGTACGGAATCGCGAGTACCTGCTTTGTACTTTGTACCCGTTTGGGGGATTTCATATGCAGTATTTCAGAGCCTAACGCATGTAATAAAGAGTGCCTTCGCACTCAAGAACTTTACCGTCCAATATATACAGGGCAAGGATTTGACACAATCAATCTGCGTGAAAGCTGTATGGTAGGCTTAGACGCCGACTTCATCTACAGAGAATCGCGAATCGAACAGGTGAAGGATGCGCTGTTTTCTAGAGACTTCAGCACGCGTACAGCATCTGCCCTTTGGCTAGGTACAGCGCTAACTTCTTATCTTAGCGTAGAACCACAGATAAGCGCTCGGCAGCTATCGGATCGGCTGATGCAGTTCAACATTTTCTGCCAAGAGCTGTAAGTGCATCAATTGATGCTCGCGATAGCTTCATCTTGCAGCATTACATGTGATGGCAGCATCCTCATGACACCAGAAGCCAACTGAGCCTCCGAAACTCGACCCTTCCTCACCTCTACCGTTCAGCTGAGCTGCGCAGCGCTCATTGCTGCTGTTCAGCCATGGCAAGCTTCGCGAGAGGCTTTCGCCTCGCCTCATGTCCGCGAGCGACCTTCATCCCCCGAACTTTCCTCCCTGATCTCTCCACCGCTCAATCTCGACCCTTCACATCATCCCTCCGGTTGCGGGTCTCTGCAATACCGAAGCCTCAACCCAAGATACCGAAAGACGTTAAACCGAGATCAACAGCGAGCCAAACGAATCCTCCACCCTCACCGGCGGCTTCATTGGCCCCTAGCCGATATGCCTTTGTCAAGAGCCTGGCATCTAAGCCCACACCAACGCTTTTATACGAGGCGCCTTCGCATTTCTGGTTCTATTTTGGGTGCTGGTCGAGTGGTCTATCCATCATAGCCTGGACGGTTTTGACGGGCCCAACGGCTGTGCAACAACCAGAAGGCATCCCGGTGTGGGTTGGATATACATTTGCAGCTTCCTACGCCCTGCTCGGCTCCATGGGCTTCTACCTCATCTCCAAGACTCCCAACATTGTCAGCAGCATCCGAGTGCTGCCGCCTGTCCAAGCGGCAGCTCAAGTAGCAGGCCAAGCAGCAGCCGCACGACCAGGGATTGCCGCCAACGTACCCCAGCTCGAAGTCAAGGTCAAGAGAATGTTCCCCTTGCTTCAGCCAAAGGTCATCACCACATCGCTCGATAATGTCACGCTCAAGACTCGCTTCTCGCTCCCGAGCGAATACGTACCAGAGCTGAGACGATTGGAGAGACAGATGGAAGAAGAAGCGCGGAAGAAGGCTCTGTGGAAGTTTGATACGGAGCACCTCCTTACCATGCCCTTCCGAAGGATTGGCCGTGCGTTCAAGAACCTATTTACGGGCGTAAGAGCAGCATGGACTGATGTGGGATATGGCATTATCAAGGTGGATGGGAAGCAGTACAAGGTCGACGTTACCAAGGGGTACGCTCACGACGGGTTCAAAACTCTGGAGCGGATTGTGAACATCGGCTGGAAATGAGCAATAAAGATACCAGGTAAAACACGAATTGTACAATATTGAGTATTTCGGTAGGGATACAGTACCAGGTGGATGCCGGAATCAGGGCTATCCGAGACCATCTGTCTCCCGTGTAAGATATTGTATATGTACTCCGTACGGGAAGTTATCACACCTTGCTGTGCTCAGATTACTCGATATGACTTCCTCCCTAAAGGTAGTTGACGCCGACAAGGATGATCAACAGGCTCTTCAGCATCAACATACCGTAATAGCAATGGAGTCCCTCGAAAGCCATCGTGATATGCCGTGAATGCGCGTAAAATTATGCTAATCCTGAGACATAATCTGGAGTAGGATCATGTAATATCCTTAAGTAAGGTCTGGTGTAACTCTGTAGACATATACTGTACTATGATCGAGGAGGGTATATTAAAGGTAGGCTAATATATACTGAGTTCGTCCTCGCACAAATCATGCACAGCGAGGTGTTTGCAATTGATGACTATTGACAGCGTTCCACCTGCAGGTAGGTAAACCAAGCAGTGCTCAACGCGACTGATTTCTGCGGTAGAAGTAGGCGGCTAAAGATTGAGGGTCCAAGTCGACACTGTTATTGATGAAGTGTTGGAAATGCTACTCTATTCATCGAGTTCTTTATCCTTTGCTTTCTTCTGCTTTAATCTCTCGAGGTGATGAAGCCGCGGTTGACGTGAAGCCACCAAAAGTAATGTCCTGCCTAATTAGATCTAGTGCGTTGGGTAGCAAACAGACCGGCCCAGTGCACCCAAAAGCCACTTCTTTCAACGGCGTTTGATTGTACATGGCAGCTTCAAGCTATTCAGACACCTCGAAATGACAGATAAAACGACGACTGACGGGAGGACTGATCTAGCTGTCAGAGGGGCTGTCCTGGCCCTCAAGGCTACAACAGGACTATCTTCAACAGCGATAGCAGAGATCATAGCAGGTGTATCAACTCGCCAGGTCAACCGCATCTACAGCCGGGCCATCAAGGCCGGCTTCGAACCATCAGCCCGACCGTTACAGATCACGAACGCCATTGTGGCTGATCGTCCAAAATCCGGAAGACCAAGGAAGCACCCCAAAGAAGCCCAAAATGCATAGCTCTGGGATTCGGACGCGATCGGGATGGCCGAAAAAAGGCATGTGCTGAGATGGCTGGCGAGATGACCAGAGACGGCTATCCCACATCAGACAAGTTCTTCTTCTTTTCGGTGACCTTCATTGCAGCAATATCTAGAGATGTCTTCTCATCAAAGATTCGCAGTGCCGACAAGGGGGTAATGGAGCAAGCTTGATGCCGCTCTAAGGAGCACGGCTTACATCAAGACTACGGCAATAATGAAGACGAGACATCATCATGTTCCTAAACAAAAACCTAGAAGGACATTTGATTGCTGCGGAGGTCCCAATATCAACAATCAAGCCTATACTTGACGAAGAAAATGCGCCTTCCAAATTGTATCAGCTGATGGTATTGCTATGTAAAGCCTGGTGGGACTGGCCGACGGCTGGGAAAGTATGGGAGAGCCGCTGTCAAAGTTAATGATCAAACCGAAAAGCACCAGCATCAGGCTGCAATGGCAACTGTTGAAGCTACGTTTTGTACATGCGTGAAATCGGCGTCGTCGCAGACAATTGGGGATTTTAGCTCCAATCCGTTCTGCCTGAGACGTGCGGGACTGGAGTTCATCCTCGGCGAGCTCCATACCTGGCTGACATGTCGCTGGGACGAAGTTACAAAAAGAGTCTCGAAGCCAGGAAGAGGTGAAAGACTGGTCATCATGGTCGGTGCTCGGCGGACAGCCTGGGTAGCAGCATACGGTTACGGGGATAATGGCACCGCGCTGGAAGACGTGGCGGCGGACGTTGGTAGAGATGAGTGAGAAGAGAAATTATACGTCGCCTGGAGGTGAAGATGAGTCGGAAGATTGTTATGATTTCATCCAGTGCAATATATAATCCCGGAGAATAGTATCCTAGTTGTGGAGCTTGCATCGTTGAAGTGCTTTGTGACATTACCCTGATATGATCTGTACTATGGATGTCTATACAGTATTGTTGTAGCTTCAGCTTGAATTCCATATGATGAAAATAAAAATAATATGAAACAAGAAGAGAAAAAGATACATACATATAATGTCGCTTTCTAGCATCAAGAGTAAGTTGGTCACCTGGCCGGGACTTGCACGTCATTTGAATAACATACCCTTCCCTTGCCGGGCCAAGAAGGTGAGTCCTTGGTCTATCTGGGCAATCTGCAACCTTTTATGACACTTCTTCCCTTCGTGCCTAAAGACCCAAAGCCATTGGAGTGGTCAGACTATTTGAGCCCTGACATGGGAGCCACGAGGTACATGCCCACCGCGCAATTTCGCCTCTCACCGATTCTGACTTATATCTCCATCACTAGAGATGCCATATGTGAGTCCCTTAAGTACCAGCATCTGCATCTCCGACAAAATATATTCATTAATTCAGCAGCATCATGCCACAATTACCCTCGTGTCCAATCCGTAGAGTCCATCTCCTAGTTGCTGGATCCGAGAACCCGGTTCTCACCGCTATCCCCAAGATCCACCACTCATCCAAAGCTGTCAAAATCACCGATAAGAGCCATGATCTCATCATATCCATCATCCCCAAACCCCTTTCATCTTAGCCAGACCAGCTACGGCAGGTCAGGAACCAAAAGGTTGACGCCACTTTCAACCCCGAGCTATGTAAGCCCAGGTACCCGGAAACGTTGCCAAGATGTCTTATCTTATTGGACCTGCGAGGAAGAGTCCTCGAAACGTTACATCTTGGCCGTGTAAATATTATGTTAGTGTACTTTCTCAAAGATAGAAACTTCAGTGAGTGAAGACACAATTCCAAGTGCCGATGCTGTCAATTACCTGTCCTCCGGGTTCTCGGCTCCGGACCACCGAATGTCGGCCTACAACGGACATCAAGGGCACATGGAAGCAGCAAAAACAGCTGTCAAACCTTCAAAGTTACATCAAGTCATCACTTACTTTATAAGTCTATCTCGCCAAAACCGATTCGAGAACAAGATAAAGCCATCAATCTCTTCGTTACCACCATATCTTGTTCCAAATTCTCCGAATCGTGTAACCATCAGGATTCCCCAATGGAGAGATCCGAACCCACGGCCCAGCGCCGAACTCGTCTCCCCAGCAACCCTTGCCGCGTTTCCTCAACCCTTGTCCGATTGACATGTTCACGATCCCACGTGGTTGTCGCTTCAACGCCTTTATCTTGCAGAATGGGCCTTGTGAATCCCCACATGCAGGCCTTGGTACGGAGTAGTTCATGCGGCGATGACATCCATCCAGCCTCGCATTTTGCTTGTGCGGAGTAGTTGTACGCTCAACAGAGACCCGTACAAGAGCTCAGTGCCTTTTAAGCGGCCAGACAGCACATCCGCGGGCCTTGGGGATCTTCGTCTTCTTTCTTGGAGGCGCAATTGATTCCGGTAGAGACCAGCAGCGGCCCGCTCATCATCATCATCATCATCATCCGTGATGCGTCTTCTCAAGTCCTGCGTCTGGCTGCTCTCGGCCGTTGGTGCTGCTGCTGCCGCATCCAGCGACCAGTCGCCGACCGAAGGGGTCGAGTCTCTCGTCAAGCGCCGTCTCCCACATCACGTAGACTGGTTCGAGTTTGCGCTTGAGCAGTCGCACGGCTCTGCCCTGGTCAATGACAGCTACACGGTCTCCTCGACGAAGAACGGAAAGGTCCGCATTGAGGGCACGACGACCAGTGCCCTGCTGTCAGGGTGAGTTTTTGGCCCTCCTCTGTCGATATCAGCCCGAAGAATAATGCTGATGAGAGATATTTGAAAGTCTTCACAAGTACTTATCCAACGAGGCAAATGTCGACATCTGGTGGTTCGTGGGCAGCCAGCTTGATCGAGCCCCGAAAGCCCTGCCCAAGCTCACGAGTCCCATCAAAGGCTCCAGTGTCGTGCCTTACCGCTACTACTGGAACACCGGTAAGCTCAATTGCACAAGGAAGTGGTCGTGGCTCTTCATAGACGACTGACAGAAGTCGCGGCGCAGTGACCACCTCTTACACGAGTGCCTTCTGGTCATGGGAGGACTGGGAAACGCAGCTGGACTGGATGGCCCTCCGCGGTGTTAACCTGGCCCTCGCCTGGATCGGAGTCGAGAAGATCTTCATCGACGTCTTCCACGAGATTGGCCTCAACGACGACGAGATTGACTCCTTCATCAGCGGACCTGCATTCCTGGCGTGGAACCACTTTGGCAACATCCAAGGCTCGTGGGGCGGATCCATGCCTCGATCCTGGGTCGACGACCAGTTCAGTCTCCAGCTCAAGATCCTCGAGCGCATGCAAGAGCTCGGCATCACGCCCATCCTGCCGGCATTCCCAGGCTTCGTCCCGCGCAACATCTCCCGCGTGTTCCCGGACATTTCGCTGTCGACGAGCCCCGTCTGGAACGACTTTGGCACCACGCTGAGCGCCGACGTCTACATCAACCCGTTCGACCCGCGCTTCGCCCAGCTGCAGAAGCTCTTCATCGACAGGCAGCAAGAGCTGTACGGAGAAAACGTCACCCACTTCTGGACACTGGATCAGTTCAACGAGAACCAGCCGCTCTCGGGCGACCTGGACTACCTGCGCAACGTCAGCCACAACACCTGGGCCGCCCTCAAGGCCGCCGACCCCGAGGCCGTCTGGGTCATGCAGGCCTGGCTCTTCTCCAGCGACAGCAGCTTCTGGACAAACGACCGCATCGAGGCCTTCGTGGGCGGCATCCCCGTGGATTCGGACATGCTCCTGCTCGATCTGTTTGCCGAGTCCGCGCCTCAGTGGCAGCGGACGGACTCCTTCTACGGAAAGCCTTGGATCTGGTGTCAGCTGCACGACTATGGCGGCAACATGGGCTTGTACGGCCAGATCGAGAACGTCACCATCAACTCGATGGATGCCGTGCGCAACTCCGATTCCATCGTCGGCTTCGGCTTGACCATGGAGGGCATGGAGGGCAACGAGATCATGTACGACCTGCTGCTAGATCAGGCCTGGAGCCCCAAGCCCATCGACACCGAGACATACTTCCACGACTGGGTATCGGCCAGATACGGCACCAAGAACGTCCAGAGTCTGTACAGGGGCTGGGAGATGCTGCGACCGACCGTCTTCAACAACACCAACCTGACGGTCACCGCCGTGCCAAAGTCCATCTTGGAGCTGACGCCCGCCATCAACGGCCTGCTCGGTCGTACCGGGCACCACGCTACAACGATCACGTATGATCCGGCGGTCATGGTCGATGCATGGAGCGAGTTATTCAAGGCCGGTATCGAAGACCTCACGCTGTTCAGCAACCCCTCTTATCAGTATGACCTCGTCGACTGGACTCGTCAGGTCCTCGTCAACAGCTTCGAGGACCTCTACAAGGACCTCGTCGACGCATACAACCAGTCATCCACTCCCACCGTGATCCGCTCTCGCGGCGCCAAGCTCATCACCCTGCTCAAGACGCTCGATGCCGTCCTCGCCACCAACGACAACTTCCAACTGGCCCCCTGGATCAAACAAGCCCGCGCAAGCGATCCCTCAGCCGCCAACTTTTTCGAGTTCAACGCCCGCAACCAGATCACGCTGTGGGGGCCTCAGGGCCAGATCGAAGACTATGCGTCGAAGCAGTGGGCCGGCCTGGTTGGCACGTACTACGCCGAGCGATGGCAGCAGTTTATCGACTACCTCGCCACAACCAAGCCCGCAAGCTACAACCAGACTGCGTTTCACGAGAAGCTGCTTGCTTGGGAGACGACATGGGGGCAGCAGACTTCAAGCAACAACAAGTTCAATGCCGGAGAGAGCGACATTCGGTCCGTTTTGGACACAATTCTGAAGAGCTGGGGTGATGTGTTCAAGTTGTAGAGAGAGGGTTTCCATATAGAAGCATGGGTTGTCTGAGAGGTGGACAGATCTATTGAGTTGTTTCTGCAAGCCACATGACTTTCTATTGTTAGTATGTCTGCTGTCATGCGTCAGCTTGTGAGTTGAGACTGTCGGCCTCATGTGGGAGAGGCATTAAGTCAGAAGAGTTGGCGCACGTCTATATGTTTCCGCGGAACTCGGTTGCGGCAACAATCTCGTAGGATTCTTTGGACAGAGGTAGTGCTTATTGTTGATGCATCCAAGCCCACCTCTTGTTTATGACATGGCCCAACCAGTACCCTCCTTGCTGCTAGAGTCTATGCTGGGTCCGTGAACATGGCTATAGAGATACTGCCGTTCGAGACAACTACATGTACGATAGTATGTATGATGCTTTGCTATGTTTCACAGGTCTGGCGCATTATAGTCCTAGTTGTTATAGTTGTGGAAGCTGCCTCACGACTCAGCGGTTGAGGAGGTTGGCCAAACAAATAGAGAATATTTCCGAGAAAACACCGTTTTAGATAGATTCTATCTCATGCACCAAGGCAAGAGAGTTCCATTGTCAGGACATTGCGGCTCAAACGGATATCCTAGGCATCACCTGCACGCCTCGACGGAAAACCCATCTCACTGCAACCCCAGTCTTACACGCGCACCTCCCATCTCTTACAATACACACGTCCACTTCCTCTAACACAAATCACCACCACAATCTACCCGAGGCAACATGAAAGAGATTATCCCCTGTCCAAACTGCTGGTGCATAGTAATACCTATATTCATAAGCCCGATCACCCCAGCTCGTAGCCACTTTTCCTTCTCCTCCCGCGGAAGACCTCACAGACACAAACCCGACGAAACCTATTTTTACCTTACGCAAAAGCCGCAATGCTCGCAAGCCCGGTAGCCTGACCATTTGTGGAGTAGGCAAAGGAACAAGCAGCACAGCAGCTGGACCTTGTAGGGTATCAATGTAAGAGTGCGCCTTATGTACATGCCCAGGGCCCTGCAAGGGCACATGCAACATGCCCAACGAACTGCACAGCAATCGAGGCCAACACCAGGGCCAACTTACACCCACTTGCACAGCCACAACACCATCACAGCTACTATCCATACATACCTTATGTGTGTCCTCCTCAACTCGCACCAGCTGTCGTCCATCAATTGAATAGCCAGCACCGGGCCAATTGGTCTACCAGTTCCCTTTTCCGACGGCGCACCGACTCCAATTCCGCGGCATTTCCGTCGACGACATGATCAACGCAACAAACAACTGAGGATAACTAACTTGACTGCAAGAAAGAAGCGCACATGCGAAATGCAGCCGTTCTGGAGACCACAGGGCGGCCGGCGCCTGGTCGCAGCAACACACGTAAACGAGGCCCGTCTAACAAAACAAAGACAGTTAAAACAGCCACAGACGGTTTCACCTCCTGCAGCCTCCGCACGGAGGATCGCAAAAACGAGACAAGCATATCTGCGCAAGCAGGCCGTTGAAACAGCTCGACCACCCAACAGCACAGCAAGACCCCTGCCAGCTGCAACGGGGCGTTGGTTCCAGCTCTCTCCTCACCTTCTTTTCTACTATCTCCAGTCTTTCAGCCGCTCACTCTACTAGTTTCCGGACGTCTTTTCTCACTGACATACTAGATAGTATTACTACTATAACCCTTGTGCGTGTGTCATCTCTCCACGTAGTTTGTGCGGATTTCTATATTTGTGACTTTTTTCCCCCCTCCACTTCTGGAACAGCGTACATACATGATGCAGATTTTCTCTAACCGAGGCCCCATGTTCGCAAGAGCCGCAAAACATGAAGCCTTCTTGGCGCAGGAAGACGACCGGGGACCCTTTCCGATGGGGAAGCTTATTCGATGTGACGGATCCAGGATTTGCCTGTGCGGGCTGTTGTTTAAGAATCGGCGACGGCGCCGCGTGTGGTTTGAAAGTTCTATGTTGGCTGCCAGCTCGCTTGAGTCTCCTCGGATTGACATCAATGTATAATAGAGTCCGAGCCAGTCAAATCAATCAACAGTACACAATGGGTTGGAAACCGCTTCTCTTCCTCAGCTGGCTGCTGTTGGTGTTGCCTCACCACGCCGCATCTTCAGATCTCATCGTGAGGAACCTCCCCGGAAAGTCATCCGACCAGACGGTATACGAGGTCCGAAGACGCCTCGCCAACAGGGTCAAGCGAGCCGGCACAGATGTCCTATTCGACAACTCAACCTCCTTTTCCCTAGGCCTCGACGGCACAACAATCTTCAAATAGTAAAAGCCGAACCAAACTCCTCACGTTCGTTCCCAAACAAAGAAACAAAACATGCTAACAACATGTGCCCCAAAAAAAAAAGCCCCTTCGAAGACGCCTCAGACGACGACGGCATTTCAGCAAGCATCTCCATCATCTGCACAAAATGCTACATCAAAGGCCGCGCCAGCGCAAAGCTCGCCGCCGCCAGCAGCTCCTTCAACATCACCTCCGCCGTCGACCAAGCAAAGGACAGCTTCGAGTCCACATGGCACAACCTCGAAGCCTACGCCCAGAACCTCACGCACACCATCCTCGGCGACGTCGCAACCGACGTCAAGAACCTCGATTTCGACGAGCTCATTGACGACGTCAAGGACATTGACCCACCGGACCTTGACATGAATCTCAACCTCTTGTTCCCAGAGTACAATGTCGGCGTGAACCTGACGGACCTGGAGATCTACATGGAGCTGGACACGGTGCTCTCCGCCGGCATCACGTACACCTTCAACATCTACCAGAGCGAGACCATCGTGGGCATCGCCCTCGGAGACGACCTCCTCCTCGGCGCCATCTTCTCCGTCGACCTCATCTTCAGCGTCGACAGCAAACTCGACATCACCAGCGGCTTCCACGTCCACTTTGACAACGTTCTGACCCAAATCACCCTCTTTGGCAAAGAAGCCTCCAAAATCGACTTGTAAGCGTCTCTCTCTCTCCCCACAACCCCCCTCCCCTCCCATCCCCTTATTCCCCATCTACACAATCGAAACACACACACACACACACACACACACACACACAACTTTTAACAAACGCTCACAAAACTGGGCAGTGACGGCGGCAAACTCGCATTCCTCCCCGTAAAGATCCGCTACGGCAACGTCCTCCTCAAAGCCGTCCTCCGCGTCGAGGCCCGCATCGGCATCGCCTTCCAGACCTTCATCGACGGCATCTCTATCCCTGAGGTGGGCCTCAAGGCCCTCAAGGTCGGCGCCGGCGTGGAAGCCCGCGTGTACGCCAACATTGCCGAGTTCGTCACAAACATCACCCTCGCCGAAGTCGACGTTCCCACAAAGAGAGACGACGACGACGACAACGGCAAAGACAACAATAACAACAACAACAACTGTCTGCTGAGCATGGCCCAGGCCTTCACCTTCGGCATCGGCGCCGCGGCGGGCGCATCCGTCGAGCTCCTCGGCAACACATGGGGCCCTTCCCCTGAGACCGAGATCCCCCTCTTCTACACCACCCTCGCACAAGTCTGCGCCCTCACCAGCACGTCCTCCTCCTCCTCCTCGACCGCAACCACCATCTCAGCCACCACCACAACCGCCGCCGCCCATCCCGCAGCATCCACCCCCAAGAAGCGTGCAGACACTCCCACTCCCTCCGTCACAAAGACAGTCACGTCCGAAACCCAGGTCGCCACAGTCTGCGCCTCTCCCGGCCTCGTCAACTGTCCGGCCTCCCTCCAGACAGTAACCAGAAACGTCATCACAAAGACGCTCACCTCGACAGTCACGTCCGGCGTCCCCGTCGTCTGGTCCACAGCAACAGCCGCCGCGTCCGTTTTCAACACGGTGGCCTTCGACGACGACGCCGTGACATTGACCAGCTCGTCCGGAAAGCCAAAGACCTACACTCCGCCTCCGCCGCCGCCGCCTCCTCCGCCGCAGACAAGCGGATCATCACCTTCAGGCTCCAACGGCGCTTCAGCTGAAGAAAAGTCCGGGCCACACCGTGTTAGCAACGCCGTCATCATTGGTGTCAGCGTCGGCCTCGGCGTCCCGGCTCTCCTCGCAGCCATAGGAGCATTCATGTAAGTAGAACCACAACTCTGTTGCATCCTCTTAACTGCAACCCTTTGCTAATACATCATGAATAGTTTCTTCTTCCGCCGCAGCCGCAGGCCAATATCCACGCTGGTACCGGCGGAAACTGCTACCACTGTAGACCCAAAGGCGCAGCAAGTCGTGGCGACTTATGCCCCGGTTCGCGCAGATGATGATTTATGAACGGTTTTAGATAGCTTTGTTTTTTGTATACCCACCCTTGCCATCGTTGTTCCGTTGTTTCTTTACACTGATATCATGTGATGAATCCCATCGGCATATAGTTGCCACAGTGGGACTTGGAAGAGACCGGAGGCTGTCTTGCATCTAGAGTGGCTCCAACTCGGCAAAGGGGCCGGTCTGCGAGATCTGATTGATCGAAAGAAATTATAAGGCACAAGGGCTGTATCAGCCAAGATCTTGATGTCAGTTCACATGCATGCTGCGGGAACTACACGAGTGGTTCATAGTCGATCGTCTGTCATACGTGATCTGTAGCGAAAGGGACATCTCGAGGTATTTCAGTAGGAACATTCATCATTATGTATTATATGTTCAATGCGTCTATACCCCATGCCACCCTTAAACTCGCCTAGGTATATCCAGTCCATTTTGAACGCCGCCCAAATGCTAAAGTATCACCCCATCTATCAATCGTTGAAATTATCAGTCTATAAAACGTTCCACTTTCGTGTGTAGTTGTTTGACTGCTCGGGTTGTTCCGTGCAGCCTAGTTGTTTGTTGGCTTCTCGCCTTGTCTGTTCATCTGCTTCCTAGCTTATGGGTTGCTGACGTAGCTCCTCGCCCTCCTCAAGTCAAGGTCGTCATCCGTATCGTCTCGGGGAGCAGCACCATGAGTGGGAACCCTCTGGGCCTTTTCGAGGTCATTCGGGTTCTGGCTCGTTTCCACCTCGTCATCACCGCCGTAGGCATACTTGCTGCGAGCGCGGATCTTGGCGCCCCAGATCCAGAAGCAGTAGGGAATGGCACAGCAAGCCAGGCTAATGAAGGCCAAAAGCGAAGAGGCCCACTGGTAGCCCAGTCGCGCGTACATCTGCTCGGTGAACAAGACCACACCGGCACCCCAGAAACTTCGGATGCATGTCTTGGCCGCAAGGGCGGAGGCGGCCTGGTGTTGGTAGGAGTCGACCAGGTAGTTGTTTGCAGAGTTATAAAGGAAGATGAAGCCGAAACCGACGGGAAAGCCACCCAGGGCCGGTCCGACCCAGACCAGCCGCGGGTACGAGGTCCAGGCGAAGATGAACAACCCGATGGGAATGCACCAGCAGGATACCATCATGGGGATCAAGCGAATCTCCGCAGGTGGCTTGCCGTTGTACTTGTGAACCATTTTGAGGTAGTGCTTGTTGACGAACGGAGAGAGGGCAGCAGAGAGGAGAACGCCAATGGCCAGGGGGATGAACATCAGACCAGTGCTGCCGGCATTCCAGCCCTTGCCCTCCTGGAAAACGATGGGGTAAGCAACGAAGAACATGTAGAGCAGGCCGTAGAGAACGCTCATGTACAGCGAGATGAGAAGCACGATGAGTTCCTGGAACAGCAGCTGGAAGGGTCGGATCATGAAAACCGTGAGCCGCTCGCCCATGGACCTCTCGTCAATGTCTTGCTCCGTAACATAGCTTTCATCGCCCGTCTGCTGACGGAGCTTCTTGGCGCGGCGGGAGAGAATCGTAGGGGCGTAGGTTTCGGGGACGGTGAAGGTGATGAGGAACCAGACAACGCCAGAAAGGATGAGCTGGATCCAGTACAGCCAGCGCCAGCCAGCACCATCGGCAAGGTAGCCACCAACAAGAGGGCCGACTGTTTTGCAATTGGTCAGTCGAGTTCAACGATGCAAGAGTTGTTCATAGGGTCACTTACTGGCTGGCCCAATAAAGGGAGCGGCAGAAAAGGCAGCCATGGGAACACCACGCTCCTCGTTCCTCCACAGATCCGCGAGCGTGCCGCCGACCAGGGTCATGGGGGCCGAGAAAGCGATGCCATCGATGGCTCGGCAGACGATCAGGGTTCCGATATTCTGTGCAACAGCGCAGGGGATGACGAAGACGACGGCAAGCAGGAGTGTTGATCCACTGCCCGATGGGTTAGCATACGACATATTCCGCTTTCAGATGGCGTCTGAGCACTTACTAGATAATTCGTCGTCCAAATACCTCAGACAGCGGCGCAAAGGCCATGGGCCCAACACCAAAGCCAACGACGAAAACTGTAATGGTCAGAAAGGAAACCTCTCTGCTGACATGGAACGTCTCGGAAGGCCCAGTGAGATCCGCAGTGATGACGGCTGAACAAAAGGCCACCACGAAACACGTCAGGGCAACAACCATGGTGCAGTACCACTTGTACGCCTTGGACCAGTTCTTGGGGTTCTCCGGATCGTCTGGGGTGAACGTGACCAGCTGGTAACGCTTCTCGCCTGCCCCGCCAGCAGCGGTCGGGGGCTCAACCGGGCCCGGGATGGTGCCCGTGCGTGTAGCCACGCGGAACTCGTCAAAGTTGGCATCGGCGGTGAGCGTACGATACGGCAGGTTGACGTCGAGGTTGGGGTCGTACGTCTCCTTCTGGGGGCTGCGGGTTTTGCTGGCAGTCGATCCCCGTCTGCCAGGAGCCGACTTGGATAATCGTGGTGAGGGTTCGGAATGGAGGCCCTGTTCCTTGTCTACCTCTGTAGACGGCCCCTCCAGGGTTGAGGTCGAGTCTGATGATGATGATGCCGCCATGGCGGATTGGCAATGCCTATGATGCAGAGATGGCTCGACAATTGCAAGGACGGTATTGCTGTCAGTGGATGCCAGATCCAAGAGTGTGGGAGAGGACAAAAAGTGTGTGTGCCCGAATCATGCCATCTTCATCCAGGCGTGGCGTGGCCCGGTTATATATATACAGGCCAGAACATGCTGCAGAATCTTCGATATGATGCCACAGAGGAATCATAGTGCTGCGTCTCTAACCTCGGTCCATCCGTCCGGTATGTATCGAAGCCGAAGCCGGACGTCATCGCCTGTCGACAGGGAAGGAGCTGAAAAGCCACGAGCTGCAGCTTCCAAAGCGTGCATACCAGCAGGGCGGCCCCACCGCCGCCTGCCGTCGACAGAATTTTTAGGGTCGCCCTGCAAGTGCCGCGATTGGCCAGCACGGATGAAGCCGAGAAAGAAGAGGCGACGCAGCTGCCCGAAAGAAACAACCATAAAACAGGTGCTGGCTCCACTCGAGGGTCTTATCGCCAGCCTTGCCGCCTGCAGCCTGTTGTAAGTGGACGATAAGACGGTAATTATGGGGCGGCAAGTGGGAATAAAAGGCTTAGCCTGCGATGTTATTTCCAGCTCCACAAGGCTAGACGGCAAGAGGCTAGCCACAGAAGGTGATTGAAACAAAATACTAATTCTGCTCGTCGTCGAGGCGAAAGAGAAGCTGCGATCTGGAAACGGCATTCCGCAGCGCTTTCCGCAGGGATGAACGACAAAAGACTTGATCAAACGAAATGCAAATGCGCTACAAATGCTTCATATGACCACCTTCCCCTCTTTATTCAACTCGAAAGGGTCAAGTTTGACTGGAATCAGCCCGCCCGGCAGGCGCGTTCGGGACCGTGGTGGGTGCCCGGAAAGGTGGGCCCCGGCTATGGTCCCGGAATAACGGAATCGGCAGTCGACGATGTGCCATTTGAAGGATCAACTACAAATAGCGATCATGATGCAAAGAACGACGCCTCACTTTTTTTGCGACGACATGCCGCATATTTCCAAGGATCATAAATACAGGTTTTTGGGCAGTATCACGCCTTCTGCCCATGACAGGAAAAAGATGAACCCTGATAGACCACCTTTACAAAACTCAACCAAGACTGAATGAATTGGAACGGAATGATGCAAAAATACCATCACCCATGACATCAGCCAGCAAAGCTCGGAAAAGAAAAAGTCTAGAACATTTGGTGCCCGAGCATGCTTGTCAAAATTCTGCTGTTCCTCATTTAGCTGCAGTTTCCTAGTTGGGTATATAATCTCACTTGCGCTAAATACTTCTTTCTGCCATCCATCGTCTCCATCGAGCTTCAGCGTGTATTACTCCTAGTCCCTAGCCAAACTTTCTTATTCTTGACTTCTTTCGATATGCGTCAGTGGAGATGACCTGCATCGAATCCAACTGTTACTTGCTTGAAGTTCTCCAGCTACAGTCACTGGTGAAAGCCCAGTGCATGCATCCGAGTCCACTCAAGCGGAATCCCAAGCCACGTCCAAGAGGTTTCAGCCCTGTAACAAAAGCCTCCTCTGTATTCCAACTGATAAGATGCCCTGACTTAACACGATCAGGCCCATAATTCTTGTTTAATTAGGAGCCGCATTCATCGATACTAGTCATCGTGCTCCATATTTTTAAGATGGCTCGTATGAGCTGGGCGTGAACATCTGGCGCGTCCTATGGATCGCAAGAACTTCACCAATGTGGCTACTGCCCCTGAGCAACGGCAACAAGAGCTCCGATTGCGGCCATCAATAGCCGATCTGATTCAATGAAACAAATCCATAAAATTGTTCAGTTGGAACCAGATCTTGAGTCTCGAACATCGACAGGCCAGTTGAGTCACGTAGCAAGACAGACCCAGTATCTGCTCGTTAGGTCGACATGGGGTCATAAGAGGACTATGATTCCAGATCATCGAAAACTCTGAAAGCCAGTCTACAACTCTTTCAGCTCATTCAATTGTTTGAGTCTGTCATTCAGGCTATTCTATTGCCGGCAACATGAGTGCCAGACAACGTTTCCGTCATTTGTAAGCCGGAATCGCCTCCACGTCGGCTGCGGTACATCCCGTCTGCTATAACGATGCCGCTCGGCCTCCACGGACCTTGGCAAAATCCATGGGAAATCGATTAAGAACCCGTGCTTGGATCTTTCTGAAGGTCGAAAATGCCATCATCTTACACAAATCCATGAGAGATCTACTAAAAGTTTGTGGCCGCGAGATGGCTTGGTCAATTACCTCTCCAGCCATATGATCGCATACCACTCCCTAATCGCCTCAACCGACGCTTTCCAAGGTTCTTTCTTACTCGATACGTTTCAGGGGTATCTGACATGACAAGCTCTGCTAGCTTCAGTCAGACTTCCGCGGCTATCGCTCGGCTGGACAGGTCGTGCTGCAACCGCCCTCCCCTACGAGGCAGTTCGTTACCCTTCTCGCACGGACACTCATCTCTTCTTACCGATCAAACGATGCTCATAAGATAAGAATTGTGTAATACACCATCAGAAACTTGATTCCGACAGTGGCAGAATGAACAGGCCGGTGCTGTCGACAACCGAACGAATCGAGTTCTCTCTCAACAACTGCCGGCCATCCACCTCCGTCATCTACCATCCACGATCTTCCATTAGCACACCAGGGCAGCTCCCATGCAAGCACATAATACTACTCCTATTTTCTCTCTTTATCTCTCTCTCTTTTCTTAACTACCCAAAACAGTAACATCTTTTTTTTTTCTCACGTCGCTCTTTTCATCTTATAAATGTTGACTTACACGCAGCATATTTTTCGGCAATGTTCGGCTATTGAGTCAGCCTCGAAATGGTGGAGCCAAACAAGACGACTTCCCATCAAGAACATCGAGCATACCTACTCGTACGCACGCCATATTAAGATTACGATCTTGAACATCTCCATTCTCAAGCGACAAGTTATTCGCGCAATCTTTCATCAACAAGAAAAGAAAAAAGAAAAGCTTCATCTTGAAATCGTTGACGAATTCCGAGCATGGTTTACCGTGCAGATCAACGATTGCCGCCTCGATCACCGCACCCAAGCATCATACATAACCCCCAAGCCGTGACCAGAAAAAAAGAGGGAATCTGAGAATTTTGAACACACAATGCGGCAAGTATACGCACACTTAAATGCCCGACATATGTCTACTTAAAGAGTGCTCTTGTCGTTCACTTGTGTGTGAATATTCATTCTGCGGTCCCTATTCTTTCGGTCCCTGCTTGATAACTTCTATACCCAACAACTGCCCAAGCAGCCCAACCACGCACGCAACCGATCATCATCGCTCCTTTTGAGCAAAAGAATCAATGACAATGACAATATCTGGATAAGTTTGATGGCGAATTTTACAATCAGGCTGATTGCTGCCAAGGCATATCCCGACGTGCGCCTGTTCCAACGACGAAATTCGCCTGCAAACGTACGATCTTTACTCATAGAGTATCACAGGCTGATGTAAAGCAAGTATTGATGAGCAGCCCAATGCAACAGAGATCCACTTACACACTGATAGTCGATAACAGAAACCCCCAGAGATTTCAGGAGAGACAACCAGCTTCAACGCTTCAAAGCTCTCATTGCCTCTATACGATCGTGTACGAATCTGCAAATCTTCGTCATATCAATAATCCCGTCATCGTCAAGAGCACCCATCCGAAGATGCAACACATGACATGAATTCCGCTCCGTTCCATAGTGCAGACTCCAATGTCATTCCCGACAACACCGCGCCATGATTAGCCCGTAGAACTGCCAACAGCACATGAAACACCGACACAACCAACTCCAATGCCGATGACGAGCCATGCCAAGATCAGAAGAAAGAAAGAGATCGAGACACAAGGAAAAGAAAAAAAAAGTCTTCAGCATCACGCTTCACGGATGGTAGGTGGGGGTTTGTGTCATTTTTAGCACAGAGCTAGTTTCGTGTCTATCAAAAAGCTCGTCAAGAACGGGAAAAAAAGAGGCCAACAGAGCAAATCAAACCTTAGTATCGCAACTAAAACAAGGCGTATGTAGTGCTAGAACCATCTATGCTAGTAATATGTCAGTATGCATGATGGTATGTTTGCAGAAAAGGCCACGTTCCTCATCCAGACCGTCTGCAAATTCTCTCATCGATCGATATTGCTTATCAATGGGGAGGGGGGCCTTTCGTAGATAGATACTTGTAACATGGCTACATGGCTACACCACTAAAGAAGGCCGTTCGATGAGACAAAGACCGAGATAGAGGCAAACAAAATGCCAGATGGCATCCAAGATTTGCCTCGTGGAACGCAGATGAGCTGCTCTCTCACCGCCCTTATGGCCATCAGCTGCCACAAGCCCAGCCCCATTGCAGGAACGGGCAATACGTTCACGGTCACAGCTCAAATCACACGCAGTTGCAACCCTCTGAGGTGCCACTCGTCTATCCGATGTCAGATCCTTCAAGGGGGGAAGAACTCAACGAAGGAACGTCCAACAATACGAGTGTATGTATGTCGAATACAGTACAGCACACACATACCTAGAAAAGGGGTACGTTGTATGCCTCTTCACCCCTCGGAAATCTGAGACCACAGGCGGAAAAGAACATCACCGAAATCCTTTCTTCCCCCTTCTCGCAGAAAGGTGGCGTATTTTACCTCGCTCCTTTGCGGGTCGTCCTCCCAAGGCGCGCATAAGATTGGCGCCGCAAGGTGGCGACGATCCCCCGCAAGCCCAGGATCCTTGGGAAACCACTGGAGAATTGATAAGAGAAAGTTGCTTCTCTGGCCGGCCGTGATTAGCCAACCAAGGGGTCTAAGCCAGTCCACCACGATGGGCGGCGCGAATATGCAGCGGTTCGTGCATTAGCCCAGCAGCAAAACGCATGAGGACGAGACGGGCAGGTATGACGCACACCGGGGGGGCTTGGGAGGGAGCGTTTTTAGGGGGGAAAAGAGAGAGTGAGAGAGTGAGAGTGAGAGAGAGAGGGAGGGAGGGAGAGGATCCAAGACGTTGCAGCTATTCCCAGTCTGCGGGAGCAGCGGCGAGGGAGGGTGAGGTTTGGGAAGAGGAGGCCTGAGAATCGAGCCCTTATCCGCGGGCATTTGCCGCCATGGCGTGAAATACACCGGTCATCGTGCTTGGTGCTTGTACAGTGGCTCTGCACAACTGATGAATCGGAGCATTTTCTAGACGCAGCGGTGTGGCCGGGAATTGATTGAACTGCACTGCTGGCGTCTTGAGCAGCAGCGACAGCCCAGATGCCGCAGACATGGCAAACCGACAGAAGAGCAAATGGCAAACCGCAAAAAAGCCCGTCGCCTCGACTTTGCTGGAATGTCCACTCCGGAGTCCCCCATGGTCATGTGTGTCGCCTGGGATCCGCTACGTAGGTATGTGCTGTATGGTGGTTTGATATATTTATGGAACAGCCGCTCGTACCGCGCCAAGCCCAGCGAGATCCTGGAGAGCCCGGGTTTCTCCTCATGAGAAAACGTCGAGAAAAAAGAAAGGCGAGGGGAAAGTGAGAAGATGGATATCTAAGATGAACGGTGATCGGCGTGGCACTAGATGAGCTGGCAAAGCTGGCTTTTTCTTCTTCTTCATCGTCGACAATGAGCCAAGCGAGGAGGCGTGTTGATCTCAGAGCAAGAGATAAAAAGCAGGCGTTTTTGTTTCAACGCTGAGGATGGTGACTCTTCGATGCCCTCACTTTGTGGTTTGTCACTGCTGGGGGTGGGAGAACCCGCTAACACGATCTAGTCCAGTGGGACCCGTTGATCATTTCTCGTCCACATACAGAGTACTACATACTACAAACGAAGAAGAGGCATCATAGGGGCTGGACTAAACAGCTGTGGATTGCATGAGTCTAGAAACTCTTGGTGGCATCATGCATACAACTCGTCAGTGTAAGTCGATGTAAGACGGTCAAAGCACAGCCATCCCACCTCACTTCCACTGTTGTTGGTGGCTTCCAGTACCTATCAACTGCGTGCAACAAAGGAGTAACATCTACACTTACTGGTAGTAGCAGTAGGTACTATGAGCGGCATATTCGTCTCTGAAACGCTAATGTGCAGCATCACCAAGGGTGTCAACCAGTAGCCGTGTGACTTGCAACGCGATCGTCATCGGCAGATGGGAAAGAATTCGGGGTCTCAGTCTAGGATACTGACCCTGTCCTGTTCGCCAGCCCGTCAGGGTCTTCCAGAGGATCGTCGGTTGCGTCCAGGCACTGCGGTAGTGCTAGTAGCAGTAGTAGTAGTAGCCATATTCATACGACTTCTGTATCCAGCGGTAGCACGTACACGTCCGGAGCAGCAGTCCTACCTCCTGACTGCCTGTAAATGCTACGACGTACACGGCACTGCACAGAGTCGGGGTCTTGGGTGGCATCGCGCGACTGGGGTACGCACGCAGTCGAGGTGACGTTGAAACAAGATACCCCAGTCTTGAGAGTGTGGATGTGCTCCGTCTTCTCTTCTCTCCGTCCTTCCTTCAGAGATCAGATACCCTGGGGGTTGTGCTCCGAGCTTCGCATGATGGGATGATCTCAAAGGCCACCAGGCGGCTCGTGAATCGAGTTTGACAGGGAACACGCCAGCAAAGAAGAAAAACTCCGTACACGACATGAATCAAGCAATTCGCCAAACCGTTGATAGTCACACTCGTACCATCACCCAGAAGCGTGGGCTTTGCGTGTTGGTTTACGTTTTCCCTTCTCATAAACACCGCCGCCCCATTGGTTGACCGACAACACACCACGCAGCCCTGGAACAACTTTCAAGTACACGTCTGTCTGCAGTACGAGTACTCTGTCAAAGCGAGATACTACTAAACTACAGGTAGTAGCCGCCTGCGAGAAGTAGACATTGACAGTAGGAGTACTGCATACAATATACAAGTACTACGTGCAGTTGATCGATAGTATTAGATAGCAGCTCCAGATCGGAAAGTCAAGCAAGTGGTTGACGAGGCGTTCTGGTGCTTATCTGAGACAGGACAAAGCAGCCAAGAGGTTGGCTTTGCACAGGTGCCAGACATTGTACGCAGGGTGGCAAGCTGACGCCCTTGCCGGTGTCTCACAGTCGGTCCAGACCTCCCGGCTGGGCGCCTGGACCGAGTGCTCGTATGCAGCTATCATCGCACGGCGGCGCCAGCAGCTCGAAAGCGGCTCACCAGCTCGCTCATTGCGGAAGGCCATGCTGGCGCGGGAGAAGGGGAGCAAGGAGAGCCGGACGACAAGGCAGACGGGGCAAAAACGCATGTTCAATGGCTTGCGGGCTTTGGAGCGTACAAAACAGTACGCAGTTCAGAGCACGAATAGCCACGGCGCCAAGCAACGTTGTCGCTGCCGCGCACACATCCTGTCCCCTCGTTCGAGGCGGTGAGCGCGATCCAGCCGCAAATAGTAGAGAGCAGAGCGCGAAAATGGTGTGTGTAGCGAGTAGTATGTAGTAGTAGTAGTATTAGTGAGAGAGAGAGTGTGTGTGGCACGGACTGCGTCCGGCATGCCGTGCATCTCGGGGCGGAGAGTATGTATTATTGAAAAGAAGGCGAGCGAGGATGTGGATGGACAGATGGAGGGATGGAGGGGCAAACTAGAGACCATCGCGAAACCTCCCTGTCCTTGTCCCAAGGCCTGCCAACCGCTAGTCGCGAGCACACAGGCGCAACCCCAGCAGCCTCAACACCGCAAATCTCGAGAGGAAACACAAAAACAGTCGACCATGTCGGTCCGTCGAGTGGCTTTCGGGCGGTGCCTCTTAGTCAGACGTTGCGAGCGTCAGAGTCATGCCAGCCAACGGACGACGTGCGAAAGACACGCCGATCACTGATACGGGCGTTCGGCTAAATGTGGACATGGCGTCGCCCTCGAGGTCCTTGGGAAATCTCGGGCTCTGGCAAAGCCAAGCGGGCAGCCAGAAGCTAGCGAGAGAGGCGGCTGGAAGTCAGGGAGCCCATGTCTTTTTGGGCTTGAGCCTTGGGCTGGGAGACGTAAATAGCTTCGAGATGGTACTCTGCAGGAAGTGATGCCAAGTACGAGCTGCTTCAGGACTGGATTGAAAGGTAGTGAAGTTGTAGTAGTAGCAGAAGTAGGTAGTTTTGTGGTGACAGTAGGAGGAATATCACTTGCTGCATAGTACATACATACAAGTAGGTACTGTAGGCACGGAATATCGACAACGCCCTGCCTTCCGGCATGCGAAACGCGAAGCAAGGGAGAGAACCAGAGAGATGCGTTGGATGCAACCGTCGGCGGTCGGCTGTCGTCTGAGACGAGACGGAGGCGTCCTTTTGTCTTGTCATGGATGATGAAAAGCGCCGGGCGTCTGGCGCGGTGGCTGGTCAAATCTCAGATTTGGCAGTGGATGCAAAAAATGCCAGAATGCCTCTGCACAGACAGAAGAGGCAGAGACAGCAGGCCCAAGTCGAGTGTGGGGGGTCGGTGGAGTTGGACGCTGGGCCACACGATGATACTACTCGTACAAGCCCTCATGAGACGACCCCTGTCGTTCGGAGTGACATCCCTGCGTCCCAATCAGAGCATGGGGGCTCGGCGGCGGTGGAGATGCTATGACATAGTAGTAGGTAGCTTGGAGATGCTGAGGACTGCAAAAGAGGAGAGGGCGCGATGAAGGCGAGGGCGAGCATCAACGTCGACCTGCAAGTTGGGCGTCTTGGCGTCTGGCTGTCCGGATCGTGATCTGCGATGGAACAAGTTGAACGTGTCAACAGAAGACAGACGGACGATGGAACTTGAATGCAGATCGCATCTACTATACCTACCTACCTTGAAGTCAAATTGGTCGTGACCACACAAAGTATCGCACCGGAACGGGCACATGCTCGAACCGGCGCGGTGCCACGGGCTGACCAAAACACCACGGGCAGCATCTCGAGTCTCGTGGATACGAGTACACCATGTCTCACTTTCTGAGCCTCGATGTTTTTCCCTCTTGTCGGGTTTGGCGCAGGGCCCGTGACGGACATGTCATTCGGGACAGCCTGTGGACCGCCATCCCTCCCTCCCTGGCCAGCGCTAAGTTTAGCGACTCCAGAAGAAGCGGGCTCCCAATTTCCAGGCCCGCCACACTTCATCTCAAAGAGGCGCGCCGTGCATGTCCATCTGCATCCCTGCAGCCACTCCCAGGCGATAGAAGAGCGATCCCCGGCCAAGGCTAGCCTCACATGCTCTGTTTCGCTGGGCTTGACTACGGGGTACATGTACCAACATCCCAGCTCCTCCCCAAGCGATCGGACGACGAGCCTCGCCTGCAAGTGTGTGATACATATCGGTTTTTCTCCCCCTTCGCTCGATGGCCATCTGGGCGAGGGGACAGAACCGACTCGACTCTGCTTCTCCTCTTAACCTTAGCTGGCCAGCTGGAAAAGGTACGAGGCAGGAACACGGCCGGCCCGGCGCGGAGCTTTTTCGACAGTGGGCGCTTGAGGGCATCTCTCCGAGAGGTCGTCCTACAAGGCACGATCAGCCACCAACCACCGTCCAGGTCGCGGGTACGCTCATGTACCGAGTACAAAGTCGCTGCCGCTGCCACGCAATATGGCGCAAACCCCACCGCTGTACTCCGTCGTTGATCGCCGTCAAGTATCCGATACCTCGACTTGGACGTTGACTTGAGGTTGATATCAGACCGCAGCTTGTATGGGCGTTGACTGCTGCACCGTAGAATCATGGAAATCGTCCGAGAAGCATCATCGTACGTTGAAGGTTTCCCCATCACGAACACAAGCACAATGACGTCTTTTCTTCTACCGCCTCGTCTCTCAGCTGGGGGACTCGATTTCCTTGGCCAGAGATTTATGCCGCAAGTGGATTTGGGCCATATACGCTCCGGCTCTGCTCTAAGCTCTTGGTATGGCAATGTGATTCGTGTCATGGTTCGTCCTCGACGGGTAATCGGTCAAATCAGCTGAGGACAAAGGCGATGATGCCTCAGTTCGCCAGAGATATGGATGATGTCAACCTCCACCTGCAGCCAGAAGCTGTCATGAACGCAGCTATTCGCCGTTCTTGGCCGTCGACAACATCCCACAAGGGCTGATGCAGTGGTATGATGTTGAAGATGTAGAGAGTAATAATGAGCGCGTATGTCGCGGGCGGAGCAAGACGCTAGGTAAGGTAATAGTCAGCTCGGTGAATGACGGATGCCGAGGCTGCTGCGCGGCTACCGCTGCCGCCGCGGTAAAGAAAGAAAAGATCCAGAAACCGGGAGGCAGGATCACGGCTGGCATTGGCATCTGCAGCGATGATATAGAACATCAATTTGATATAGCTTCCCAATTGTTTACTTGTACTACAACAACTACTACTACTACTACTAGTATCATGCAAGTATGAACCTTGCCCCGGGGTCACGCCATGACGGATACTAGCCTTCCGTACGGACCATCTTTACCTTAAGGTATGGGGCATTTGATACTTTGATCTCGTCAGGCCGGCTTGACCTGAGCGTCGCCGTGGTAACTTGGGCTTCAAATCAAATCTCTTTCCGGCAGTGCGCAAAAGGCTCGAATTTTCCAGGTTCCGCATAGCGGCCCTGTCCACGAAGCGACTCATGGGCACGGCCGACAAGACAGGGGGGGATGGCCGATTGGGGCCATTTCGGCGAGCTCATTCCGAGCAGTGGCAGTGATACCTGGATTGACGTTACGAGCAACACAAGGTCAGTCAAGTGCTCGTACAATAGGTAGCCTCGTGGATTGGCTCATGCACGCGCCTTCTTGCTGGCCCTCCTCAGCTGCGGACTGGTTCGACCTGAGGAGTGAGCCACATGCGTACAGAAATACGCAGCACGCAGACGCCGTACATGCCGCCTGTCGACCGGGCGGCCAGTCAACGGCGGGCATGCAGCGGTGCTGGACTCGAGGCCAGCTGGGCAAATGTCTCGCAGCCACCCGGCCGGTCCAGTCCCATGACAGAAGCGGCACATGTATCTGGAACCTTGTCGAGACACACAAACTCCATCGGCGGCTGTGAGCCTTCAAGGGCAAGGGAGTGGCCCTCAGCGATCTCGAGCCTAAGATGGCCGTGGAAGGGCCCCCGCCCAATCAGCAGCGTCAGCGGCCGGATCTGGGATTGCTGGCGGTGCGTGAGTCGAGAGGCAAGGAGCATGTCGAGTCGGGAGCAGAGCAGGCGAATATTGGGCTGGGCTGGGCTGGGCAAGAGACAGAGCCGACGACGGGCTGGCCGCAGCAATATGTACATACATGCACTATGATTCCTGAGACCTCCGCGGACTGGGCTATTTGCTTGGTTGCCGCTGTTGTTGCCATGTTGTGATGGTGGATGCTGTTGTTGTCAGCCGCAAAAAGGGGAGTCTGGTCGTGTGCCTCTCTCCCTCTCTCCGTCGAGCCCGAGCTGGACGCTTTCGGCGAGCTGATGTGATGCGTCAAAACCACCAGACCAGAGCACTGGCACCGGCCGCATACCTGCGAGCGATGTACCTCACGGACAACGTTAAAAGGCGCCATGGCTCACGGCCCCGAATATGGATCCTGGATACATGGAGAAGGTCCCCTCGTCGCTCGATTGGCGTGCGGACTTTGAAACGAGCCCATAACGTCGTCACTCCCGCCGTGTTTTACGTAGCCAAACTCGTCATTTTACGGGTTGCGCCTCGCTGCAAGCCTCCAAGGATGCATCCCTGCTGGCGCCAAAAGAGAAAACAGAGAAAGGGAAAAAAAGGAAACCCCCACATGATGATGGATGGACCCTCCTCCGAACATCAACATCACCAATCTGCGCAGTGATTGGAGCCTTGGGGGGAGCTGCTCCCTACATGCAGGTGAGGTAGTGGGTAGCGTTGGGATGTAGCGAGTACATGCCGCATCTCGCGACGATGATGTTCGTCGTTCTTCTCTGCGCTTTGTTCTGTTCTGTATTTTACGGAGCCGGAGAGAAGAGGCGCTGCGAGTTCCTGACGTTCGTTGGTGTTTCGGAGTCGACAATTGTCTTGAACGCCTCCTCTCTCTAGCTTATCGCTCACTCTTGCTATTTTGTCCTCTTTTCCCCGGTTTCTCTCTGTCTTTATCTCTCTTCGCCTCTTTGGCTTCCTTTTCTTTTTCTTGACATCCCTAGCGCATAACTATGCGCCAGCACTAGTAATTTCTCTTTAGCAATGATCCTCTTTCGGGCTCTGAGAGAAACGGACACAGACAGACGGACAGACGGACAGACGGACAGACAGACAGACAGACAAAGAATGAAGAGACCAAGAGACCCTGTCGTTGGGCTCCATAGATTGGCGCCACTGCCGGGATGGTAGCGAGGACGTTATGAGCGCCAGTGCTCCGTAGTGCGTTCACGGACCAGACGGCGTCGAGATAAGGCATTGATTGCTTTGTCTTTTATTTTCTATTTTTTTCCTTTCTTCAGGCAAAAGAAGATGAGTAAGTCGTAGACCCGAGATAACAGAAACCGAGTCCAAAAAACCACGAATCGCGATCTTGTCCAGCAACAGAGACATGCAATCCAATGCCACTTGATGATGCCTCTCTCCCTTGTTGACTCGAGCGCCGTTGCTGATGGCCGGGCCGTATCGGCAGAGTACAAGTACCTGTACCGCCCAGTGCTGCCGCAAACCAGGGCCTCGTCCTGCCTGCGAGTGCTAGAGGCACCGCCACTGATTGGCTCCTCCGCCGGGGGTGCACGCACTGCGCTGCGCTGCCCTCGACTCGCCTGAGAGCGCGGCAACTTGCACTGCTCCAGCGCTCAACGGCCGAGGTACCGGGTACTTTGCGCTGCGGCGGCCCACCCCCCAGCCCGCGCCATGACCTGTGACCCTCCCCAATCAGCAGGCATCAGAAGGGCCCTGTCGCCAGGCCCACCGCGCTTTGTTCGCTTTGTTATTAGAGACCTCGATCCCAAGACCCCTCCATTTTCCTGCCTCTGGACCCTTTCCCTCGCCTTGCTCAAACCCGCCCTCAACCTGCGCGACTACGGACAGACGAGCCTGCAAGGCTTCAGGTTTGCTTTGGCTTTGCGTCTGAGTGCAAAAGGAGTGGCAGCCCGCTTCTCTGGTCTGCCAGCATCGCATCGCAGCGCCTCGCCTCGCCTCGCATCACCAGAGCGCCTTGGTAACATCTGCCGGCAGATTTTGGGCGGACCAACGGTGGTTCCTCTTGTTTCCCCCTTCACTTCTTCGGACCAGCCCGCCGGATCCTCTTCGTCCGTGGTGCTTCTTCCTTTTTCGCGTTTGTTTTCGACGTCCAAAAGAAAACTTCCTTCTTCTACGTTATTTCTTATTTCCGCTTGTTACGGTTCCTTCTTCTGCGAAGACGTCGCCCACTCGATTCGCTCCCCGATTCCGTTGACGAGAGGTGAGTCACGGCGTATTGCTCTTCTCCTGTTTCCCTACGCTTCGTCGCCGTCCGCTACCGCTGTTCTGCCTGTTCCGCTTGCCTGCTCTTTGACCATGTCTCTACATCTGTCTGCCTACCCATTTGCCCTCCGCCGCGAGGAAACGAGAGCCAAAAGAGAAAAAAAAAAGGAAATCGGGGGAATACCGAAGACGAGCCAGATGGCCCTCGCCGCGATCCTTCTCTTCCTCAGACAACTCATCCTCCACACCCAAGAAACAACCCAACCGCTGCCTCCTACTGTCCAACCACCTCCTCCTGCCTCGTACAAAGCCCTCACTTCTCTTCCTCTTTTGCCCTTCGCGTACGACTGCCCTCTTGGCACCTCTTGGCCGGCGACCTCCTGTGCTTCGTTGCAGCCAGTCAGCAGTAACCATGGCGATGCTACTTTGTCCTTGATGCCCTGGTGTCCTCCTCCGGGTGCTTCGTCCCTTTTCTGTCCTCTGTGACCACTGGAACGACGTTGGGTGAGGCCTCTCTGCGCTCTCGTGGGCTGGCCGAAAGGGAAGTGGCATGATGATAAGTCAATCGCCTCATCCGCCAATCTGCTTGATAGCCGTTATGCCAGTTTGTTCATGTCTCTGTGAACCGGTCCAGATAAAGCAGTCGTTCAGTTCCCCCCTCCCCTCTGCGGTGTTACATCCTTGATGTACGCACGTTTCTTTTCCTCTTCCTATTAAACCCCTGCCGCTTCCCCCCTTCTACTTCACAGTGTAATATTTGATATGAACCATTTTCCATTATTAATTGCTAACAGTTGGATATAGTGGTGTGTGGCTTAAAGTAACACCTTAAGGGCATCGAACATCGAGTCAAAAACGCTGCGGATACAAGCGAATCGCATTCTTCTCCAACTCGAACCGCCTACGACGCTCTTCCGCCGTTCTTTTACCCCGAAATCCATAATAGCCATATCTTCTTTATCCTCGATGTCTATATGACCCTGAATACCACAGCAATGGATTCAGAAGACGGAGGGTTGTTTATCAAGGTACATCAGTGATCATTTCGAAATGGGTGTTGGGGCGCCAGCGTGCTAACCTCCAACAACAGCAACTTGCCGCCTTTGTGCGCACGCACGAAAAGGCCCTCGCCAACGCCTTTCAGCCTCAGCGGCGCGATGTTCGTCACCGGGCCACGCAGAGCACAAGCTCTGCCACGCTCTCGCAGGCCGCGACGTTTCCAGAACGTCCTTCGACCGCAATCTCCAACTCTAGCTCGTTCGCCAGCTCTCTCTCTCTGGGGCCGCTCAACTTTGGTTCGCATGGCGTCAAATCGGCAAAGCTGGCCCTGACTCCCCACCATCTGTTCTATCTCCTCTCTCGCTTCGAAGAGTTGGGTATCAATGTGGGGCCCATGAAGGTTCGCTTGGAGGATCTCCACGACAGCTCATCCTCTGCAAACTACGTGTCATTCCTCAGCAACACCCAGCGGTCTAGAAGCCACAGCTCTGATGTCGGCTCCATCCACTCCGTCTCCAGCATGCGGAGCGTCATGTCTGGCATGTCTGCTCTGTGGGCCAGCTTTGGCATCGGTGCCAGCATCTCGGCTTCCCGGACGGAGCGTCAAAAGGCCGCCCTGGAGGCGGACATGAAGTACTTGTATTCCGCCTTCACCAAGATCCCCTGTCTCCGCCTGGCCCCTGATTGGCGAGCCCGCCTCATCAAGGGCTACGAAGAGTTCCCCTTCGACTCTGCCGTCCCCCTGTACGTGTTCAAGAACGTCCAGGCCCTGGAAGTGAGCAACATTGATTTTCGCCAATTCTTCGGCTGGGACCGCATGGCCGACCAGCTCCGCTCGCTTACGCTTAAGCATGCTGGCATCGAGGACCCCGCCGATATCCTGATCGACATCGTCCTGGACGACATGGACAAGAGGCGTCGACGAACGTCCAAGGCGCAAACCTCGCCATCAATACCATGGAGCGGGAGCCACAGCCCCCGCAAGAGTCCAACCATGCCCGGTCGTGAGTTCTCGCGATCCGTGTCCATTCCCGGCTCACCCGATGCTCGGACCTCGCTGGGTGAGCTTCACGTGGGCTCCGTGGGGCCCAGCGAGACCGCCGTCGACGACGGCAACACGTCTGATGGCTCGGCCCGCACTCTGCGGAGGCAGTCTACGGAAGACCTGCCGCGGTCCCTGAAAAAGGACTCTCGGCCGAGGAGCAACTCCCCTTCTCGCCCGGCCAGCTCTCGTAACCACTCCAACCACCACGTACGATCTCAGCAGAGGATCCGGCGCTCGGGGTCTGGTAGTTCCAACTCCAGCATGTCGGACTCGTGGCACCATCACCATGGCAGAGGCAGCTCTGCGAACCTCCTGGGCAGCATGATCCTGCCCTCTTCCAAGTGGCGCTTCCTGCGACATCTCAGTTTGGCGGATAACCCCATGACGTCGATCCCCGCGTCCAGTCTGGCTCCCCTCTCTAACACTCTCTTCTCCCTCGACTTGTCATCCAACCTCTTCAGCCAGATTCCGGACAGCCTTTCCACCCTCACAGCTCTCCGCGCCCTCAACCTTTCACATTGCATGATCGACTCTCTGCACTCCCTGACCCGGAACCCCCTTCCAGCCATCACGGCTCTCAACCTGCGAGCCAATAGGCTGCAATCTCTCGCCGGGATCGAGAAGCTGTACCCTTTGGAAAGGCTGGACCTTAGAGACAACCGGCTTACGGACCCCAAGGAGCTTGCACGCTTGACGGGGATTCCGGACATTCGTGAAATCTGGGTGGAGGGCAATCCCTTTACCCGCACCCACAAGGACTACCGCCTGACCATCTTCAACCTGTTTCGCATGACGCCGGGATATACCGAGGACATCGTGATTGATGGCTCCGGCCCCAGCTCTGCCGAGAAGCGGGTGCTGGTTGACCGAGTTCCGATTCCCGAGTCGGTCCCCGTGGTGAAGCCGATCGGGGCCGAGATGCGAGGCGTCGATGTAAGCAAGCCCGCCGTCATCTACAGCACTGTCAAGGAAGCGTCCGTTCTGCGCAAGGAGCGGCCAGTGCCAAAGGCCATCGCCAGCGAAATCAATACGACTTCGACGCGGCGCCGCAGGAACACCAAGCGACGCATTGTCGAGGCTTCGAGCAGTGATAACGCCGCGGTGCCCTCATCGTTCGATGTGCACAGCCCGAGCTTTCCGATCGCCTCTCCCATTGACCCTTCCCTCGACGGCCACTACCGGATTTCTCATGCGGCCAGGACGCAGCCGCCCTCGCCTCACATGATGTATCCCAAGGCTCACGAGCGTGGCAGCGGTGGCTTCTCTCCGGAGAATGGCCACGCCAACGGTACCGCCCACGCCGACCGCATTTTCAATACGAGCGATATCCAGCAGCAAGACTGGGACGCCGAGGGCGAGATGTACCGCCGCAAAATCGAGGCCCTACGCGACAAGGTCGGCGAAGGTTACCTGAGCGTGCTGAGCGAGGAGGGCTGGGATTCGAACAACATCTATGGCTCACCAAATATCCCCACCAGCACTGCTGCGCTCCTGGCGGCCCATCCAGCCCATCACGCTCCGCCCATGCAAGCCATCCACGGAGGCCACTCATGATACCCCGATTGCGACTTTTCCGCGTCCCAAGTCCAGTGCCTTCAGACTCTATGCACACTTCTCAATGATACCCCGCCGATACCTTTTCTACGTCTTCATACAAGTTTTGCCCTCTCATAACCGATGCAACCCTATCTACGTATACGCACGCCTTTTACCATTTCCCGCAGCCGGTTTGAACGAGCCAGGCTACCCTTTTGCTTCACCTGTCCATTTACCGCTTGTTTATTTTATACCGTCCCTTTTTTCAAATGCAAGGCTCGAATTGGTATCGTGTTTTTTTTTTTTCCTTTTCTGTTACGGAGCATAGCGGATGTGGCGTCACGGCTAGGACACGAAGATTGCTGTTGCCTGCAGGGCTTGTTGGAAGCCCTTTTCTCCTGTTTGGTTCCACGGATGGTTGACTCAAATGTTGTTCAGGGGCTGGGAAGGAATACAAAAAGTGGCTTGTCACGTATGAATGCATGACTTTTCTGTTTTGGCATGACTGTTTTCTTGCCGTCTTCGCAACCAGTGGCATGAGCTGGGTCTGCGATTTCTTTTTTCGGGTCGGCACTCCATTGCTTTTCAGCGTCGAGATGGTTTTGACAAACCGGGAATAGGAGTAGATACACTGATGAGCTGTTGACGGGGAGAATGATATGCATGCGAATTTCCACCACTGTTGCGCGTCTGATTGTGATGCTTTCGATTCACTGTGAATGTTGACTTGCCCAACTTGCCATGCTCACCTTGGCTACTGGCGTCCATCAACTCTTGATATAGACAACAGTGACTTGACCGATCGATGTGAAGATGGGTAGGCGGGCATCCATGGCTTTGTTGTTTGCATATGCCCGGCATGTGCGCAGTAAAGGTCTCATGGGCCCTAAGGTAGGCTGGCAGGCAGCACGATGATGCAATGCTACATGTACGTAAGCCCGCACCACCATGACAGCGCATTCTCAGCGACGAGTTTCTGCACGGAACATGGATGCGTTGAATCATGGTGTACACAAGAGGTTGGTTTCATAGCATCTTGTCTAGGGAATGAAGTGACGCGATGCAACAAGTGACGGAGGTTATCTGTCCGAGGGAACTTGGTCGGAGGGGGACAACGTTCTCTTTGCTTGTCGCAGTGATGATTAACTATTCTATCTGACAGATTCGGCAGATGGGGTCTAAAGCTGACGGTGTTGGCGGCAATTCTCCTCCTTGCTCTTTGAACTGCCCGAGTCGTCATTGCCCTCGTCGATGACGATGACGACGCGCAGGCTTTTCGATTCTCACAGCTCGACCCTGTTGATTTTTTTGCGAACCAAGTCATAAGATAGTCTGACTACTCAGTTTTCTCACAATCAACGCAAACCCCAGTTCTACGTCTGCTTACTGCCGTTGCCCAAAGAGCCTTTGCACAATATCGCGCATTTCTTCTATCGAGGTGCTAAGCCATAATTTTGGCCGAATGTTCCCTCGACCTCTACGTAGTGCCTTGCGTCAAGTTGACCTTTACGGCTTCTGTTGTAGGTAGTCAATACAGTCATATGCATGAATGTTGAGTGAAGCACCTTGTTACCATCTCTACACGACGTAACACCCGCTCTATACACCTGTGCAATTGACCTCGGTCGCGCATCACGACGAGAAGCGGCCATTGCCAAAGCATGACGCCAAGCCAATCCATACATCTGCCCGACTCCATGCAGAAGATGATACCCCCAGGTTGGGCCTGGGGGCTCACGGGAGCAAAGCGTGACGCGGGAAGGGGGGGGCCACTCTGTTCCCACACATTTCCCTCCGTTTCTCTCTCTCTCTCTTTCTTTCTCTTCTCGGGAGGGGACCCAATCTAAATCGGAATCCGGGGGGGCTTGCGTGCGGCGGCGGGATGGATCGATGGCGGCCATGCATCAGACTAGATACCCGATGCCGATCTAACTAAGCAACCTGACGGGGCGAGGTGTGATTGGGTAAAGGGCCAGGGGG